AAACAGTTTCTATACAAGTGCAAGATCACTCATTGAAGTCCAAGCACCTCGGACTCGCGACACTCCGGAAGCTCAGTCCCAAATGTAGAGAAGTGTCTCTCGGTCGTACTTTACAGTGGCAAGTGTATCACAGACCAATAACAACAACATGGAACAGATAGTGCACACCAGAGCTCTTACTGCGGCGCTCTGACTCAGTGCCATGATGCTAGCTACTGAAAAAAACAGTAGCCATCTTCCTATGATTGATGCTTGTGCTTTAGGACCTTTAGGACCAGGAGAATTGACCAAATTGTGTGGGACCAAAGCTCTCTGAATAATTGCAGTGATAAGAGCAGACCAATGGGCGGCGATCGGTGAAAGAAGGTGCGGTGTTGCTGCAGGGTCCTGGGACACGGCACATCTCGTCTTCAGCACTGGACTCTTATGTAAGCAGTCTCCTCTGTCACTAAGTTCACCAGCTGTGCTCTCCAGGGAAAAGGTGACTCACTAATCGCTTACAGATAAGTAATTATGTAAAGTTTATTTGTGTAGTGCCTTTCACAGACCAGGATCACAAAGCGCTTCACAAACAGATTCAAATAATACACATACAAGTCAGATTCAGAAAACGAAGATACCAAAGAATTGTGAACGTCATCACAGAGCGGCACGGTGGCTGAGTGGATATCACTTCTCAGCAAGAAGGTTCTGGTTTTGGAACAGGGCCTTTCTGAGTGGAGTTTGCATGTTCTCCCCGTGTCTGCGTCGGTTCTCTTTGGGTGCTCCAGTGTCCCCTACAACTAATAACACGTACAATAGGTCTGGTATACGCCTCCTGTATGGTGAGCTCACTCCTATATCTGTGTGGAGTGAGAGACAAATGCCCACAACGTAAAGCGCTTTGTGACTCTGGTCTGTGAAAGGCGCTACATAAATAAAGATTACTTATTTACGTACTACTTACAGAGGCCTATGTGCAGTGAGTCGAGGAAGCCTGGCTAAACAAATGGGTCTTTAGTTGGGACTTGATATTATGGACCGACTCTATCATGCGCAGAGACTGGGGAAGCTCATTCCAAAGGCGAGGAATAACAGCCCGAAAGAATCTGTCTTCTTCAGTTTTTAACAAGTGCGGAGGGAGTGGAGGACAATCAACAAGTTCTGAGTGGAGGACCATCAACAGGTTCTGAGTGGAGGACCATCAACAGGTTCTCAGTGGAGGACCATCAACAGGTTCTGAGTGGGGGACCATCAACAGGTTCTGAGTGGAGGACCATCAACAGATTCTCAGTGGAGGACCATCAACAGGTTCTGAGTGGGGGACCATCAACAGGTTCTCAGTGGAGGACCATCAACAGGTTCTGAGTGGGGGACCATCAACAGGTTCTCAGTGGAGGACCATCAACAGGTTCTGAGTGGGGGACCTCAGGGTGGATCAGGCCCTGGATGTATTCAGGCGCTTGAACATGAGGAGCCCTGAACGTCAGCACCAGAAGTTTAACATTGATGTGAGACAGGAGCCAGTGTATGGACTTCAAGATTGGAGAAATATGGGCTCTTCTATGGGTGCGGGTCAAAAGCCTCAACAAATGAGCCAGGTCTTTTTTTTTAACCAAGACATGTAATCAGGTTGCTAAAATAGTCCAGTCACGAGGAAACAAAAGTGTGGAAAAACATCTCCATCTCATTTTTCTGATATGAGACCATTGAAGAAGAGGATTACAAGTAGTTCCCTGATGGCTTGAATATACAGTCGTTTACAGATTATAAAAATAAATGTTTCACAAGACATTTTATGCAAATCAAAAGTTTTCTGGCTGAAAGTAAAAATAAACTCATCAGAGACAATCTTCTGTGAGATGTGGCCAAATGATCAGTTTTCCACTATCTTAAAAAGAAAATACTGGTGCAAGCTGAGTAGTCAGATATGCACTTTCTTTGTTATTGAGGCCCTGTCCACACAAAGCCAACTTCAGGCCTAAATAATAATAATATGAATAATACATTTGATTTAAAAGCGCCTTTCAAAACACCCAAGGACACTGTACAGGACATACTAAAAACAGTAAAAACAGGAGCAACAGAATAAAACAGTAGTGCATTATGGGATGTGGGTGTGTGTGTGTTAGGTGGGGTAGTACAGTCTGAACAGATGGGTTTTGAGTCTGGATTTGAAGAGTGGAAGAGAGTCAGTGGTACGGAGGTCGGGGGGGAGAGAGAGTTCCAGAGTTTAGTTTAGTTTAGTCTTTATTTGAAGGGACAGTGTACAGAGACATTAAGCTCAAAGACAGAGATGTTCTGCACCAGATTATAGCTAAACAGCTAGTTTCCATCTGCAGTCCCTGGTTACATCAATAAAATACATGGATACAGTAATGTACAATCCTAAAAAAATAACATTGCAATACAACACATTCTCTCTAATACAGACACACACATTTAGCCTCATACCTGTTTGTTAAAACCACACTTAAAACCACACAGCATCACACCTACACAATACACATGTCACAACCACACATTCAGATGATACATTAACACATTCAGTACATTTCTCATCATGTAGTTGGGGGGCAGAGTGGCTGATGCCTCTGTGTCCCACAAACACAAGAATACTTTAATAATCCAGTGTATCATTCGTACAAAGCCGGCGTTATGGTGGTAAGAAAACACACATTTGTAAAACCAGGCTCAAGATTGGAAAGATCTAAAAACTTCACCTCTCTGTGGTCATTAAAATTCTCTGAAGTATGGTCTTGATTCCATGTCATCACAGCGCCCCCAACAGGCCAGGCACAGTTTGACAGTGTTTTCAGGCATATTGACTTTATAGACGCAATCAATGGCATATGAATACTCATAGTACTCATTATTATTATCATGTTTAGGACTAAAACGCAATATTACTTCTTTGAACCATCTAACTTGTTCCCGGTTCTAAATCACTCATTTTCATATGCGTGTGTATTTGTCACATACTGTATTTTGATGAGACAATAAAGTAAAGAGAGGGCCAATAAGCTGAAGCCAAAAGACTCTTCCATCTTTCATGTTTGCAAAAAAAAACAAAACAAATTTCTTTAAGCCAGCATGTGTCTACTGTGGTCTTTATGAAAGGGAAAATCTTGTTTGATATTCTTTTCTTTTTATATTTTATGTCTAGCACCTTTGAAATATGCTACAGAATACCACACCAAGAGCACTTGAATATAGTAGTAATTTGAAGAAATGTATGTATATTTTTATTTATGCAGGCCTGTATTCTCCACTTTTTAACTTGTTTACGCCAGAACCACAGAAATGTCCTTGTTTGTGACTTCTTGTTACTCACACGGCAATAAAAGAATTCAGATTTGGATTCTGATAATGAAGTAAGAGGTGACTAGAACACTCTCATGTAAACCTCAAGATGGTGCGGTTAGAGGCCGGAGAGACTGAGACTGTTTTTGACGTCATAGACTAAAGGTTCGGCATCGCAGAACAAGTTTGACATAGTGGCGTTTAAACAGAAGGAGTGAGGGGATGTGTTTTTGGGGCGGAGATGGAACCAAAACCACTCTAATCTGTTTTTGATGGGGAATAGCTTTTAAAAACAATATGACAGACAATGCATGCTGCTGTGAGGGGTGAAGACAGGAGACAGTTTGGACCCAGTGAGGGAAATGTAATCTGGGCAAAAGTTCAGTTTGTCGTCTTGTTTGTGGCTCATTGAAACGTAATCACATGTAATAAGGAAGATAGCTGTGGTGTACTTTACAAAGGGCGTTTCATTTACTGCGGTCCCGATCCCCCAGTCTACTGCTCCCTCCTGTTCAGCTTCTGCTCTGAAAACATCTGCTCACATTTCAAAATACTTATTGTATTACTCTGTTGTCAAATTATGTTAATGATGGTTTTTGGAATAAACATAAAACAAATATGTAAAATAAAACTTACTTCTATTATTATTTATTTATAGAAATTGTAATGGATTCCCACATTTCCCCCCAAGTGAAGCAGACTTGGTCCAGTTAAAGTGAACCAGACATGGTCCAGTTAAAGTGAACCAGACTTGGTCCAGCTAAAGTGAACCAGACTTGAATAAAGTTAAAGTGAACCAGACTAGGGTCTAGTTAAAGTGAACCAGACTTGGTCCAGTTAAGTGAACCAGACTTGAATAAAGTTAAAGTGAACCAGACTAGGGTCTAGTTAAAGTGAACCAGACTTGGTCCGGTTAAAGTGAACTGGACTTGGTTAAAGGTAAAGGGAACCAGACTCTGTCCAGTTAAAGTGAACCAGTCTTGGTTGAAGTTAAAGTGAACCAGTTAACCAGCCACTCCTCAGTGATTGGACACACACCTGAATTACAAAGAAATGTTATTTATTGTTACTAAAAGGCGGAGGGTTCTGTTACTTATAACCTTCTCTGTCATTGTTTGCATGTTATACTCATTAATAATGTGACAACACTATAAATGGTTTAAGCAGACATTGTTTTTTTGTTTGTGTGATTTGGAAAAAGATTAGATCATATTTGATGGTGATTTTATGCATACATTTGAGGAATTCCAAAAGATTCAGATCTCAAGACCACTTTAGGACAAATGAACTTCACATAAATTGTTAAGCGCTTGGTGTGACCCCTGGCTGTAATTTCTACACCATTTGTCTGATTAAGACATAGACCCCCTAATAATATGGGGTCAGAAATGAGACAACTCAATTTAAGTCCTGACATTTTTGAACCTGACTATGTCCTCCAGTCCTGTAATCACACCGTCGTCCCGAGTCCCTCCTCTCCTTCATTGCTATTGCTTTATTTTGTGAAACACGCACCTTTGGCCTGCCACAGGGACTGCACAGACTTTGGAACCGCAACACTTCACTCACACACATTATCGCACACACACGCACACTAAGAACGTCGTAATCTATCTCAAGTAATCTGCTGAGGAGCGCCACACCCGGAGGTATAAAAGAAGCCAGACTACAGCCCCTGCACCCGAGGAAAGCTCCAACGGGACACGTAGGCGGTCAGCATGACGAGCGAGAGGCCTGGGACAGGGCTGCTGCTGCTGCTGCTGCTGCTGGGAGCCGCACAGGCCCGTGAGTACCGGACCGTGATGACAAAAGTCTATTACTGCAAGATATAGAAAGTCCTGAGTTTGTAGGTCTGAGAAGAAGAAAATCACTGAGAATGATCCTTTATTTTTAGAATTAGGCAACCTTTTATGGACTTTTTTGCGTGACATTAACCCATCTTGCTTTGGTTTTGTTGATTTTTGTTTTGTTAAGGTTTTTTTTTCATAGCTATTATATGTTTATTGTATGATATTCTCCGTTTTAGATAAAATACAGAAAATTAAAACAATCCTGATAAAATTACACAATACAGATATTAATATATATATATATATATATATATATATATATATATATATATATATATATATATATATATATATATATATATATATATATTCAATGCCTCAATAAAACAATATTAAACAGAAGAAGAGCAAACACATAAAAAAAAAACATAAAAATAGACTGGTGCCCACTGGGGAAGTCTTGCACAGTTTTTCCAATGTGGTTTTACTGCAAATGGCAAATAAATTAATCTGATCATCCCCCCATCCCAGCTGTTCAAAAGCTCTTTTCTCAAACATTAAGAAATAATGAATCCTCAGACTAAAATCTATGAGCTGTTTTCTGTCTTTAGTTTGGAATTGTAATATGTTCTTTTTCTCTCAGAGCAAGATGTGGGGAGTTCTGAGGAGTCGTCCTGCCGCCGTAAGTGACTGCACTTCAACAAAACACACTTTCGAAAGCTGTATCTATTGTCAATAAAATCCTCTGTTCCATTTACGCAGTGGCGAGACGGTACAAGAACTTCCGGCGATACGTGTACGACTACGAAACTTCAGCCATCAACATGATGAACGGAGCGAGCGACCAGAAGAGCGGCCCCAAAGTCACCTGCAAAGTACGGCCCGCCTTCCAGTTCAAATCTAATGAGTTATTCTACTGCCGCGAAGACATTTTTGACCAGTTTAAACTTACCACAAACTTGTTTTTATTAGTGGTCAAACAAAGTATCTAAATATGTCTAAAGCTTTTGAAACTTTGTGCATTGGCCTCGTTCTCTTCCGGTCTGGGTGAAATGCTTCCATAGTTATTTAAAACTACAGCAACCACATCATTTAGCGAACCAGTCAAAATATATAAAACAAATACTTTTTTAAAACACGTTACAACTTCAAAAACAGACCTAGGGTTGATTTTAGATTCAGCCACATACATGTCCCCACAGCCTTTCTGTCCAAAAGTTTTAAAATTTGACAAAAAGAGCTATTTTTTTATGTTTTTGAATATATTTTACAAATGTCTCCAAAAATGTGAAATGACGTTCTTTACAACTCAGTGCCTTCAAGTCCGCCGTGATGTAGTTTCTCACTAAACAGGCGTGATGCCTTCTGGAATCATCTTTTACTTGATTCATTCATTGTTCATCCCAATATTTTCTAATTATGATATTTTTTTATATATCTCTATTTTTAATGCACTGTTGTTTTGGATCCCTTTTGTCATTTTAATGTTTTTGGTTACCTGTGTGATTTCTAAGTGTGTTTTAAATGGTGATCCTGATGTTGGTTTTATGTGATGATTGTGAGGCGCTTTGTGTTGCCCTGTGTATGAAAGGCGCTCTACAAATACAGATTGAATGATTGATAAGCTAAAACTTCTAATAATAACAAGGTTGTAAACGAATAATAACGAAGCTTATCAAGCTGATTTCACAAGTTTAAAGTATTGCGTACTTGTGATTATGGCTATGTAAGAATTATATCTTAAGACATGGCAAACAAAATGAAAACAAAATCAGACCCAGAGCTTTAAAGGGGACTGTGCTGTTATTTTTTTTTTTTTTCAATTGTTTTACCATGAGGCTCAGGGTGTGGGGCTGACCTCTGTGCATGACTGTGTGTGCTGCAGGTGGAGCTGGACGTGCCGCAGGGTTGTAGCTTCATCATGAGGACCACAGACTGCAGCCTGCTGGAGCTGTCGGGCCTGGACTCCAGTGGAAACCCGGTCTACGTGCCTGCACAGGGGACCGAAGTCTTCAGTGAGGAGATGGCCAAGTGAGAAACATCTTCCATTCAATTCAATTCAATTTATTCTTGTATAGCCCTGAATCACAACAGTGTAGTTTATCTCGGAGGAGTTTACACAACAGGTGAATTTGCAAACACAGATCAGAGAATCAAACAGTTAAAACACAAAGAAAACGCAATGATAGAAAACATAAATGTCCATGAACCCAAAAGCTTTAATTCACACTTAACTTACTGTGTAATTAAAGTCAGAGATTTGTACTTAATTCTTGCTCCTTAAGTACAAATCAAACAAAATAAGCAAGTCTAAAATCTCTAGCTTTAGCATAAAAAATAAGTATAAAATCTAAAATAAAGAAGCAAGTATACAATTCTGTATATATTAGTACAAGAATCCTATAGTTGTATGTTTACATCTGTACTTACTAGCAGCTTCAGGGTCTGGGACAAAGTGACTCAGTGAAGTGAAACAAACACATGTGGTTCTATATTGTACATTCTGACATTAATAAAGTTATTCTTGTACAGATGAGTAAAGTAAGAATTGAACGCATAACTTTGACCAACGTTCTTTTTTCAGTCCAAATATAATAAAAGTGAAATTATGTCCAAACACAACATAAATGACTTGCACTGAGCACCTCTTGTACATTTTCTCTGTATAAAGCCGCCCAGAGAGGAGCTAAAATTGTTTGAATGTGTCACGATCCTAGGTCTGTATTGAAGTTCCAAGTGTCTGAGTCTGGACCAGTGCTGTACCCGGAGACCGAGACCACGCTCACCCTGAACCTCAAGAGAGCCATGGTGTCCTCACTCATGGTGCCGCCCCGAGATGATGCTGCCACTGTGGACATGGTGAGACAGACGACTTATCACAGACTGACCCGAGTCCTGGCATCACCGAAGAACCTAACTCAAACCGGCTCTATTAGGATTAGAACTGCTAACTCAAACATGTTAGCACTGTACTTTCCCACATAGAGTATTTAGTTTTAACAATACTACGACCTCTTCAAAAACAGACATAGTGTTCTTTTAGCTCCATCTATAGTAGTAGTAATACATCAGAGGCCAAAAAAACGAATTTGCTACAAGCCGAGTGCCGGACTGATATTAAAATGATCAAGACCTTTCACAATGTACCGTATTTTTGAATAATCCAATATTTTTGTGGCTCTGTCAGTAATTTCAGGCTCACAGACAAAAACAACCTTTCTTCAAAGTGAATACACATGTCCTGAACTTTAAAATAATTAAACATTTTCTTATGACTCTGTGCGGCTGGTTCTAATACATATCAAATATCATCCCGGGGGCCAAGATAATTCCTTCGCGGACCGGATCTGGCCCCCCGAGCCTTGACTTTGACACATTGGATTTATGGTAAAGGCAACTTCCGACACAAATACCTCTCCACATCTTTTCTCTCCAAATGCCCCTTTTTCAAACTTGGCACACTATGACAAATACTCAAGACTTCATGGACAGTTTTCTACCATAAAATTAGTGATGGAAAATTCTACCGAGCTGAAAATGTGGAAAATAGATGTGATCCATTATTCTCTATTTTGAGATCTGGACGTGGCCTGCTCAGCCCCAGTAGACCACACTTGACATGTTAGTTTTAGATCTTAATTTAGCAGTATGTATTTTCCCGCTTCTACAAATATATCCAGTTCAGGTGCTCATTCTAATAATCTTTTACTCCATTTTAATGTATTTTTGTCCGAATAAATTATTTCACATGTTAAAACACAAAAGATCATCCAGTGGTCGAGCCCTTGGCATAGTGACTTACTTATAATATATTTAACACTTATTGTGATGTTAGTAATGCTTCTATTTGTGATGTTAGTTTGCTTGTATTTTTTTGTCCTCGAATGACTCCCTGGCTTGTTGTTTATGGCCTTATTTTTCTGCTAATCAACGCTCAGATTACAGTGTTTGTGCAGAAGCGTCACTCATAGATAAACTCCCGAGTACAGTTGCACAACGTCTGGATCAATGTTCTGTGAAGTAGGCTCCAACGCGACAGGCCAAAGTCCCAGATTACATCCACCTGCATCACCTGGGTCCAGTCCAAACACAGTTTTATTAAGAACATTGCAATCAACAAGATTCTGAACTTTACGGGTTACATTTGTTCACAGTGATGGGTTTTCTTGGAGAGGAGGATATTTATAGTTGTCTTACATCAGTTATTTGTTTATTAATCACTGGTAGAAGTACATCATGAATTCAGTTCCTTGGGTCATTCATCAACACAAGATAACAGAGCTAGCTATTTTAAAACGCCATGAAGTGCAATGAGTAAAAAGCAATAAGTAAATAGATATCTGGTATCTGTCAATATCTGGTGTCGGCAGATTTTGAAATAAGCGATCAGTATTGGAAAGGAAAAAGCTGGATGCATTTGTTGCCTGGCTGATTCCCAAACCCTCTTATAAAGCAGAAATAAGTAAATATCTGGCCAAAAGTGGTACTGCACTCTCTCTGACTGATTGCCAGATATGCAGACGAATCCAACTGGAACCATAATATCTGAATAGACAGAAGTTTCGTCTATAACCAATCTATAACCAACACCTTTTTCACAAAGGCCCCGATAGAAATCCTGGTTTAATTCCTAGTTTTGTCATTAATGATCTGAGAATCATAACGAGACCATTTTTAGTACCGTGGCCACATGTTACTTCAGTGAGATTAGCTCGATGCTGTGAGTTCTGGCAACCCGGATCACAGACTTTCTGATTGGTAAAACGGTGGAGGGCGGGGCATCAAAATGACAGCCACAACAAGATTTAGGGACTTTAAAACACATTTTGAGTTTCTAATATCTCAGAACTATTGCATCAGTTAAAAAAGTATTCAAAAAGAGCATGGTTTAATATTGCCTTTTGACAGATTAGGGCCATAATGATGACTTGACATGGAAATTACATAATTGCTACTATTGACTTGTTTGAATTCTATATGACACACTGATACAAGTGCCTGTGTTGTGTCTGTACAGCCTACAGTCCATGGACACTGCTCCTCGGAGGTGACAGAGAAATCCAGAGACCAGAGCACGTCCGAATTCACCGTCCGCAGAGACCTGAGCTCATGCGACAGACTCATCCACTCACAGCCCACCAGCCCCCTGGCCCTCATCTCCGGCATGGTAAGGGTTCCTCTCACACTCACTCTTGTGCCTGTATTCGAGAAATTGGTGAGACAAGTGGTATTCATCGTGAACTTGTTTTCAATTTGAATCCTATGGTTCATAAAAGTTATCCCATTCTATCTCTGCTGCTTTATTTGTGCAAACCATTGGGAGAGGTAGAAAGACAGCACATGTGCAGCAGGTATAGAAGAAGAAGAAATACTTTATTGATCTCACAATGGAGAAATTCAGTTAGATGAATACACATAAAGGCATGCAGCGTATTATTACTTTCTCGCTCCTTATAGGCCAAGTGGAGTAAAGTGTCTTGCCCAAGGACACAATGAAGGCAGACATCAGTGGGAGTCGGTCTACTAACTGAGCCACTGTCGCTACACAACAAGTCCAACAAGAACAAGTCCTTGGCAATAAACGCATACTTTTTGCCACCGACATACCGTAATTACAATAACAAAAGAATTTATCCTATTGGCATTTTTTCTTATCAGAAAATTAACAGGCAATAAATTAGGACTCCGAGACATCAATATGTTAATGTTACAACAGGTTTTCATGTATTTTAATATAAATTCAATGATGCATCTTAACTTAATCAAACATCGTCCCAAATGCCTTCCTGCCAAAAAACAAAACCCCCTGAACCATTTATTAACCATCACATTTCACCCACAATGCTAAAACCATGTTCATGTAATTTTTGCCATTACACACTGTTTTCTGAATTGGGTTATTTCACATCACTAATGTCACGTATGGAATGACGGTCTGCTTTCCTGTGCTTAGAACATGCCGCTGTCTAAGTTGATCAGCGCTGAGCAGCTCTGTGACTACACTTTCGACAACCAGAGGAGGCACATGAGCGCGCTGACCTGCACCGAGACTCACCTGCTGCTGGCCTTCTCCCATCAGTGAGTCCCACACAGACACACAAACACCCAGAGCCATAACTTACACCGAACACAAATGTCAAGTGTGTGCTGATCTTTTACAGGAACAAATATGGCATGTCCACGAAGGTGCGCACCTCCATGAGCCTGAGGGAAGTGTCCAAGATCAACGACAGAGTGTTCGATTATGGTGTGTGGCCTTTACTCGACCAGGATGAATGAGAAAAATTGTGGGGAATTACTGTTTTATATTATTTATAGCAACATATTTATTCCACCTATTTATTTATGTCAGCTGTAAATGTAATAGTTGTCGAAAGTTTGATCTTAAAGGTATAAAGGAGGATTTTCCCATATTTTAGGAAAGAACCGCCCTTTCTACTTTTTGAACAAAACTCTCTGCTCTTATAGGACAAGGACGTATAAACAGAATGATTGACATTTGGGAGGACCAATAGTGTTGATGATCCACCCGGAAGTAGAAAATCCTCTTGTATACCTTTAATAGCACAGTTGACAGTTACTATCACGAACCTGGAAAAACGGCAGCGTGTGGAGATAAAATAAAGGCACATGCCCAGAATGTTAAATAGCAGTAAAACTAAAGAACGAACGATTGTGTTTGAGGAAAAGTAAACAAATCATAGTATTAGCATGAATCAATTCCCAAGTATCACCAGTGTCATGATTGTAATTTTTTACAGAATTCTGTTTGTCTAATAGTTGGTCCTCATATCCCTCCCCATTCTGTGATTGGTCCCTAAATCAATGCAAAAATGTCAGCCCATGGTTCCAGGCTGTTGTGCAGTTTTAAATTATTCAGGTGTGCCCCGCTGCTTTGGGATGTCCAGGCTATTAATAGTCAGTCAATAGGTAGTATTTTAATAGATCACAAACTTAACGTGGGCACTGAGTGTGTAACTGCAAACATGCACACTTTATGACTGATGAATTGTGAGCGTGATCTGCGATGTTTCTCCTCTGCAGACGAGTCCAACTCACGCACCTTACACCTGGAGCGCATGGAAGACAAGTCCCCAGTGCAGACTAAAGACGAGTCCATCCGCCTGCTTGGCGAGCTCCTCTCTCTCCGAGACGACAACACCAAAGACGACTCCCGTGCACAGCTCTTCCGCCGCCTGGTTCTGGAGCTGCGTGCCCTCAAAGCTGATGTGGCCCAGTCCACGGCCATGGACATGTTTGAAACGTCCCAGCGCATGACCCTTCAGGCGCTGGTGCAGTGTGGCAGCCCCGAGTGCCTGAGCGCGCTGCTCAAGGTGCTCAGGACATTCAACCATGAGGCCTATGAAGTGGACGCTGTGGTGATGGCTCTGGGCATGCTGCCCTCCCCCTCACGCTTACTGCTGAAAGACCTGCTGGAGATGGCCAAGTACAAGCAGAGCAGAGCCATCATGTACGCCGTGGGAAACGTGGCCAAGAAGTGAGTACACAGGGAAAAAAAATGATATGGACAACTCAGAATTATCCTGCTTTTTCATGCACATTTGTTACATAGTGTCATTTTTCCCAAGATAACTAGAATTAGTTAGTGAACCAAAGTTTAAGTTTACTTCTATTAGAATGCCTGAACATACTGTACCCTTGGTCTTGTTCTTAGTCTGACTAAAAATTACCCAACATTTTCCAAATTGTCGATACACAAGGCCTCCCTTGTGATCAGAAAACTGACCCTGGCCTATCGTTTATGTGCAGGCTGGCTGAGGCAGAAGGTGCAGAGGTCGAGGAAGTGCGTGCGGTTTACGACTTCTTCACGTCCATGCTGGGTGAAGACTGTTCTGGAGACAAGGAGGTCACCTTCCAGACACTTCGGGTGAGGAGTTGGCAGTACAACATAGCAAACACTTTGTTTTATTGAATGGTGCATAGTTAAGGAGAGCCTTATGAAACGGCCAATGAACTTACAAATGTTCATTTATGTGCTCTGTCCCTATCCAATAAATTATACAATTATAAAAACAAAAAACAATTTATAAATACTGGCCTTTTATTGTAGAATGGTGTCATGTAAACACAAACTATTCTTGCACTTCAGTTTGTAACGTCCACGCTTGTCCCTTAGGTCATTGGGAACATGGGAGCCACTCTGGAGGCAGTAGACCCGTCCATCAAAGGTACTCTGCTAAAGTGCATGAGACAACCAGCCACAACTCTGTCTGTGCAGCTTGCAGCCATCCAGGCCTTCAGGCGCATGACTCTGACCGAAGAGGTATGAACATTTACCAGCCAAAAAATGATCACCTCCGATGTTACCTCCTCATGCAGGCTCTTGGGCCGCTCACTCAATGGGAGATAATGTTAAAAGTATTGGGATCTTCTATACCAGACAGTATAAGGTTTTGTGATGTTATTACCATAGAAGATAATGTTGTTTGAATGACCCGTTACTTTCACTGCATGAGCGAAGGGCTGTTCACTGCGCCCAACACTCCAATCCAAATGAGGAAGCAGAGGAAAAGGTTTTTCTCCAAACAGTGAGGTTAGATTACTCACAGAATGATGTTGGAAAAGTTAAGCCAACTTTAGGTTTTGCTGGGTGTTTACGTTCAGATTGTGACTGCATAGCTGTCAATCTGTTTTACCTCATCCCTTTGAGATACTCTACGCCTTGGAGGTGTCTTTCAAGTGTCTTTTCACAACTTTAGGAGACCAGCATGAGTGAATTTCTGTAATCAGACTCAAAATGCAATAAGTGATATATTCAAACATCATCTTCTGTGTTTTCAACATACCTGCACTAGAAACTAAACCAAACAAACACTAAACAAAATTTGTCGTCCAAAGGTGCGCTCCAACTTGCAGAGGGTGAGCCAGTACCCCAAGGGCGCAGTGCAGAAGCGCCTGGCCGCCTACCTGATGCTCATGAGGACTCCCCAGGACAGCGACGTGGACATGGTGAAGAAGCTGCTGGAGAAGGAGCAGAACCCTCAGGTCAAGTCCTTCATCAGCTCCCACGTCTACAACATCCTCCGCTCTGAAGAGCCCGAGCTGCAAGAGTAAGAACATAGTACAAACATCAACCAAACACATGACAATGACAGTAACAAGTGCTCACAGACTTCTTTCATCCACTTTTTATGGATCAGTTTAAGTATTTAAAGGTATATGGGATGATTTTCTACTTCCGGGTGGATCATTAAGACTATTGGTCCTCCCAATTGTCAATCATTCTGGTGATACGTGCTCGTCAAATAAGACCAGATTGTTTTGTTCAAAAGCCGGAGAGGGCGGTTCTTTCCAAAAAGTTTCGGAAGATCATCCTGTACAGTATACCTTTAAGTTATGAGGAGTGAGTCCGTGCTAAACTTTGAATTATATCCTGATTTTTTAGGATACAGTGACCAACATGATATCTGTATCTAGGTTACACTAGTGGGAGAAGTGTTTACTGCATCTATCTTGTCTAAAATTGTCTTGCATTTGTGTGTGTGTCTTAACTAGTAGTGGCACAATTGACCTGCAGTTTTTCATAAAGAGTTTGTTTACAGAGGTTTTATAGCATGATGTTATATACATGATTTATATACATGATGTCCTAAAGTGTTCATGACAGAGGTGAACCGTGTACTTCACATGTGCTTGAAGTGACCAGATTGTATGGGAGAGTTGTTTACCCTGGTCAAACATGTTATCCATGTTATTTAGGGCACCGAAATACTGCATGATGTGTTTTTTCTTGTCCTGTTGTGCCTCTCATCAACCTGTCTCTCCTCCCAGGCTGCGATCCAAACTGGAGGAGGCCCTGCAGGACATGATGGTGAGCGCTAATGACCAATACACCACCAGCTCGGGTAACTACAGACTGCCTGGTGTCAGGGGAAACCTCATCTTCGACCCCAACACTCAGCTGCCCCGAGAGGCCCTCCTGGAGACCACCCTTGATGTTTTTGGATACAAGATGGACGTCTTTGAGGTACATGCGCACAGATTTAGGTTCCGTTGTTTGAGAATATAAGAAAAATCCGCTGTTACGCACAGCTTTCCGAATGAGTTGGCCAATTTGGAATTACCACCAAGGCCTTGAATGGATCATCTACACACACTCCAGGGAGTTGTTTGAACAAACCCTTTTGACTGAAATTTTCTTTGGACTAGCTCGGCTTTTCTCTTGAGATTGAATGTAGTGTTCTGACCTGCTAATTGGTGTATATCTTTCCCACAGTTGGGCATGGAAGGAAAAGGCTTTGAGCCCACAGTGGAGGCCCTGTTTGGGAAGAATGGCTTCTTCCCTGACACCATCTCCAAAGCCCTGTACTGGACTGAAGACAAGATGCCCCCTAAAGTCCGAGAGCTCCTGAACAAGTGGACAACACCATTCAAAATGGAGGGTCATAAGGTCAGTACAGAACCATACGAACTTTGAGTTTTGCAAAGTGTAAAAAGGTAGAGAATATATATACGTCACTAATCTAGATGAATCACAGCATACGTTGTGAGACCGAGATGTGAAACATGACAAAAAACGGTTGCTTTTCAGGTGCCTGAAGATCTGTTGAGAGTAATGGTGCGTAACTTCCAAAAGCTGATGAAAGACCTGAAGAGCTCGGACGCCCCAGACGCCATGGCCTACCTCCGCTTCATGGGCACCGAGCTGGGCTACCTCAAGACCACAGAGACAGAAGAAATGGCCCTGAGCGTCCTCATGTACGCCCAGATCTTCATGCAGCGGATGCCCCTCGCAGAGGTACGCTGGCTGGAGTGAGGGAGGGTGGAGTGTGGGGAAACACCAGTCTGAGACCAGAGCGGCTGTAGTAGTAGCAAGAATAATGAATGTACCACTAGTTGTTGTTAAATTGTAGTAGTAGTAGTAATACAGCAGGGCAAATTTATCTATAAAGCACCATTCATGCAGAAGCAACCCTTGCTTCAAAACATATTTCTATAATTCTACATGTTGACATTTTCTTCCACCCAAAATCACCAGGCTTTTCTGTAGTCATTTCAGCAGAGCATTTCATACATACAAACGTTTAAATGTATACTTATTGTAAATAAGTCTTTTCTCCCACAGATCCAGAGATTCATGAGAGGAGAAAATTTTGCCCATTACATGTTCATGGACAACAAGTTGAGCCTTCCCACCGCCTCCGGCCTGCCCCTGAGCTTCCACATGACTGGGACTTTCACCCCGGGCGTCAAGGGGAAAATCTCCTTCAACCCCAGGATGGTACGAAGTCAGGATACACACATCCTCAGGGCTAGTGCTGCTGCAGGCATTCATGCTTTTCTGAGAAACCTCCAAAAATTATTGATGTTTTTAATCCTTTTTATGATTTTCTACTTAAGAAGTAATTTCACATTATAAAACACGATTTGTCTAAGTACATACTCTCAAGATTAAGTTTAAGGGACCAAATGCACACAAATAATATTTTTCTGAATATGTATTATTTTTTCAATATTTACTATCAATATTGACTCTTGATAGCGTGATACACTATTAGAGAGTTACTATTATGAGTGAGGGTGGTCACCTTGTTGGAAAACACGATGTCATGCTGATAATTTTAAGACTGACAACTAAAAGGAGGAATTCTGTCATTATTGGCCATGAAGTCCATATAGAACAACGTGTTCACTGCTCCAAAGTCACTCTCTCTGTGTTGCTTTTCTAGAAGGAGCTGTGGTTCCGTCCCTCCGCTGGTCTGGAGTTCAGGACACAGATGGGCGTGCACGTGCCTGAGCTGCTTCAGTCTTCTGTGGAGATGACCACGGAGCTCTTCCACGAGAGCGCAGTCAACGCTCGCATTTCCATGGGCCAGGATCAGGTCAAACTGTCCATCCCAGCGCCCACAGACAACATCAAGCTGCTCAACATCAAGTACGCTGTGATTTACTCTCACACACTCATCTCCATCTGTGCTACAATGAGGAAATTCTAGAACAAACATGTCACCCTGGCCCTTTTATACAAATAACACTTTATGTTACCTCCAAACTAGTTTTGGGAATTTCTCCACTCACAAATATGTGTCTTCAATTAGACCACTATGATTAGACTTTTTGTGAAAAGTGATTAGTGGTGCCCTGCTCTCCCCTGGTCCCCTGCCCTCCCCTCGTTTCAAAATATCCACATCCTTCTAATTGGACCAAATGGTCAATCAGGAGAATGTTTAATTTAAACAGTTTAAAGGCATAATCCACTTTGTTTATACATTTCTAATCCCTCTGTTGTTTTGAATAAAATATTGAATAAATCCTAATACCCTCCTAATAATTTCAGACATGTAATTAGGGTGTATGTAACTTCTGGTTTCATTCTCAAACTTAAAATCCTTCAATCTGTTGGCATATATATGTGTTTTCCTGTTTTGGATAAAAAATATGTATTTTTTACTAGAAACCTAAATATGTGACATATTCTCTCTTTTAGAAACGAGGTGCGGATCATAGGAATGAACAAGGCCCATGTGATCCAGCCCACATACTCCGAGGTCACTTGTCCCAGTCAGGCCCGTCTCCCTGGCATGAAGCTGTGCTACACTGTGTCCGGGGCTGAGGCAGGACCCCTGAGCCCCTACTTCCCCCTCAACGGAGCCGCACGGTCAGTCCACTTCCCTATTGACCTGGCACAGTTCCAGATTATAAACATTGTAATTTACTAAAACGCATTCTCCATCAATTGATCTTAAGCAATTCACAGTTTGGTTCTTTTACCAAAACACATACCCACATGTGAGCCTCTTTAGTTTTTAACTTCACCTGTTAATGGCCAGTTGGAGTTACCTCAGCCATCCAGGAACATGCTAATAACTCCATGTTCCAATATTACTGATTTCAAACTGTGTGTCGCCTTCTGGCACAGCTTCTACATCCTAATAATAACATAAGAACATTTTATGCAAATTCATTAATATTCAGTCATAATGAATACAAAATCGGTGTTAAAATCTCTTAATGAGCCGTGCCCCAGGACTCCCTATGTTCAAAAACATAGGACAAAACCCGGAAGGCCACATATGCTTTTATTCGGGGATTGTGACAGATTGTAGGGTGTGAGTTGGTACTGAGGAAGCTGGTGCTGTTGTCACAGGTACCAGGTGGAGTTGGGTCCCACAGATGAGACTGCAGAGTACACAGCCACGTTCAGCTACAGCCTGCAGACTGAAGGCAAAGATGACCTCCAGAAAGTGGACACACTCAGAGTGGACCTGAAAGTGGAGGGTGGTAAGGACAACACACATCTTGCCTTCAGGATACAATTTTTTTTTTTTTATTTCTTCAGTTCTATTTGACCATTTTAGTACATGATTTTTAATTTCAACATTTGTGACAATAGTGAAACTAAACATTGATTACATCATTGTACCGACCTTGATTCCACATCAACATCTGCTTCAGTCTAAATGCTGTTTTGCACTAATACATCATGGACAAAGAGGTGTGCTACCTTTTAGTTCATCTAAAATGCAGCGATGCCAACTTCAACTTCAAATGTAACATAATTATTTGATGTGTAGGAAAGATTTACTGAAATGCAAAATGCAAAGCTAATGAAAACAGTAATTTGTAGTTGTAGTTGTACCTAAAATGCATTTCTCTGGTTGATGGTGATTATCTGTAGGTGCCGATCCCACTGAGGGTTTGCTGCTGCTCAAGTACAACCGGAACAAACACGTGCTGAGCTCCCAGCTGCAGGTGCCTGACATGGACGTGGAGGTGGCAGCGCGCCTTGGACTGAGTGACAGCCGCTCCAGAGGGCAGACTCTGACCCTTGAGCTGTCGGACCACAACGTGCCACAGATGTCCCTGACCGGCCGTGCTAAGTAAGTCTGCCCACTGCATCCAGCAGTACTACAACTACTGTGTATACTGGATGTAATGGTACTGGATCAAGCTCTCAGTCTAGTTTTTTCAATGCAAAATGGTCTCTTTTTCTTAGTTTTTTCACCAAAAAATGAACCTGGACTTTTTTGTATCTCCTATACTTAAAGAATATTTTTTTTTGCAGATGAAAGATATGACAGAAGTTTTCACGTTGAATCAGGACCAGTTGATAAAATGCACTTAAGTTAAAAGCCTGAATAATAGTATAAAATCATTTGAATAGGCTTTTACACTGTAAATATCAAATTTACTTGAATGAATGAATGAATACATAAACAAAAAGTAGCCTTCAAGTAATTTCTACTACTTTCTATATACTGTAAAAAGCAAGAACAAAAGCAGAGGTTGAGTAGCCTATATTAGACAATTCAAATACTTTCTTTTTGGAGGGGATGGAATAAAAATAAGCTTTTGCTTCATCCAATCTCTTTTTACATGCAATTAACCATGACATTAATGTGAATAATGTTTACCATCATGAAGACACATGTGCTTTAACACCCAGACTAAGTGCTGCACTCACATGTATATTTTTTTGTTGAGTGGATAATAATAAGGCTAAGCTAACGCCCAGTCGTCCCCTTGTCCCAGGCTTCAGGGCAGCGCAGAGGGCCTGGCTCAGCTGCAGCTGCTGGTGCCCTCCCTCCGCACAGACGCCTCCCTCACAGGCACCATGAGCCGGGCGCAGGGGCTGGTGCTGGAACTGACCAGTGATATCAAAATGCCCCTGACAACCTCCATCCAGACCCTCACCTTCAAACACGGTATGAGCACAAGCACAAGATACACACACACAAGAACGGTACAAGGCCGTAGTTAAAGAGACAGACATTGACATATGTGTAATGATGTGTAACGGCCAGAATGGGTATACCCTCTAGAGCTCTTCTATCATTTGTAAATAGGACTTTTTTTTCTGGAGAATGAAAAAGCACTGAGGCCACTCCTGTGGACTCACCACCTGCAGAGGGTCAGTGAGGGGCTGGTGCTATGAGACTTGGGTGGCATCTCTGACTGCCACCCCCCTGACCCAGAAATGGATTAAAGGGTAGAAAATGGATGGATGGATGAAAAAGCATGAAGTGTGTCTGACCAGTTGTGTGTTGCAGCAGGTGAGGAGCAGGCTGAGCTGAAGCTGGTGTCCCGCGTGAACACAGAGACGTCAGTGCTGCTGGAGCACAGTGCAGGGGCACAGGACTGGCTCCGGCTGTTTGTGAGCGACGTCATGGACCAGAGGGTGGTCAACACAGACATGAAAGTGAGGCACATCCTCAACAAGGGCCTGGAGGTACACACACATACACAGACACACACACGCACGCACACACACACACACACGTGTACACACACACACATACATGCAGAGCTCCACAATAAATGGATACTAACAATTAAAAAAGGTTAATGTTTTGTTGGGGCTTACTTGTATATTTCCAAAAAATTGTTATAAAAAGGCTTTGTTTACAGAAAGATACATAAGTTTTAACTAATAGTTTATCAAGTCATAGTTTAATTTGCCATAAGTCAAGTATGCTTTTAGTAATTAAGCTATTTAAAAAATCTTCTAAAGTGCTCAAATATAATTTACAAATAATGATGAATGCTATACAAAGAGGTTTTAAGAGTGTGAAACCCAAACCTTTTTTAATATATATGCAGACATTTATATATTTCAAATGTTTAATCTAGTATTGTAAATTATGATAGAAACTTTGAATTTCAGGCCGGTACTATCTGGATGGACAAGTTCAAGGGAGATTTTCCATACGTGGAGACTCTGAAAGACAACATCGCACACATGGATATCCCAGCCATGCCTGAGAACCTCTTCATGAACTTGTAAGTCGCCCACACAGTATAACTAAAGCTGGGGTACCTAACTTTCAAAGCTAATAAACCTTCTCGCACTCAAAACAGTTTTCCCTAAATATATTTTTGGCACAGATTTAGATCAGCTTTTTCAGACAGAGAACTGAAAGAAAGGACACTAATGATAGAGATTTTCCTGAAATTTGAATGAGGTCCTCCTACCTTCACATGCCATCAACACTCTAAATGTGCTCCTAGTGTTGGACTGTTATCACAGTTTCACCCTCAAAATCCAAGCAAAAAAACTTGTGTGTAATAGAAATCAACTGAGTGCTTCAAGTGAAGTGGTTTGGTATAATGGAGTGCAAAGGTGAGGTCATAAGAAGTGGGAGGAAATATAATGTGTTTAAATGATGTACATCCTGCTGCTATTTCTTCTATTTCTAGTAGTCTCAAGTTATACCAAACCGTTTAAAACCAATTCTTTGTATTTTTTCTCTAGTGAAAGTGCACTGAAATACGACTTCAACAAAGACTCGGCGATCCTTTATCTCCCAGTGCCATTTGGTGGCAAGACCTCTGAGCAGCTCAACATCCCAGTTACACTCACCGTCCCACGCGTCAATATCCCGCAAATCAATGTGGACTTTGACTCCAAAGACATCCCCATTCCAGCCTTCACCGTCCCAGACGAATACGAGCTCACCGTTCCACTCATGGGCAAAATGGAGATGACCACCAAGATGGAGAGCAACATGTATAACTGGGAGTCAGTGGTGGCAGTGGGCAACTACACAGAAGACTCCCCCAGTTATAAGGCTGAATACAGCGTCAAGGGGGACAGCCCCATCAAGTTACTGTCCTTCACCAATGCAGGTAAGGCATTCAGCGTTGTTTTCGATCCTTTGTGATAAGGGTGCCTAGGTTTAAATGTTGACCTCACCTGTAAAGTGTGCAAGAAACATTGGAGTGATCCATTACAGACCAGGTCTCCAGGTAGTTAATGGGACCAGAACTAAGCTCTCCACAGCTTAGATTTCCCAAAACCCATGAATCAAGAGCAGAAGTACATCTTTTTGTTTTTCTTTCAATAAATGTGATGATCGCTAAATAGTCAAAAGAGGGCCTTTCTGAGTAGAGTTTGCATGTTCTCCCCTTGCCTGTGTACATTTCCTCTGGGTGCTCCTGTTTCTCCTACCATTAAACACTTGTACAATAGCTCTCCTCTCTGGGACAGAGGCCTCCCCTGAAAAAGAGATTCTGAAAGCTCAGTGAGACTGTCTTTGTTAAATATAGGTCCATAAATAAAAATGCATTATTGTTTATCATAGACACTATCACAGGTTAGAGGTGACCTGAAGTGTTACAACACAGAAACTAACATGTAAAATTGCACAATTTTATGTTTCACCCAAGGTTTAGCAACTGGCTTGTTAAATATAACCATTAACTGCAAAACACAACATTTTTATTGACACTTGACTAAAAAGGTATATTTATTCTCTTGTCCCCGAACAGGAACTGCTGAGCTCTTTGAGGAATTCAACGGCGTCACCGCATCCATCTTCATTGGCTTGAGACACGAGCTTCTCCGCTCTGAAATCAAAATCCGTAACAACTTTGGCATTACTGAGAACCTTTGGTCTGGAGGAAGGATTGTCATGACCGCTAAAGCCCCAGGAGTGGACACATCCATGAGTACTTCTGCCCAGTTCACACTTGCACCAACCATGCTTTCTGGTGATATGAATTCAGATGCTAGCATTAATATTGGACCAATGGAAGCCACGTGCACATCCCAGAACACCTTCTCCTTTGAGCCAGCTAAGAGGGAAGCTAAAGCTGAGAGCACTGTTCGGCTCAACTCTGACATTCTAAAGATGGCCAACAAGATCAAGATGTCCTATGTTAACAGCGAGCTGAACATGGACTCCAACACCAACGTGAACAGTGAGCCTCTGAAGCACACAACCAAAATAAATGTAGTGTACAAGGAAATCAAGCTCAGCATCCAGTCTGACTCTGTGACCAAGGCTAGCGAGGAGAAAATGCTGCGTAGCCAGTTGGAGATGCTTGCATCTGGAGAGCAAGTAACGCTGAGAATAGAAAACCAAGTAGACGATTCTTCAAACCGGGCTTATTCTCTGCTGACCAGCACCCTGACGCCATCTGGTCTGGAGGTCAACTCAGACGCTTCAGTCAATATCTTCTCAAGCCTTGCCTCTCATAAAGCCACCTTGACCTTCGATGATAACGGCCTGACCACAAGCTGCACCACAACTGCCCAGATTACACCACTCACATTTGAAAATGTCTTCCATGCAGGAGCAGACTCTACTGGGGCAACAATGTCTCTTACCACAAAGGGAGGCATGAATGAGAACAAAGCCGAGCTTAATGTTGAGGGCAAGATCGCAAGCTCCGAAGTCTACCTCAACAGCATCATGAAAGGCAATCTCTTTGACCTTAATGGAAGAAACCGAGTTAACTTAAGGCTTAACGAAGATGGTTTGATTGCCTCTACCAACATGGTGGCCTCTTATGATGAATATAGCACCAAGAACACCCACACTCTTTCTCTTACCATGAAATACTTCACTCTCCAATCCAAGACTGACAACTTCTTGAACAGCCAAAATTCTTACATGCACGACATTACAATTAATATTGAACGCTTCTCTGCAAATGCCATTATGAAAAACGAAATGAAGATTCTCAACGCTGTCTTTAACAACGATGCACAGTTCAAAGCAGAGCCCTACACCATGGAACTGGTTGGTACGACAACAGGCGGATACAACGATGAGGAGATGCGTCATGCCTACGAATTCAAGTTTGTTGATATGATCCTGTCTGGTAAATGCAACACCAACGGCAAACTCTTTGAAAATCGTGTCACCCATACTACTGATGTGGAAATTTCTGGCCTGACTTTAAAATTCAATGATGTCACTAGCTTGAATTCCCCAATCTTGCGCTTTGATAGCACCTTCAAATCCAGTGCCGCACCTTTCACCTTGATTGTTGATGCCATATCTAATGCAAATGTTGATTTCAACTTATATGGGGAGAACAATGCCCAAATGTACAGTAAGCTGTTGATGAAAGCGGAGGGATTCATGTTTACCCATTCCCTGGAACATAGAGCCTCTGCCAACATGAAAGATATGCACGGAAAAGCGGCACAGATCAGCATGGACAATAAGTTCGACAGCTTGTTGACACTACAAGAACAAAGCGTCAATCTGAAAATGACATCCAATGTGAACGAGCATGCTTTCAATCACCAACTTAGTGCCTTCAACAATGCAGAGAAAGTTGGCGTTGAAATGAACAGCGGTGCACTTACTTCATTGCTTGTTGAGGAAAAGAAGGACTATAGTATCTCTGGCTTTGTGATCTATGAGAAGAATGGGGAAAGCCACATTATGATCCCCTTTGTCGAGCATATTCCAGCAGTGGTTGAAAACATCATGAATACCATTATCAGTCTAATGGACCAAGGTATCAACTCTGTAAAAGATATTGACCGCAAGTACAACATCAGCACAAGACTTCACAGGAAAATCACAGAGCTAAAAGAGATAATTGACAACTTTGATGCCAACCTTTTTGTTCAAGACGTCAAGAAGTTCCTCAGCTCTATTGAAAGCACAATCACCAACTTGACAAGAAACTTCCCCACTGACAAAGTCATGGCTATGCTGAATACCATCAAGAATATGATCATGTCTTGGATCAAAGAGAACAACCTGCTTGAAAGGTTTAACATTATCTACAGTAAAATGGAGGAGATCTTGTCCAATTATCAAGTAGAGGAAATGATTGGTTCCTTAATGGATGAGGTTGTTAAGATCATGAAACAGTATCAAGTTAGAAAAAAGATACAAGCCTATTTTGCTGCGATTAAATCCATTGACATCAAGCCAGTTGTCAAGAGAGTGATGCTGCCAATTCAGGGTTTGGTTCAGGAACTGTACGCTGTTGACATCAAGCAATTCATTGAAGATATTAATGACTTTGTTCTGAGACTGCTGCAGAAAGTCCGATCATTTGACTATGAGACACTTACAAGGGAGATGACAGAGAACCTGAAAGAGATGAGCATTGTTCCATGTTTGGGAAAACTTTTGGGAGAGGTCAAAGTAAATTCCCCGCATTATAAGATGAAAACCAACATTAACTTTGAAAACAACACAGTAAGCGCTGACACCCCAGACATTCTCTTCAGCCTTAAATCTAATGCAGAATCCACATTGAAACCATTTGAATATACCCTTGTTGCCTCTGCTAATGTTGCCTTACCAAGAATGAGCCACTTGGCTATTGCCGAAAGTGTAAAATTTGACCATTACAGCCTTCAAGTGGACCACCAGGCTTCCACAAACATCTACAGGCATTCTGCTTTGGCATCTGCTGAAACCACTGCAAAGGCAGACACTGAGATGTACAGGGGCGAGCTGCTCAACAAGGCATCCCTGACAATGGAGAGCGGCGTCTCTTCCAAAATGGAGACCAACTACAAGCAAGACCTTCGTTTCCCGCTGTTCAAAATCTTCAATGACATGATCCTGAACCAAATTTCAACTTTGGAGATTCAAGATGGCAGCGCCACTTTAAAAATGGAAAATGCAATTGATGGTAAAGTGAACCATTATGAGGCTAATCACAAAAGTGATATGGAAGTTGTTTTCGACCTCCATACAGCTAAGATCACCTTCAACGGAGCGAGTGGTTGCAACAAGATGAAAGTCACCCAGAAATTAGATGCAGACATATGCATTTTCCAACATGCAATTGTTGATGCCAAGATGGAGACTGAGGCACCGTTCCTAAAAAGCAGTGTTGCAGAGGCAAAATTCCAGGCAAAGGTTGAGGATTTGAAAATTGACTTTACTGCCTCCCACAAAGCAGAGCTTGTTGATGTAGTTGAAGGAACACTTTCTAATTCTATTGTAGCAATGGTCACTCCCGATGATGTCACTTTTGAAGCTACAAACAAGGCAAATGCTAAGGTTGGTCTTCCATTTAAACTATCAAGCAAAATTGACCTCCAAAATGACTATTCTTTTGCCCTGAACCCAGTGGAGCAGAGGGCTAGTTGGACAGGCCTTGCCCGATTCAACCAGTATAAATACTCACATTTTGTCAGCATGGAAAACTTAGAAAGAGAAATTAACATATTTTACCAAATTAATGGTGAGGCCAATCTGGATGTTCTGAAAGAACAAATGATCATTCCTGAAATTGATTTGCCATTTGTTGGCATTACCATCCCAAGAATGGAGGACTTTACTCTGTGGGAGTATCTTGGGGATTTTCTGATAACCACTCAGCAAACTCTTGACATCAATTCCAATTTGAAGTATGCCAAAAACCCAGACATGATTGTCATTGATGTCAACATGGACTCCATCATCAATGCCATCAACACCAATGCCAAAACGTTCCACAAACGCATGCTTATCGGAAAGGACAAAGCCGCCGCCCTTCTCACGCAGACTTATGGTAAAGCCAAGGATGAATATGAAAGGTACAGCGTAGAGTTTCCAAAGACTGTCACAATCCCAGCTTACAGGATACCAGTCATGAATGTTGAAATGTCCACCTTTACCATCCCATTGCCTGATGCTAGCCTGGTGAAAATGCCATCCTTCCATGTTCCATCTGCTCTTAGCAAGCTGACTATTCCCAAAGTTACCCTGCCAAAGATTAACAGCATCAAGATCCCACGTTTGGGAGAGATGACTTATGAGTTCTCCATGAAAACTGCAATGCTGACGCTGAAAGCTAACGCAGGACTTTCCAATGGTCAAGAGGCTTTGGTCATGAAATACGATGCCTCCTCGACTTCAGAGTTGAATTTACTTTCTGGAAATGTTGAAAGCACAGCTGCACTTAAGACCAACGATGGACTGAGAATGGAGTCCAACATGGCCCTGAGGCACAACTTGGCAGAGTTCAACCACAACAACGTAATCGTCCTGTCTCCCACCATAGAGATGGACATGACCAACTCACTTTCCAAGGCCATCAACCTTGAGCAGTCAATGAAGGTGAACAGAAATGAGGGTGTGTTGGTGACCATGGCCATTCCATCTGGACTCGTCGGAGCTCAGGTCGTCCCCAAGTCTATGACAGCTGTGAAGGCCAGGGTCTACGGACGCTACCCGGTAAGCAGCCTCCTCCGCATGCATTGCAATGTTAAATTGACAGTCATAGAATCATAATGGACCTCTGGTTGCCTCTACTTTAGTTTGAGAATGTCTTTATTAAATGTCAACCACAAGGTGATAGTATTGCTCACCCTGACTGGCTCTTACTACATCCATATCCATATCTTGTTTAACCATTTCTCATAAATTATTAAATATAGGAAATAGTAAATATTATCATGATGCTTATTGCCTGTCTGTTTATTTTCTATTGTAAAACTTTCTAACAAACTGACCCATGAATTCAAATGTATTCATACTTTCTTATTCTTTATTTTCAGTCTGAAGAGGACATGGACATAGTGGCCGTGCTGTTGTCCGCAGAGAGGGGACTGAACATGCAGGCTAACTGGAACATGGAGATGCCTCATGATGCCATGCGAGCAATTCAAGCAGAAATGCCAGAAATGCACTTTTACGTCGATATGGTTGGTACTTTATATAGAAAAATGCAACAGGGTGCAACCAGAATGAGCAGTAACGCAGCTAAATACTTTGAAAAAGCTAAAGAAGACAGCAAAGTTATGTTCAGACAAACCTTTGAAACCATCTCCGCAATGGAACCCTACAAGTTCATGACCACTTTTGCTGATGACATTATTTTAACCATGAGAAACTGCCGTAATAGAGTAGCCCTGATTTTCGACGCTATTGTTAAGTTCCTGGGAGAAACTAAATTCCAACTGCCAGGTCACACTGATAAAATGAGCGGACTGGAACTGTATAAAGCCTGTGGCAACTTTGTCTCTGATGTCGCCAACGAAGCCATCGATAGAATCCCAAAATATGTCTCTGCTGTGTCCACACCTGTAACAGAGTATTTCAAAACGCTTGAATTCCAATTTTTTAATCAAATTGTGACCGGCAGTGAGATATTGGAAGATTTTACATTATTTATAAGCAGACTCCAAGAACAAATTAAAGTAATAGTTAAGAAAATTGGCAAATACCCACTTGAGGAAATCCTCGACAATGTAAATTCTCTTGTTCGCTACTTTTCCCAACTTGGCGAAAGCTTTGTCGAAATGGTCCAGTCGGTTGATGTGGAACGAATGACCGAGTTACCTGGCGAAATGTACGAAGCTGTGGTTAATTCCCCAATTTTGAAAAACATGATGAAGCCGTTGGAAAAGGTGTACTTCATTGTATGGGATTACATCAGAACTGTCCAAGCCAGAGTACAAACCTTGCTCGACGATTTTTCAGTTGACCAGCTCCAAAGCGACATTAAGAACTTTACTGATAGGACAGTCAATAATATGAACACACTTCAAAACAACATCATTGAAAGTCTAAAGGAAGAAACCAAATCCATAGATATGTATGTTAAAATGGGTGACAGAAATCTGGAGATCGACATGCCTTTTCCATTTGTGAACTAAGTGAGCCTAAGTGAGCTGGCTATTATTGACAGAAAGATAGATATATGCTGAAGACGCCTGTGTTAACAACTCCTTTTTTAAATGTATAATTGTTTTGTTCTGAGTATGCCTTGGTAATGATGGCATTTGTGTCTTGTATTATTTAAACAAAAACCTGTGTGATCAATAAAAAAATTGTACAGCACATTATCTACGTCTTTCATTTTTAGTAGGTAGAGATTGGAGTCATTATATTAATAGATGAAAGAGTTTAAATGGACATGCAAATATATATTTAATTAACGTTTTATATCATTTAAAGACTAATTAAGTTTAGTATTGGAGGGTATAAGTTTAGGAATGTGAACAGAAGAAATAATCGAAAACAAGACTATGGTAGTGGACAATGTACTTGAATGTGTCACTTCAGCATTTGCAAGGGAAAAAAGGAAAAACAAAACTGTAAGTTGCAGTAGCAGTCAACTAAGAGTTTATTTATCAAGGTTTGTTGCTGCTTTGAACGTTGGAATTTCTCTTGCTCAATGCATCTGTTGAGAGGTGCCCCCTCCCAAAGAGATCACAAGAGATCTTTTAATGCAGCACACAGTATAGAACGGGCAGTGAGGACGTACTGCCGTCTTCAACAGCTGGGGACAGGAAAGTCCTGGACAGACAAACATCTACAGTATGCTGGTCCCTCTGCAGGATCTTTTTCTGCTCTGGAGAGCAGTTTCAGAGACAGACTGTGAAGGAGAGGTTCAGAATGTCTGTATTTATACAGTTAATAAAACACTTTCAAGAGAGCGAACAAAGAACTGTCTGTGTTACGGGATTCACCTCAAACTCATCAAAGATTTCTTTCCTGAACTGAGGGTAACATGGAGGTTCCTCACAGAGAATGCTGCCTGGTGGAATGTGGGAGACTTGTGTGAGACTTGTGTGTTCTGTCAAAGGCTGTCTGTGTAGAGTTGTTGGGAGAGCTTCCATAAAATAGGAGGAGATGGGGACAACCAGAGATCCATAACTCTTACATTTACATACTCCAGCAGTGAAGAACCGAGCCCGCTCATGGCCTCACTTTTAGTGGGCCGACAAATCCCCACTTATTCCCTCAGCCTTCATTGTTCCACCAATATATCTGTCCCTCAGATACAATGAGGAGGCTCTGGAAATATAGTGATATTTATATGCCCCATATAAATAAAATATACTTTATTTACAACTGTTATTTATAATGGTAAATGTAATGCACATGTACGTAGACTTTTGTGGGGGATAAGGTCTTCTTCATTTTGAAATTTTAAATCATTAAACAAATTTCCACTCAAGACGTTTTATCACATCGTAAACCATTAAATGCCTTGGTACATATTAAATAATTAATATAATTTCCTATTTAACTTGTTTTTATTATGAGTAAATGTTGACTGCCTTAAAACAGTGTTTTGGGGCAAATGATTTGGTTCACATTAATGCACAGTAACTGTTTTTGCTCATTCCTGGTGAATGTGAACCGACTCCGCGTCAAACAACAGGACTGGGAAGGCGTGTTCGGGCAGCAAGAACATGGCACTGGCAAAACAGTAACAACACACTCAAACCAAATAAAAACATGACTAAGTGGAACTTTCCATCATCAAAGTTTTATAAAATAGTATCAGTGGCTGAACATGGCACACATAAATAACAGGCATTGTACAAAACACAACAGGTTTGACCCAGCTCCCAATGTCCAGCACTTGGTGAGAATACTTTGACTTGTTTTCATTTTACAGTCCTTTTGTTATGGCACAATACTTGGCTAGTATGCGGACAGTAACATGCGGCCACATACTGTAGAAGAGTAATAATAGAAATGCGTAATTATAACAGTTAACACAACACAAATATATTTAAGATTTAACTCAAAGTCAAAAAAACGTATCTCACATTTGTAAATCGTGACATCACACTTGAGAATTCCATAATTGTTGCCTCGCAACCGTGCAGAGGCAACATTCTTATGCATTTCAAATGAGACTAGACCTTTATTTGATTTAGTTAATCATGAAAGTTGCATGTTTTTCATGATTGAGTTTGAGCAAGAACCTGGAAAGGAAAAATTATCCCAAAGTTCATTGTTACTCAAACTCGTTAAATATTCAAGTTCATAAGCAAAAAAAACGATCCCAGTTAAACAAATAGTGACCTGAATTCACATCATGTTAAATCTTACAAATATTCTCAGTTGAGGAATTCTGAACCAGTGTGATGTCATCAAAGAGCAGCTTTTGTTCACAAACGGCAAAGTGTTTCTTGTCAAGTAGCGTTATGTTATGTATATATATAAATATATATAAATATATTTATACATAACATATAACTAAACGCTCAGATGCCCATGTCTCCAACGGCAGCCGAGTGTCTTTGTGAATGCCGCCTACGCACACGTTTTCTGTGGTTTGATTAATGTAAACATTGGAAAATAAAAAGAATATCTAGGGTAAGGGAAATTGAGCATTTATCATCTATATATTATTATTAGTGATTCTCAACTTTTAAAGTACACACTCAAGAATGGTCGTTTGGTTTGTTTTAGTGGTAAAGGTGCACAAACAAAACGATCAAAAAATAAATACAATGCAATTAAATTACGGGGTACAACTTTTTGTTCTTAAGTTGGACTTTTTGTGAGTTTGGCTGTTAGTTTATAAGCAATAGGCAGATCTCAATAAAGGCCATTAAGAACATGAAAAGCTTTATGATCAAATAGTTCTATTCAGAATCTAGATTACATGTGTCACTTTTGTCAATGATGAATCGAAACTCACACTATCAGTAATCCAACTAGTTCAGGCAGTTTCACAGCATTTCACTTCTACCCCCTGTAGTGAAATTCTGTCTCGTTCTCATGGATCTTCATGTCCCAAACATCCTGCGATCATTAGTGCAGCCAAAGTGAGCCAGAACGCACACGCACAAACACACCCACACCTTTTTGTTGAGACTACACTAATAGACTTTAGATGAAGTTAATGCACAACAAAGCCTAACCTTGACTCTGCAACGTCTTAACACAATATCTGCAAATGAATGACATCAGAGATGATCCAACAGCGCGGATCATCTTGACAGTCGAAAGGTCAACACGCCACATTTCTGTGAAATCTGTTAAGAACTTTTTTACCCGACAATACTTCGGCAATTTTAGGGTACCTAACTTTTTAACGACTACGTTGTAAAATGTATCAAAATAGTTTGTCCCTCTAAAAGTGTGGTCCTATTTTCACGTGCATGTATTTTTGTCCAACAGAGAAGTGAAAGCAGGACCACCCTTACTCAGCTCAAAGAGTCAATAGTGACTCACAGGGCTCTCTCTTGGTACGCAAAAGAAAATGCTTCTAATTAGATTCAGTCATGTTGTGATAGGCTTACTTCATAATATTTTACTTTTACAAGAAATATATCAGTATTTAAATACAACAATTACTAACATTTCAATCGTACAGCCCTAGTGTGTACAGAGTCCAGCCCATGAGCCCACCTGGTGTTCCCACAGTGCAGCAGTACTAGGCCTGCCCCTGAATGACTTGCAGATAAAGGGGAAAGTGCAGCTCACAAAGCCCTCATTGTGATCAGGTAGACACAAGTACCAAAGTCATCATTAGTGTTCACTGCAGCGAGAAACTGCTGTTGAATTGATAAAAAGGTCCATATTGCACATAGGGTGACATAAAAATAGTGCAGGAGCCCGACACCCCGGATTTTGAAACGGTTTTGAATATTTTCAGGGGTTTCTGACCTTTCAAAATGAAGTATGACATCTGAAGTTGGCTGAATGTTTACTTTCTCACCAGCGGCATTAGCGTTTTATGTCACAGTCCACTAATGATGCTATAGCATGCCTAATAAAAGGATTCTGATTCAACTGGCAGAGCTGAAGTTGTCTCCAGGACTGTTGTGCTTACACAAGGCAGAGCGCCACCTAAAGGAAATGTAGAGCTATTTGGCCCTGGGGCCGGACTGGACATGTCTGTTCTCACATTTAGAGCAAGTCTTGCAGTTGAGTTATGGGCATCTTTGGCATGATCAACGAAACTATATATTTTAAGTCAAAACTTGATAAGATACAGCTCAGAATTAAATAAAAAACAAATCCTCTTTTGCCAAAAAAATCCTAAAGACGTTGTGCTCTTGTGTGTTAATTATCTGCGAATCATTACTCATCATAACAAATCTCAAACAGCATTGAGCGCTGATTAACACTGACGAAGGAAAATCCGAAAACAGCAGCAATCATTCCAACATGCATGAGTATGAGAGAGATAAAGTCTGGATTGTAAGGTGTAAGGTGGAGGTGCTACTTGAAGGGATGATTGTATCTAAAAAATGTCTACATTACGAGTTGTTTTGTCGGTAGTGTCTCACATTCCATTACCAGTGAGAAATATAAAATTAATAAACAATAAAAAGTAATGAAAAAGTTTAGTTTTTGAAAAGCCGAAAGAGAATAGAAAGGCTTACTTTGTAAGCACATGTGTTCAGGGACAATCTATAGCCTCTATGGGCTTTGCGGGTTCATTTAGCAGAATATAGAGTTACAAAGCAAAAGTCAGCTCAGTTGCCTACTTTACGTTGTTGATGTTTCCATAGCAACCTTCTTGACAAAACTAGAAGTTCTGAGCTGAATGGCATAGTACGCTGGTTGTTTTGATTGTGTCTTTATAGTCATTATAATCCAGCTTCACATCAGCACACAGCAATTGTCACAGTTTCCGCTCTGCTTGGGCCGTTTCTGCAGCGCCGCCCTAGTGGCTGCCTCAAAGACCTCCCATATGCCTTCTTTGGTCTTGGCCGAACACTCCAGGTAGTCATAGGCCCCGATGCGCGCAGCCATGGCCCGCCCATCGTCAGGCTTGACTGGCCGTTTCACTTCTTCGTCGTGGCGCAGGTCTTTCTTGTTGGCCACCAGGATGATGGGCACGTTGGGACAGAAGTGCTTGACCTCTGGCACCCACTTCTCCGGGATGTTCTCCAGAGAGTCAGGGCTGTCCACAGAGAAGCACATGAGGATCACATCAGTGTCCGGGTACGAGAGAGGGCGCAGCCGGTCGTAGTCCTCCTGTCCAGCCGTGTCCCATAGAGCCAGTTGCACCTGGAAATCAAAGGCAAGGCAAGGTTAAACATATAGCACTGCTAACACACAAGACTTTATAGAAAGGCACATGAATGCTCATGCAAGTCAGAAAATACACTCTTCAGCACTGGAGCATCAGCCGCTGATTTGTCCATTTATCTTATTACTGTATTTGATCTTTTTGACTAACTTAACTTCTATGCGAGTCTTCTGTGAGTATTCTGGGGTCACAGAGTCACGTCACGGAGTCACGTCACGGAGTCACGTCACGGAGTCACGTCACGGAGTCACGTCACGGAGTCACGTCACGGAGTCACGTCACGGAGTCACGTCACGGAGTCACGTCACGGAGTCACGTCACGGAGTCACGTCAGCTTGGCTTTGTTAAACACAGTAAATCCGAACAGTTTCAGTCTGGTCAAGGATGCACTTTTATACAGTACAATCCAAAAGTTTGGACACACTTTCTCATTCATTGAGTGTCCTTTCTTTTCATGACTATTGACTGTAGATTCACACCAGGCTGTGTAAGGGCTGTTTGACCAATAAGGAGAGTGATGGTGCTGGGCCAGATGAACCGGCCTCCACAGTCACCGGACCTGAACCCAATCGAGATAGTTTTGGGACTGGACCACAGAGTGAAGGCGAAAGGGCCAACAAGTGCTAAGCATCTCTGGGAACTCCTTCAAGACTGTTGGAAGACCATTACAGGTCCTCTTGAAGCTCATCAAGAGAATGCCAAGAGTGTGCGAAGCAGTAATCAGAGCAAAAGGTGCTACTTTGAAGAACATAGAATATACAGTAAGACATATTTTCAGTTGTTTCATACTTTTTTTTGTATGTACATAATTCCACATGAGTTAATTCATAGTTTTGATGCCTTCAGTGTGAATCTACAATATTCATAATCATGAAAATAAAAAAAACTCTTTGAATGAGAAGGTGTGTCCAAACTTTTGGTCTGTACTGTATTTTTCAGAAAATATAGGGGGACAATAATGTTCTGATATCAGAGTGTTAGGGGCGACAGTGGCTCCGTTGGTAGAGGATTGGCCCAGATTAAGCAGAAGAAAATGGATGGATGGATGGATGGATAGAGTGTGTTTGATTGATTGACGAGCAGAGAAAACTTAACACTTCACAATATTGAATGCTACAATCTCTCAAACAGAATCCCTTTTTCTCACATTTAAAGCATTCTAGCCCTTAAATTTGGATACATTGATACCTTTTTATTGAATATACTGATTTAAAAACCCTGGGGCTTCCGAGTCAGAATTCCGGTCAGACTGAAAAGTCTCACCCAATGTTTCCCAAGCTGGGGTTTGGAGATTCCATGACTTGTTGAACATTTGGTAGTTTTAATAAGTCATGTTCAGAAATCTTCAAATTATTTATAAAAAAATCGCTTTGTTTTATGTATTTTTAAAGAAAGCGATGGGTATCCTTGTGTATCATTAAAATACACAGAATTAGAACCTAAAATAAAGAATACAGTGGTCACTGAAAAAAATGTGTCAAATAAGAACAAGTGACAAGAGTGTGTGGTGCCTTGGTCAATCGTGTGATATTATTTTGGAACCATACAGCATGATACATGATACAGATACGAGTCTGCTCTGGCCAAGTTTAGAGTAGACACAATAACATTGACTATTGCTACATTTCATTTGACCTGTACTTTAAGATTACAGAAAGGTGCTGCCATTACCGCTTAAGTTCACATCTACACCCATTATTAGCCTTCGACTTCACGTGATTTCAGATTCTTCTGAGAGTCCCAAACACAGCCCTTACCTGCTTACTGTCCACTTCTATGTCAGCCACGTATGTCTCGAACACAGTGGGCACGTAGACCTCAGGAAACTCGTCCTTACTAAAGACTATGAGCAGACACGTCTTCCCGCACGCCCCGTCTCCCACCACCACCAGTTTCTTCCGTATGTCCGCCATTAGTCCCGTGCGTCAAGGCGCGGACCGCTCTATGGCACCATCCGAGGGCGCAAAAGTTACGCGCGGCTTTTACAACGCGATAAAGACTAGGAATAAACACGATTTTATGGGTTTCTCCGTGGAATTTCGGTCTTCCTAGGAATCGCAGGGTGCTTTCTCGCCCGGCAGTACAGGCTGTGAGCTCGGTGGCCTCTTTATAAAGCGTAGACGACTGACTAAATATAGCGCTCCAATCGGAAACGCGGAGGTGAGGTCACTGAGGCAGAGGAAGGTGCTGATTGGAGCCCGGGCCGGGTTTTCCCAAGGCGGGGGAGGCTCTTGTGCAGCTCCCAGGCTTCCAGCACCACGAGGGCCCCTCCCGAGCAGGGGGACCAGGGGCCACACACACTATGAGCGCATCATGGAGCGCATGCGCCCAGTACGAGGTAGTAGTACGGTGTTATAGCTCATGAATGTACAGGATGAAGACTGGAAGAAATGGAAAACAGCTTCAATGGAATACAACCTTTGTTTACCTTTGTTTTATATCAAACGGTTTGCCTCCAATTCTATTTTGTGAATTTGTAAGATTGAGATTTGTGAAACAGGACCTGTGGTCGTAAGATTTATGAGGCACAAAATCGAAATGTAAACAACCAGAGAAACCAAATGTTGTCTGAACTTTCCTATGTATTGTTCTATGAGTAACAACTAACTTCACTCTTTTTCTCAATAACTCACTTTGTTCTGGCTTCTTTACTCACTCAAAAGTGTGGACTGACTTCCCCAGCCCGGACTCGTGGCCTGAAACCCATCGCAGCCAGGGAACCACCTCAGTGGGTTTCTCATTCTCCTGGATTTCTCTCATTTTTTAGAGTTTTTCCTTGACGACAGTGGTGATGACCCAGGAAACTCGACATTCAACGAGATTTATGGACATTTATATTTATTTATGGACATTTGTCATATGCCTTCTAGCTCTACGTGCTTTGTTTTCCTTGCAAAAACTATTTTTGTGATTTAGGGCTGAATTTTCTGGGCTTCCAAGTTTAGATCAGCATGCTGTTAGCTGTAAGGGTTCTTCTGGCACCCCCTCGGTTGTTCGCTTCTCTTTGCCAATTTCATTCCTGTTTGGAAATTTCTGGAGATGTTAAAGCTCTGATATTCAAAAATGCATATGAAGCCAGACCTGTCCAATTCAACTCTAGAAGTGACATGCAAATCCATTATAGCTCCCAAATACTGTGCAATTATGAAAATAAGATCTCCATTGTCCGTCAGAAACATTGCTGGACCTTGGACTTACCAATAAAAGGACAATTAAAGCCGCAAGCAGCGTCAAACGGCCCGCGCAGCACAGCCCAGCACCGCACCGCGTTGACCCGCCGCACTGCCCCACGCAGGACCGCCCCGTCCCACTCTGCCCTGTGCCACACCGGCCCGCATCGGCCCTCACCACACCGCGCCACGCAACAAAGGTGGTGCCGCCGCGCCATGATTTGTTTGCCTATGATCAGTGATTGTGTGTCAATCCATGGGTCTAATTGAGTTTTTGAATCAGAATGGCAAAACAGACTTTCAAACATTATGATCAAACTAACTATCTTTCTGCCCATGTAAAACTTGACTCAGTCTGCAGGGGGCGCTAATGCTGCAATTTCATGTTTTACACTTTCAGTTTACCCAAACTCAAAAGTTGAACTATCAAATCAAATTTTGAGCAAATCAGACTTTGCATGTGCAAACGTCGGTCATGTACTTTGCATAATAGCGTCCCCTACAATAAAATAGTTTTAGTCTTATACCAAAGACATCAAAATAAATAATTTGTTGCCAGAAAAAAACGTAATGAAAAATGTGGTGAGTTTTCGTGCATGCTCAGTGGGTCAAATAAGAGATCAAACAACAGAAAAACGAAATGCTCGTCTCCCCTGCTCTCTCTCTTGTCCCCTATGTAAAAGTTTTACTCAGCCTGTAGGGGGCGCTAATGGGACAATGTCATTGTTCACACTTTCAGGCGACCTAGGCCCAGGAGTTGAACAACCGATTCAAGTTTAGTGCAAATCAGACTTAGTAAATGCCATTCTCACCCATGTAAAACTTGACTCAGTCTGTTGGGGGCGCTAATGCTGCAATTTAATGTTTTACACTTTCGGTTAACCCAAACCCAAAAGTTGAACAACCAATTAAAATTTGGTGTAAATCGGACTTTGTATGTGCGAAAGGGAGCAAATTTGCTTATGTCAAAAAAGGCAAAGAAAATGCCACTTTCTGCCGCTCCGCTGCTCAAACAACGTTTTATTGATCAAAATTCCCTGTAGTCATTTTGATGGTACATGTGTTGAGATGATGTGGAGCGATTTTGAGGCAAATTGGTCAAACGGCCGCAGAGGAGTCGCTTTCCAACCGACCTGTACGAAAATTATTGCTGTTCATTTTTCCATTTTGCAGTGAAATTTATGGGGTTTCTGTTTGTCAGAGGGCGGGGCCATAATAACACTTATTTCATGTCTTGGATTGTCATTGATGTAAATATGGACTCCATCCTCAATGCCATCAACACCAATGCCAATTTCCAAAGACTGTCACAATCCCAGCTTACAGGATACCAGTCATGAATGTTGAAATGTCCACCTTTACCATCCCATTGCCTGATGCTAGCCTAGTGAAAATGCCATCCTTCCATGTTCCATCTGCTCTTAGCAAGCTGACTATTCCCAAAGTTACCCTGCCAAAGATTAACAGCATCAAGATCCAACGTTTGGGAGAGATGACTTATGAGTTCTCCATGAAAACTGCAATGCTGACGCTGAAAGCTAACGCAGGACTTTCCAATGGTCAAGAGGCTTTGGTCATGAAATACGATGCCTCCTCGACTTCAGAGTTGAATTTACTTTCTGGAAATGTTGAACGCACAGCTGCACTTAAGACCAACGACGGACAGAGATGGACATGACCAACTCACTTTCCATGACCATCAACCTTGAGCATTCAATGAAGGTGAACAGAAATGAGGGTGTGTTGGTGACCATGGCCATTCCATCTGGACTCGTCGGAGCTCAGGTCGTCCCCAAGTCTATGACAGCTGTGAAGGCCAGGGTCTACGGACGCTACCCGGTAAGCAGCACTCCTCCGCATGCATTGCAATGTTAAATTGACAATCATAGAATCATAATGGACCTCTGGTTGCCTCTAATTTAGTTTGAGAATTTCTGTATTAAATGTATCTTCTTTAAGACAGAATATGATTTCCCATTTCAACCAAGGTGATAGTATTGCTCACCCTGACTGGCTCTGACTACATCCATATCCATATTTTTTTTAACCATTTCTCATCAATTATTAAATATAGTAAATAATAAATATTATCATGATGCTTATTGCCTGTCTGTTTATTTTCTATTGTAAAACTTTCTAACAAACTGACCCATGAATTCAAATGTATTCATACTTTCTCATTCTTTATTTTCAGTCTGAAGAGGACATGGACATAGTGGCCGTGCTGTTGTCCGCGGAGAGGGGACTGAGCATGCAGGCTAACTGGAACATGGAGATGCACTTTTACGTCGATATGGCTGGAAATGTATACAGGAAAATGCAACGGGGTGCAACCAGAATGAGCAGTAATGCAGTAAATGGTAAATGTAATGTGTGTACGTTGACTTTTGTGGGGGATAAGGTCTTCTTCATTTTACATATTAAATAACTAATATCATTTCCTATTTAACGTGTTTTTATTATGAGTAAATGTTGACTGCCTTAAAACAGTGTTTTGGGGCAAATGATTTGGTTCACATTAATGCACAGTAACTGTTTTTGCTCATTCCTGGTGAATGTGAACCGACTCCGCGTCAAACAACAGGACTGGGAAGGCGTCTTCGGGCAGCAAGAACATGGCACTGGCAAAACAGTAACAACACACTCAAACCAAATAAAAACATGACTAAGTGGAACTTTCCATCATCAAAGTTTTATAAAATAGTATCAGTGGCTGAACATGGCACACATAAATAACAGGCATTGTACAAAACACAACAGGTTTGACCCAGCTCCCAATGTCCAGCACTTGGTGAGAATACTTTGACTTATTTTCATTTTACAGTCCTTTTGTTATGGCACAATACTTGGCTAGTATGCGGACAGTAACATGCGGCCACATACTGTAGAAGAGTAATAATAGAAATGCGTAATTATAACAGTTAACACAACACAAATATATTTAAGATTTAACTCAAAGTCAAAAAAACGTATCTCACATTTGTAAATTGTGACATCACACTTGAGAATTCCATAATTGTTGCCTCGCAACCGTGCAGAGGCAACATTTTTATGCATTTCAAATGAGACTAGACCTTTATTTGATTTAGTTAATCATGAAAGTTGCATGTTTTTCATGATTTAAAATTCAAAAATCTGTTAGTTTGAGCAAGAACCTGGAAAGGAAAAATTATCCCAAAGTTCATTGTTACTCAAACTCGTTAAATATTCAAGTTCATATAAGCAAAAAAAACGATCCCAGTTAAACAAACAGTGACCTGAATTCACATCATGTTAAATCTTACAAATATTCTCAGTTGAGAAATTCTGAACCAGTGTGATGTCATCAAAGAGCAGCTTTTGTTCACAAACGGCAAAGTGTTTCTTGTCAAGCAGAGTTATGTTATGTATATATATAAATATATATAAATATATTTATACATAACATATAACTAAACGCTCAGATGCCCATGTCTCCAACGGCAGCCGAGTGTCTTTGTGAATGCCGCCTACGCACACGTTTTCTGTGGTTTGATTAATGTAAACATTGGAAAATAAAAATAATATCTAGGGGAAAGGAAATTGAGCATTTATCATCTATATATTATTAGTGATTCTCAACTTTAAGAATTGTTGTTTTGTTTTATAAAATCTGAAAACAGCAGCAATCATTCCAACATGCATGAGTATGAGAGAGATAAAGTCTGGATTGTAAGGTGTAAGGTGGAGGTGCTACTAGAAGGGATGATTGTATCTAAAAAATGTCTACATTACGAGTTGTTTTGTTGGTAGTGTCTCACATTACATTACCAGTGAGAAATATAAAATGAATAAACAATAAAAAGTAATGAGTAAGTATTTGTTTTTGAAAAGCCGAATGAAGAGAATAGAAAGGCTTACTTTGTAAGCACATGTGTTCAGGGACAATCTATAGCCTCTATGGGCTTTGCGGGTTCATTTAGCAGAATATAGAGTTACAAAGCAAAAGTCAGCTCAGTTTCCTACTTTACGTTGTTGATGTTTCCATAGCAACCTTCTTGACAAAACTAGAAGTTCTGAGCTGAATGGCATAGTTTAACGCTGGTTGTTTTGATTGTGTCTTTATAGTCATTATAATCCAGCTTCACATCAGCACACAGCAATTGTCACAGTTTCCGCTCTGCTTGGGCCGTTTCTGCAGCGCCGCCCTAGTGGCTGCCTCAAAGACCTCCCATATGCCTTCTTTGGTCTTGGCCGAACACTCCAGGTAGTCATAGGCCCCGATGCGCGCAGCCATGGCCCGCCCATCTTTAGGCTTGACTGGCCGTTTCACTTCTTTGTCGTGGCGCAGGTCTTTCTTGTTGGCCACCAGGATGATGGGCACGTTGGGACAGAAGTGCTTGACCTCTGGCACCCACTTCTCCGGGATGTTCTCCAGAGAGTCAGGGCTGTCCACAGAGAAGCACATGAGGATCACATCAGTGTGCGGGTACGAGTGAGGGCGCAGCTGGTCGTACTCCTCCTGTCCAGCCGTGTCCCATAGAGCCAGTTGCACCTGGAAATCAAAGGCAAGGCAAGGTTAAACATATAGTACTGCTAACACACAAGGCTAATGAACTTGGATGGATGGATGGATGATCAGAGAAAACTTTTTAACACTTCACAATATTGAATGCTACAATCTCTCAAACAGAATCCCTTTTTCTCACATTTAAAGCATTCTAGCCCTTAAATTTGGATACACTGAGTGATATACCTTTTTATTGAATATAATGATTTAAAAACCCTGGGGCTTCCGAGTCAGAACTCCGGTCAGACTGAAAAGTCTCACCCAATGTTTCCCAAGCTGGGGTTTGGAGATTCCATGTGGTGGTACTCACAATTATAGACATGAACATTTTGTAGTTTTAATAAGTTGTGTTCAGAAATCCTGAAATTATTTGAATTGCTTTGTTTTATGTATTTTTAAATAAAAGCAATGGGTATCCTTGTGTATCATTAAAATACACAGAATTAGACCTAAAATAAAGAAGAATACAGTGGTCACTGAAAACAAATGGTGTCAAATAAGAACAAGTGACAAGAGTGTGTGGCTCCTTGGTAAATCGTCTGATATTATTTTGGAACCATACAGAATGATACATGATACAGATACAGATACGGAGTCTGCTCTGGCAGAGTTTAGAGTAGACACAATAACATTGACTATTTAAAGCTGCTGCCATTACTGTTTTTCATATGTACACCCATTATTAGCCTTCGACTTCACGTGATTTCAGATTCTTCTGAGAGTCCCAAACACAGCGGTCGGCACTAGATCAGGACGAAACAGAAGTAACAATCCCACTTTAAAATTAGTTTTAGACTAAAAAGTCCTTTAGTGGTGACTGGTTAAGTTTTAGGCGTCTGAGTAAGATGGTTAAGGATAGGGTTAAGGGTGGGTTGGGGTTATTTTAATGGGAATGGGTGGTTAAGTTTAGGCATGAATAGGAAGTTTGTTATATTTACTTCCGCTTCCGTATATGATCCAGTGCTGACCCAAACACAGCCCTTACCTGCTCACTGTCCACTTCGATGTCAGCCACGTATGACTCGAACACAGTGGGCACGTAAACCTCGGGAAACTCGTTCTTGGTGAAGACTGTGAGCAGACACGTCTTCCCGCACGCCCCGTCTCCCACCACCACCAGTTTCTTGTACGCCATTCGTCCCGTGCGTCAAGGCGCGGACCGCTCTATGGCACCATTCGAGGGCGCACAAGTTACGCGCGGCTTTTACGACACGATAAAGACTAGGAATAAACACTATTTTATGGGTTTCGATCCTCCTGGGAATCGCGGGGTCCTTTCTCGCCCGGCAGTAAAGGCTGTGAGCTCCGTGGCCTCTTTATAAAGTGTAGACTGACTATAGCGCTCCAATCTGACGCGCGGAGGTGAGGTCACTGATCAGGAAGGTGCTGATTGGAGCCCGAGCCGGGTTTTCCCATGGCTGGGGAGGCTCTTGTGCTGCTCCCATGCAGGCTTCCAGCACCACGAGGGCCCCTCCCGAGCAGGGGGACCAGGGGCCACACACACTATGAGCGCATTATGGAGCGCATGCGCCCAGTACGAGGTAGTAGTACGGTGTTATAGCTCATGAATGTACAAGATGAAGACTGGAAGAAATGGAACGTGGCCTAAACGCATTATAGCCAATTCAAAGGGACATTTGAATTGCCCCCAAGTCTGTTTATCATTTTCCTAATGTGGGTTTCTCTTGTTTTTTAGAGTTTTTCCTTGACGACAGTGGTGATGACCCAGGACACTTGACATTCAACGAGATTTATGGACATTTATATTTATTTATGGACATTTGTCATCTCCCCTCCAGCTCTATGTGCCTTGTTTTCCTTGCGAAAACTATTTTTGTGATTTAGGGCTGAATTTTCTTGGCCGCCTCCTTTAGATCAGCATGCTGTTAGCTGTAACGGTTCTTCTGGCACCCCCTTGGTTGTTTCCGGTTCGCTTCTCTTTGCCAATATCATTCCTCTTTGGAAATTTCTGGATATGTTAAGCCCTGATAATCAAAAAATGCATACAGCTCAGTTTTAATTCTGGCCCATTCCAGGCCCGTCCAAAGCAACTCTAGAAGTGACATGCAAATCTATTATAGCTCCCAAATACTGTGCAATTATGAAAACATTGATTGAAAATAAGATCTCCATTGTCCGTCAGAAACATTGCTAGACCTTTTTCCAAATTCATGCGACCCTTGTTCACAGAATGGAGCTGAAAAGTGGCAGCGGTTTCAGCCAAAAAAAGCACAATTAAAACATAAAATACATTGTGGTTTTGAATGTATGAAAAACATGGATAAATGTAGATCTTTGGTCATTACTCAGCCCACATACTTTATCAATCTTCAATAATAACCACATTTACTTTAAAATATATAAGATGATATATTTCACTTGAGGAAACCTTGAGTTGTTCTCGTCTCCTAAAAGGGAGCCTATACATTTTAGACTTAAACTTAGACAGACTTTATTGATCCACAATAGCTTGCGTAGTATTTCACAATAAAAAATAACATTAAAGTAACAATCTGAAGATAAGAATAATAATAAGATAATATTTCAAGGATAGGGTAATATGGATATAGGTGTTCAGGAATATACATCTTACAGACTATATTTTTGTGTCGAACATGTTTGCACACAATCTGAGTGATCCTATCTATGCCAAAGTGATATGAACATTTCTCCAGTGTGAGATCAATAAAGTCTATCTTATCTTATCTTAATTGTAAACATTAAGTAAAATTATATAAGATTTGAATGCAGGACACTGAGTGATTCTATCCATGCCAAATGTGACAAGTTCATTTCTCCAGTGTGATATCAATAAAAGTCTATCTTATCTTATCTTAGGTATGTTTTCCCTCTCGACAGCGCAGTGTGCCCTCTGATCCAGCAGGGGGCAGCAGTTCCAGCAGTGCAGGCTAAATCTGAGCCCGGCCCCTCACACACTCGCACACATTCAGCCTCCCCGCAGCCTCCGTTCACTCCGCTCACACAGAAACACAATTCTGCTCTGGCTCTGGATACAGCTCGCCGCCACAATAGAGCAACCATCCCGACCTACAGCGCGTAAGTACCGACTCTCTGCAGCTGCTCTCTCGGCGATCGGAGAGCTCAATCCGGCTGCCCAGTGCCTCCGCCGCGGCGTGAGTCTCTCCCTTTTGTTTAGCGCTGCTGAGGGCCCTCTGTTTGGAACTTGAAGGGGGGCCATGTTGTTAGTTTTGGATGGTGTTTTCGCTCTCTTCTCGGCCACCACGGCTTGTCGCCAACATCCGCGTCAGCTCAGGATTCATTTCAATTTTTGTGCTTTGTTTGTGATCGGCGTGAAGGATGTAAACACGCACGCACAGCGATCAGGTTTTTTTTTTTTAAGTGCCGTACGGATCATAAACACATCGGCCCGCAGCTATTAGCACCTCATCATGCTAATATGAATTATTTTAGCCGATGTGACATTACTGATCGCTTCTGAACGCTGTATTTCTTTGTCTTGAATAATACATGTGTTTTAATTATTAGAATAATCTCGCAGTGCAATGACCATGTTTTCCATTCACAGTAAATAGGCACAGCACGAGCTGATGTAGCCACAGAGTAAGTAAGACTAGAGAGAGTGCTTCTGTTGCTCTATAGGGGGGCGGCCATCTTGCTTTTAATCGCAGTCGAATCGATATCTTAATTTTAATTGGTTAGAATTTAGAAATCTTAAAGCCCAGGATGATATATGCCATTTGAAAGCAAGAGCATGGCATTTAAAGACAAAAGTGACACATTTTAGTCTGGTATAAAAAACATTTCTTTGGAGCAAATGTTAAAGGTACTTCCGGGTAGATCATCAAGATTGTTCATCCTCCTAATTGTCAATCATTCTGGTGATATGTGCTCGTAAAACAAACTCAGAAAGTTTTGTTCAAAAAGTGGAGGAAGTAAAAATAAAAGGTTAAAATTATGTGGCCTTGCCTTGCCTAAAATTATTATATTAATTTTGAAGCATTAACGTTGTTGTTACTGAATAACAACGATGCTGTCCTGAACTATTCTTAACATTGTTTTGTTATTGTGTATTTTTGATATAATTTGTGTCCTGATTGGACTCACAGAACATATACTTAAAGATGACAGGGGAGAAAGCTCTTGAAAACATGTCATTAGTCTCTATACAGTATTCTTAATTAACCCAGCAGTGTGTCATCCATGAGTAAAAAAAATACTTCAAAATTAAGTGGTATCTGTTTATTTCGTTCCATTTCCAGCTCTTCAGTAGACTGTATATACCATATGACTGCTGGAACTGGATGTGTGTTTGTGTGGTTATCATCGCGCTGCGCTCTCTAGTTCTTCAAACACAGATGGTTGTAGCTTTGTTAGCTGGTTCAGTGCAAGCTATTTTCGGCTTAATCTTTGTGTCACTTGAGAATACTTTCTTCTAACATAGACACACGTTGTGTTTTGGTCCACTGTTGGCACATTCACTCTGATACTACAGTTTAAAGTCACTAAAGGGCAGCTGACAGCAAAACACGGGGCTTGCGTTAAGTTAGCATCCATTAGCCTCCCGAGCTAACAGCAGCTTTGTTGTCCAGCAGCATCCGAGAGCCACTGCTTGATTTCAGGCTCTTGTTACTGTTTTTTGCAAATCAGCAGATACTATAAAATAAAATAAAAACAAATACGTATGTTTAAGTAGATTTGTATTTGTATGTGTGTATATGACTCGCATACATAATAAAAATACTAATGCATTGGTTTTATATTGCGCTTTTTTGGACACTTAAAGACGCTTCACATGTGTCATTATTCTTTCACTCCCTACACAGTGGTGATAAACTACTACAGTAGCCACAGCTGCCCTGGGGCACACTGACAGAAGCGAGGAAACCAGTATGTGCCATCGGCCCCTCCGACCACCACCAACCATTCACACACACACCAGACTCATTCTAGGCAATGGGGGTGAAGTGTCTTGCCTAAGGACACAACGGCAGTTTGGCACTTTACAGCCGCAGCCGCCCCACTGTGGCTGGTGTTCCCAGAGGTTAAGTGTCTTGCCAAGGACACAACGACAGCAGACAGTGGGAGTTGATGGTGAAAGTCGGGCCCGAACCCACTACCCTCTGGCTCAAAGGCCAATGCTCTACCAACTGAGCTACCTACATGTCTTAAATATGTTTGGATATTATACAGCTTACAAACTGCAGGCTGTTTTATCCTGTTTTGGACCAGAACATTTGATCGTTTGCATACATGTAGGAAAGAGACCTGTTGATGCTTTGGACTGAGTCGATTGGGGGTGAGAGTGTGTTCACTTTTCTGTCTGAAAAAGCTGATACAAAGATCTGACAGAGGCCAAAATGCATACATAGTTCTGCATTGGTCACTGCTGTTGGTCACACAGTGCTGCTCTAGTCAGCAGTGAACCCCAATTTTGAGGATTACAGGACACATGACTAGCAGAGAGTAGAAATAATGACCACACAAAACCCCAACCTGTTGTCTGTTGTATGTGTCTTTTTCTTTTAGCTTTAGAAGACGACAGTCATTTTGGTAACTGATGCAGACAGTTTAATTACTCGCTATTTTGCATACTATAGTATACATATTTGTTTCCATATTTTGTGTTGTGATTGTGTCTGAATTATTGGAAATTTTTGATAATATGAGGAAAAATATGCAGAGCACAATCTTCATCTGTGATCTGAATGGAACAGGGTTGATGAACCATATTGTCACTATATTAGAATCTCAAAAGCTCCGGTCATAACTAATGATTACATTTCGATTTCCATCTGAAGCTTTTAAAATGCATTTGCAGCTAAGGAACGGTTTATTTTCTTTTTTTGGTTTAGTCTCAATTCTTGTTCAAATTAAGTATCTAGTTTCATTAGTTGCATGTTTTCACATGCTTTTGATAATGCAACACTTTTAAAACGTTTCGTTCAGCTTGGACTAAAAAGGCACTGGAAAACTGGTGATAGTTGTGAAAAAGATAACCTCCCCTCAAAAATGTCCCCCAACTGCTTCACATTCCCTTTATTTAGGTCAAACTGGGATGAAATAAATCTGCTTTTTAAATTATTTATCAATTGATTTGATTAATTGATTATTAAATTAAATGTATTTTTGTATAGCTCTTATTCACAACAGCAGTCCTCCCTGATGACTTTACAAAGTTAGCGATTTGCCAATAACAGATTGGACAGATTAAACTCCTCTAAGGGTTATTCAAAAAGGAATTGACTAGAAATAGAGAATCAAACAGGAATATAGGAAAGTAAATCATTAAAAACATTGGAGCCAATGGTCCATATGGTAGTATCATGTCCAATGTCTGTTAATGTTCAGAAATGTCCTGGATCATTAGTCTCCTTAGACTGAATCACAAAGAAGCAAAAACCAGTGGGAGAAAAATTGAGAAACCCACTGAGATCTGCACCTATGGACGATGAGCGAAGATGAACAGCCCTCACAATGTGCCTCACTGCGCATTAGCGTAGCTTCACATAGCTCTGCACAGTAACAAGAAGTTGTAGAAAAGGAGGACGCTATTGTGCCTGTTACCGCCCTATATGTTGTGCACTAGAGTGCCCCTTTGTTCCGCTTTTCGCACTGTGGATTTGCAAATAAGTTTTAATAAAGGTTGTTGCTTGGTCTTGAAAGCCCCCTCATGCGCTGTCACTCGGTGCATCTTTTAATAATAATAATAATAATAAATTTTATTTATATTGCACTTTACATTTCAAAGAAACCTCAAAGTGCTACAACAGGTAGATTAAAATCAGATAAAACAAAATGAACATGACATAGTAAAACAAAGCAAGCACAAGAGCAAAAACAAACTAAAAGGCCTTTTTAAATAAATGTGTTTTCAGGCCTTTTTTTAAAGGCCTCAACACTCTGGGGAGCCCTCAGGGTATCTGGCAGGGCGTTCCAGAGTCTAGGGGCAACTGCCTTAAAGGCCCTATCTCCCATTGTGGAGAGCTTGGTCACGGGCTGGTGAAGAGTATGGGTGGAAGTGGACCGTAAGCGCCTTGTGGTGGTGTGTGTGGAGTAACTAGCTCAGTGAGGTATGTCGGGGCTGTTCCATGGACACATTGGTATGTGAGGAGGCAGATTTTATAGTGGATTCTGTAATGGATGGGCAGCCAATGAAGAGACTGGAGGACAGGGGTGATGTGGTCATACTTGCGCCTCCTCGTCAGGATCCTGGCTGCACAGTTCTGGATGTGCTGGAGCTTCAGCAGGCTCTTACCAGGGATCCCGACAAGGAGGGCATTGCAGTAGTCCAGCCTGGAGGAGACAAAGGCATGTACCAATTTCTCTGTCTGTGAGAGGGAGGGGCGGAGTTTGGCAATATTTCGTAGATGATGGAAGGACACTTTGCAGAGGTGGCGGATATGATTCTCAAATGAAAGATGAGGATCAAATCTGATCAAATCTCCATGTTCATATCTTTTCATGTTCATATTCTTCCAGAGTGAAACGTAGACACGTGTGATTCTTGACATTGGCTTTTTTCTGATGTATTAAGGATGATGTTGGGGACTGAAAGATCCCGTCTAGGCACGCTAGAAACGTTCTGATAGAGGAAGCCTGGAGGTTTCATTGCTGATCCTGGTCCAAATCAGCAATATGAATATGCATAGTAGTAACAATGTGCAAGTCAAAGGCAAACTAGAAGAAAACGTAACAAAACAACAGAAACAAACTTCTGTTGAAAGCTGATCTCAAAGAGAAGGACTCCGGTGGCCGAGTCTCGGAGTGACAGCTCAGGTCAGCCTAATGACGCTGATGGGCGAGCGTGCAGGCCATAATGACAAAATCCAAGTGGAGATTTAACGCACAAACATAATGGCATGGACAATTGAAGTTCAAGGGATCATGAATTACTTAAGATCTGAGGGTCACATTAAAATTATCTTGTAATTAACATTTAAAGCTGCAGTACAGGCAACCGTGAAGGTAGTGCAGAAGCAGCCGTCTCCTCGAGTGTGTGTAAATGGTAGCTTTTTCAACAACAAAAAAATCCAACAGATGCATGCTTCAAAGTTAACTTTACCATCAAAGACGATCAAGAACCTCATCTATAACTACAACAAAAGACTCTGTCAAGTTAAAGGGACAATACACGCTATTGACTAATAGCTGTAAGCCTCTGATCAGGGTTATCAGGGTGTTTCTGTTATCTCTACTTTTAAAAATGGAAAACACATTTATTTAAACACAAAGGCCTTACACAACCACTAACAATGATATTGGAAAAAAATAGGCTTTGCAAAATCATTCATAATCTTGGAAATATGGCCAAAAAGTCTTTCAAGCCTGACTGTAAATGACACTAAATTAAGCTAATTTTAAATTTGATGTCCCCTTTAACCCTCTTTTCTGCACACAGGTTTTCCCGTGGAATGAGCACTCCATGCAGCCTCCTCGGCATGAATGACGTGGCCTGGCAGGAGCGAGGCGGAATGCTGCACGCCAACGGTTTGCCTGAGGCGGGTGTAGTCCGAGTGCATGGAGGGGGGCAACCACAGCAGAACCCTGGAACCCCACAACCCCCCCTCAGTGGGCGCTCCCAGGATGACGCCACCGTGGGATACTTCTTCCAGAGACAAGCAGGAGAGCAGCTCGGAGGGTGTGGCCCTGGGAAACACCGCTGGCCCACCGGAGACGCCAACCACGTGGATCAGGTGCAAGAACACTTATGAAGCACTCACCTGTGTGGGTTTCCCCCTGTCCCTCGCTTTTCTTCCGGGTTCTTTCATCAGTGCGTATAAACTGCCAGCTTTACTGTGTGTGTTTATGTGAGAAAGTTTCCTACTTGCGACACAACAAGTCCAGCGTCTTCTTCACCTCACTATCTTGTCCCTTCCTTTTCCCTTCCTTTGATAATAACCAGTACACAGGTGGCATTTTTCTTGATCTCTCCAAGGCTTTTGATCTAGTAGACCACTATTTAGGCTATATCCACACGAAGACAAAACGCTTATAATTTCAGAAACGTTTTCTGTAAACACGGAGTTAGCTCAGTAAATGTGTGCGTCCATATGAATGTAGTCAATACGCCTGAAAACGCTGTGAAACTATGCCAGACCTGTTGGTGGCGCTGTGACGCAATGACGGGATCAAGCCCAAACTTCCGTGACGGGAACTGGGCATGCGCAGAATTTTGTAAACAGACAACATGGCGAGTGGGCGAGCTGGTACTACATTAGTATGGACGGACGATGAGGTTGAACTGTTTTTTCGGGTCGCACTGGATTACAAAACCAACAAGCTACATTGTTGTTGTCATTATTTTCTGAGTGCAGCGCATGCGTGCTTTAACAAGAGGCGGGGCGATGACGCAAGCGTCTCAGATACATTGCGGAGAGGCAGTAACCACGGAGCGGCATATACGGAGTTTTGAAATCTTTCCACTCTGGGACCTAGTTTCAAAAATGTTCGTTTACACCCCCCCAAAACGCTGGCCTCGTATGGACGATACACTGGATTGATAAAGTATTTTTGCGTTTAGGCCTGAGCTTGACTTCGTGTGGACAGGGCCTTACTTTTGGACAAACTTTACTCAATAGGTCTCAGTCGAAATGCTCTTTTATGGTACAATAGACAGTTTGTAGTTTTTAATGGTTCTCCAACTGGTCTCTCTATCATGGAAAAAGGGGTACCACAGGGCTCAACCCTTGGACCTCTTTTATTTTCTATCTTCATCAATGACCTACCCCAAGTGTGTAGTTATTTCCAGACTCATCTATTTGCTGATGTCGTCTGTCAGGTGCAAACTTACCACAACTGCAAATGTATCTACAAGAGGACTTTTATTTTACAGTACCACACAGTTATAATGAATGTATTCTTTATTGGAACCAATATAATGGTTATGAACCACAGAAACCACCAACACTAGGAAAAACGATATGATAAAAGAGAAATATGGGATTACTTAAGGGAAATTGTACTTGTTTTTCACATACATATGCTTATAACCAATTGCTTTAATATATAATTGTACTTGTAATTACTTATTTTTCATGCAAATATACTAATTAGAATACTATTTGACCAAAACAGATATCAGACGCCATTATTTCTGGTCTAGGAAAATACAAAAGAGTAATGGTCATTTTAAGGACCTGATGGCCGCCATTTTGAAAACACTCTGCTGAAATCATAGACCCACATTTATCAATGCAGATGCGCTTCAGTCAAGATCCACTTTTCTTCTCCAAAAGAGGAGTCTGCTTAGTCCTGGCCACAGTGTGTGGTTTCTATAGCGACGCTGTCATTCACAGGACAACTTTGCCTTATAAAATGAATGCATGACGTTAAGGAAACTGAGTGAAATCTAAATTCAATTGATTTAAAACATTCTTGGTTCAATAAAGCACTTACAATATAATAATTTGAAGTGAAAATAAAGATGAACATTTCTCCTATTTGACTTGAAAAATAAATGCAAATAAGTTTAAGCGTTTACATTATTATTCATCACTGATCCAAATATTTGTCACAAATGAGAATTAAGGCCACATTCACAGTAGTTTTATTCCAAATCAGTTTATGCCTGCTTAGCGCAAATGGTTTTTTGCAATTATAACACGCATTCCAATCCTGATCCATGCTGAGATTCTCTGGTCCTGCTGGAGAGGGGTGTGCTATCGTATTCTAGCCCGATTTGAATAATGAATGTCAACAAATTGGTTAACGGATCAAAACCAGGAAATGTCATGACGGGACACCATTGACCCATTGTACTGACAAAACCACAAAAAATCCACCCTTCATTGTTTTTCCGAATATAATGCTGCATCTTTAGTATTAAACCAAATCCATGACGATGTGTATTGTGAATGTGTCCTGAAAGTGTCTTCAGCGGTGAATGGGTTTGGGCAGAAACCAAACCCGCTGCTCTTCTAACCATGATGTAGTCCAAGGATTTGTCATAAGGTAAAGAGTTTGAACAGAATTGTAAACTGGAAGAATTTTTCATGATACGTGCCATAGTGAATCATAACTTTTAGACTGTGTGAATAATTGATTTAAGCCAGTTCTTTTTTATAGCTATTTAGTCTGAATCCATTTACATTTCTTTGTATAGCCCTTAATCACAACACCAGTCATCTCTGAGGACCTTTTTAAAGAGTTGTCGATTCGCAACAGGAGATACACTGAAAATACAATAATAACAAACCCATAGGAATCATTGGTCCACAGCGGGCGGATGACCAGCGTCTACACATGTTAACAAATCATTTTATCATGATACAGAAAGCATGAATCCTGTGAGCTTTTTTTCAAGCACTTTTCCTGACCATTTTTTTTAGATAGTGAGTCATTGCTGCAGTTTTTATGACACATTTCCCTGTTTGACTGCAATGTAAGGTCTGTAGGTAGCTTTGGACTTTAATGTAATTTAGTAAATTGTGTAAAAGGGCTGCATGGTTAATCCTGAAATAGCTATTTTTTAGTGGACGTGAGACAGATTTATTTTTCCATTTTTACTTTTATAACTTATTTGCACCATGAGCCAAAGCAAATTCCTCTTTTTTGACTTCCTTTTACTGACATGGCAATAAAAAGATTCTGATTGATGATAGGGATGTAAATCGGCGACCGGTTAACCGGTGGTTGACCGTCACAGCGTTAACCGGTCAAAGCTGTCGGTTAAAAAAGAGAAAAAGGGGAGAGGGGAGGTCTCTTAATAACGCTATTTTAAGCCCTATTTGCACGGTGTGACGAGCGGGTCTGTATCTAGCTGTGTGCGCCCATGTATTATAAACTCCGGGACGACTCTCACGCCGCACGAGACACACATACTCCAGTCCAACCACATGGACCATGTTTGTGTTTATGGTCCTCGGGATCAGCCCCACACACCTCACTTGTATTTAAACTTTTGTGAAGACCTGTGAGACGCGGCTCGTCACTCGCTGCTCTGACCATGTGAACGAGCCGTCGTTTGCTGCTAGAAAGTTTTGGTATTAACCCGCAGCACAGCAGAATGGGAAGATTAAAAAAGCAGTTCTCTGTGCGCAAAGGTGCCGGAGCTGTTGCGGGTTTGGGCGCCGCTGTCTCAGCTCTGATCCAGTAGAACGTAGAGCTGCACTTATGAAAAGTACGCGGCTCGAAATGGCTGTTATTTCAAAGAACGTGGACTATTTTAAACTACGCGGTTAACCGGTTTCAACCGGTTAATGAGGCTCGGTGGTCGGTCATGAAATATCATAGTTTTTTACATCCCTAATTGATGAATTGTTTTGAAACATTGTGTCTTTGATTAACAGACAGGGATTATCAGGGAGACCTTTGTCCACTGTGGAGGGTTCTTTTCATCCTCCTACATGTACTAGTTTATCTTTTATCCTCTGCTCTTAATGTTGTTTTGATAACTTGCATGTTGTTTTCAGGTACGCACTGTGGACGAGATGAACTATGACTTCCAGGCTCTGGCTCTGGAGTCGCGAGGAATGGGAGAAGTAAGCCTTTGAATCGTTTTTTTATGCTGTTTAAATTAAAGGTGGACTTTTTGCCACTAACATATTTATTTTGTGTGGTTTGAAACTCAAGCTTTTACCTGCTAAAAAGCTGTGGGATTCGGACGAGCTGGCCAAAGACGGGCGGAAGGGCATGCTGCTGGGAGAGGAGTGGAGGGACAATGCATGGGGCTCGTCTCGTAAGAATCACACATTATTGACACAATGACATTAGCCGTTAGCTCAAGGAATGGCATATTTTGAAATGCCTTACTTTCTGGACTATAAGGCACACCTGTATAAAAGCTGCACAACCTGATGTTTTTGTTACTGTTTTAACTGGTCACAAGATTTAGTGACAAGGTTTTTAACAGCTTAACCATCACTTCCATTATTCACTAGTTTATTTTAACAACTTGGCTCCTAAAACTGTAAAAGAAAGTCCATGAACTCTGCTCTGACAACTCTACGAATAAAAATGCATATATTAGCCGCATCACTATATAAGCAGCGGGGTTGAGAAGAAATTATGGTTTACGAGAGCAAATTCCTCCCTCTCCTAAAACACACCAACCCATAACCTAGTTACATGTCTTAAATTAGTTTAAATGTTTTTTATTTTTTATTTTAATTGCTGACAACTACTACAATTTATCAGCATGAATGATTTTTAATATTGTGTGTCCCTTAAATGGCTGGCACCTTCGCTACAATGAGATACTGCATCTTACGGGGCTTTCCTTAATATCAATCATATCTAATTCTCAAACTTAATGATGAAACGCATCATGTTTAAAGTCCAAAAAGAACACTGATCATGCATCATATTTGTTCTTTGACAGTAAAGACAAAATGGCCTTTTCTTACAGATCATTCAGTATCTCAGCCAATCATGGTCCAGCGGCGGCCAGGCCCGGCTTTCCATGGCAACGGTGATGCCAGTTCTGTGCTCTCACCTCGCTCAGAAGGCGGAGGCCTCGGGGTCAGCATGGTAGAGTACGTCCTGAGCTCGTCGCCCGGAGACAAGATCGACAGCCGCTACCGGAACGGAGGCTACGTAAGGCCGCATGTAACACTCACACCACACTGTTTGGTTTACGCCTCTTTTAATGTTTGTTATTGCTTATTGTGCTCACTGTAATATTCAGCTGTTGTTTATCCCTGTGGTTCACCTCTGGCTCCTCTGACCAACACCACGCACTGTCTGTTTTTGGAAGTTAGCTATTTGGATGGACTTGAGTTGTGACGCCCATGGGACCTTTTGATATGACCTAATTTACAGTGATAGGGCCAAGCGATATGTAAGGTCTGAATATGGGAGTGCGCAGACTCCGCTCTTTAATTGTAATATTTGGTCGATATTGAGATTTCATATATGCTAAATATGTAACAAGAAAAGCATTTACAGTGCCCATCGCTGGCAAGAGGTGAAGTTACATTCCTTTTAGTAAGTAAGTAATCTTTATCTATAACCGCCTTTCACAGACCAGAGTCACAAAGCGGTTTACAATTTATGTTTTATTTTTTTTGGGCATTTGTCTCTCACTCCACACAGAGATGGGAGCGGGGTCGCCGAACAGGAGGCGCATGAACATGCAAACTCCACTCAGAAAGGCCCGGGTCCGACGGGGATTCGACCCCAGGTGCTTCTTGCTGAGAGGCGAGAGTGCTACCCACTCAGCCACCTTTTAAAATATTCCTGAATCCAGACAGTTATCCAGACCAATGACCGTTCTTTGTTCAGTTTTTTCTAATCTACTGTTTCAACAATTCAACCATTATGTGACTGCTGTTTTGTTTTTTTGCTTCCACAAAAAAAAAAAATATTATTTTGCTACTAATTATGAATAAATGAATAAATAAATAATTTATTTGATTCAATCTAATAATTTGTTCCTTTTTCCAAGATTTAATCTTCTCATACATGCCCTTCTTGGTGGACGTAATAATTATCCTTGTGTCCCAAAGATTGTCATATAACAGAGAGAAGCAAGTTTCATCTTCTCTCAAAGGTTTACCAATCTGCCTTCTACAGTCATTGAGTCCTTATTACTCTGACCTTTTCAAATTCAAGCCTTTTATGAGCTTTTGAGGTACAAACAAGAGGCTGGATTCTTTGTGAAGCTGAGGCCCTGTAAATCTTTTTCCTAATTGGAAACAAATGTTGTTTATTAAATATCAACTGGGTTTTGAGTCTTTAATACTCTGTAGAATGACAAACTGTTGTGTTTGAGAAGTTCACTTAGAGATTAAAGGATCTCTTTAAATGAGATTTTTCAAATTGAGATAAGGATCCTGAAGTAAAGCAATGTGTTGTGACATTATTCAGACACTAAATTCACAAGCGTTCTGTTTTGTTCTCAGGGGGGAGGAGATGGTGAACAAGACAGCCGAGAGAAGAGTGATGTCCCAGAGAAGGCTTCCCCCTTTGAAGAGGACAAGAGCTCCGAGCTGAAGGCTGCCGAGGAGGCGGACCAGGCCAAAGCCAACGGCAGGGGCCTACTCAACGGGATGGACCGTGATGGCAAAGACTTCAAGTGAGGCTTTCTCCTCCTGCAAGACTTAAAGGAATAGGCCACCATTTTTACATACTGACATATGTTCTTACCTTAGACTAGTTGATCTGTACCTGTCTGGTCTGTGTCCGTGCGCTCTGTCATGCAAACGGAGCACAAACGCAGCCTCTTCCACAGACTGTATAGTTCCAAATCAGCTCCCGTTAGAAGCTACCAAACTCTTCCACGTGTTCCCTATTTAAATACAGTTACGTTACGTGTTACACTACAAAGTATAGTAACACAGAAATGTATCATGTCGATTTTCTCAGCGGATAAAAAGGGGAACTATATTGTGAGGCGTAATAATACGAGGAGCACTTCGTCCGCGCACTAACTCCTAAAGACTTCTCTCCCGCTCACTTCCGTCAATAGAAGCAGCGTGGCGGTGGCCTATTCCTTTAACTCTATTCTGCCTCCGAAGGGAAAATCCCAACACGGTTCTCCTCAGAACAGTTTCCAACATTAGAATATATAATAATAACAATAAATAGGATTGTACTTCCTGAACCGCAATGTGGACAAGTACTTACGGATGAGCTAAACATACACAGCTTTCTTTTCTTTTACGGCAGTGATGAGCATAAACCAAGTGTGGTTACTTCTCGTTAGATCAGAAGGATCGTTGTGTCCATAGCACCAACCTTTCCCTCTTGTTGCTTCCAGCCCTACCCCCGGCAGTCGACAGGCCTCCCCCACTGAGGCGGTGGAGAGGATGGGTCCCTCACAGCCTAACCTAGAGATGATGGGCCCCACGCACTGTCACCCTCACCCTCATCCTCACGCTCTGCAGCAGCCCACGGTGCAGAACAAGCCGCCACCTGAGGACTTCCACAGCCAGGAGGCCCAGAACATGGCTAGCCTGGAGCAACAGCAGGGAGTCGAGTCTCTGCAGTTTGACTATGCTGGCAATCAGATCCAAGTGGACTCTTCTGGGACCCCCATGGGCCTGTTTGATTACAGCTCACAGCAGCAGGTACCGCCACATTCTGCCTGTAGAAAGTGTCTTGTCACTTAAACTTTAGATCTGTGGATCTAAAGTTAAGTAATAACTTTAATAATTAAGTAATAATAAATGTGCGGTATAAACAGAGTAAAGCAACATGTTCATGAACATGCGTCAGTAGCTTTCAGATGTTCAAATAAGCACACCGTTTTTCAGGTGAAGTTTTCCCCATCATGTATAAAAAAAACATAACAATTAAACACATGCTGCTAAGTCTACAGCGTAAAGACTGTTTATATCGTCCAAAAATGTAATATATGCATGGCGGTTGTTCCGTGCACTTAAAGGCATCGGTCACACTAGTTTGGCCATCACTAATTTACAGCTAAATAAGTGGTAATTAGTGTATAATTAATGGTTAATTAGCTCTTAATTGGTATTTATTAAGTAAATAGTCATGGCCTAATTCAATATATAACTACTAACTGACACTTCCCCATGTGTTATTTGGTGAGGGCTGATCTAAAGCGTGTCTTGTCTCAGTGGTGTAGTTACATGAGTAGGCCTGTCGCGATAGTCAATAAATCAATTAATCGCACGATAAATAAAATTTGCTCAATAACTTTTCTGGCCGCGATAAATCCCATTTGCATGCTTGTTTGTTTTCCCCGTCTCTCTCGGGTCAGAGAGCCGCAAAGTGGTCACGGGAACATTAGCGGTCTAGCAAGCAGACGGAAATTACTCAAAAATACAAAATACAGCCAAAACAGGACCTAAACCAGGACTTAACCAGGATTGACAATGGGGGACACAGTAGTTGTGAACATATGCCGGCAGCTGAGTTCTCATTCAGGCTTGATTAGTGACTATACTAGCGCAGCTAGCGTTAGCGCGTTCGCCAATGCAGAAGTACCGTACCATACCAATAAAATAAACTTATGGCGCACCTCCGTGAACACATACTGCTGTTATATAAAGTCTCTAGAAGGTCTCTGAACACAGAGATGCTGCAGACTTGCATTCTTGGAGTAGAACTTTACACAAAAAACCCGCTAGCTTAGCTGTTAGCATCAAAGCCCGCCCCGCTACTTCCGGTGGGCGCTACCGCAGCAGGACTTCTGTACGCCCCATTGGTGAACCCACATGTCAGTCACTTGTCATTCGCCTGGTGTGTCTTAAGCCACACAAAGTCAACATGTTGGTATTTCTTTCTCGTAATCTGCCATAAAGTCTGAGAAATTATTGACATTTGAGGCATCTGTTTCATATTTTCTTTACAAAGGTCCTGGCAGTTTTATTCCTGGTCATTTTTTGTTAAGAGACTTGAGTATTTTATTTATTGTTTTTGGTTGTTTGTAAATTTATTGTGTTCTAGCGTTAAATATTCGTTAAAAATAAAAGTTTATTTCTCTTTGAAAAGGTGTACCTGCATGATCATTGTAATCGATGCAAATGATCTCAGAACGCCAATATAATCGCTTATCGCAATAATTTCTGAGACAATTAATCGTCCAGCAAAATTTGTTATCGTGACAGGCCTATACATGAGGTAAACATCAGATCACAAACAGCCGTCCCGACCACTCTCCTGTAGTTAAGAATAAGATTATCCATCCATAATGTAGCTTCCATACTGTCCCCTTTTTAAGGCAACACTGCACAATTTCATGTTTATTGTCTTGTTTATTGTAGATTATCTGAAAGATACAACAGGTATAATTTGTATCTAACTCGGCCTGCAAAAGAGTATTAATGTGTGCTTTCATGTGTAGTTGTTCCAGAGGACAAACCAACTGACGGTCCAGCAGCTGACCGCTGCGCAGCAGCAGTATGCTCTGGCTGCAGCCCAGCAACAGCACCTCGGTCAGTCCCCATCTATTTATTTATATTTGAACATGAGCTTTACATGGTTCTGAATGAATTCACTCACTGGCATAAGGCTTTTAGACTCTTTAGTCCAGACCTGGGTAAACTGGCCTGCTCCCTTCTCATGGGGCAAGTCGGAAAACAGTGGGAAAACCTGAAGAAATGTTCTTTTAACCAGTGTTGAAGTAACTAAGTATGGGCAGAGAAGACATTGGTCCTTCCCGTTGGCCTGTCTGTGTTGCTTTTGGAAGACTCGAAAATGACTTGTGCTGTTTTCCCAGCTGGCCTTGCTCCTGCCTTTGTGCCAAACCCGTACATCATCAACGCAGGGCCCCCTGGAGCTGACCCCTACACTGCAGCTGGTCTGGCTGCCGCTGCTACACTTGCAGGTCTGTGTGGTCGAGATGATTCCTATAGACTCATCATGGTTACCTAGTTAATGTCCTTTTTTATGGATAAATGTCTGGTGATATTGGGCCGATACTTACAGTGCCTTGCGAAAGTATTCGGCCCCCTTGAACCTTTCAACATTTTGCCACATTTCAGGCTTCAAACATAAAGATATAAAGAATATATTTTTTGTCATGAATCAACAACAAGTGGGACACAATCGTGAAGTGGAACGACATTTATTGGATAATTTAAACTTTTTTAACAAATAAAAAACTGAAAAGTGGGGCGTGCAATTAGGGCTGGGCGATTAATCGATTTTAATCATTAATTCAAGTTTTACATTTAGGGCGATTTCTTTTTTTAAAAATTCGATTTTTATTTTCTCCATCGCAGAACTACAGCGCTAACGCGCTAACCGCGGGTCTATGGTGTTGAGCAGTCATTTTGAAGCTAACCTAATGCTAACAGTCTCCCTCTGGCCTGATGCTCGCTCTCACAGTTGGTGCTGTTGCAATAACACTTCAAACGTTCAAGAATCAGACTTTATTTAAATCGCCAGAACACACACACGCACGCAGGCTCCGGTCGCTATGTTCGTACGCCATGTTCGTACGCCACATCTTTCACGCTCTCTCACGCTCGTTATTCCAAAGCGCACTCCCGTGTCCGTGGCGCGCACACACTCGTGTCCCACTGAGCCGCTGCACTTTGGGGAAAGACACGTCTCACACATTGCTCTCATTGCTCTGATACAAACAATGTGTTCCCCGCTGTCTGTTAGCTACAGTAGCTGTTAGCTACAGTAGCTGTTAGCTACAGCATCAGAATGTAAACAGGAAGCTCGCACAATGCGGGAGTCACTGAAGTTAGTATTAGCGCCACCAGCTGGACCGAGCGTTGTACTACAGCACAGTTACTCAGGCACAGTTGAAAGAACAAGCATGAAAACCCGCGGAGGCTTTTGGAAAAGACTGTCTGTTACAACATTTCTATTTTGAGTAATCAGTTTTAAAAATGTGATATTTCATGTAAATAATGCATGTGTTTAATAGGATTGATATATTTGCGATGGGCCTTGTTTGTGTGATTTAAGTTATTTTGAAGGTGCATAGTGTCATTGTAAGTGAAGTTATTATAAAACTGTTAAGCTACATTTTCACTGTTTACAATGGCAGAGCCATCTCGTTTACAAGCATGTTTTAAGGCTTAATTCCTGTTACACTTATGCTCCATGGGGATTTAGATTGAACTGCATAAAGGAAAATCTATTTCTTTGTCAGTTGTAGTTTGTTTTTAAATAGAAAAAAATAAATCGATTAAAATCGAAAATCGGATTTGGTATGAAAAAATCGGAGATTTTTTTTTTTTGCCATATCGCCCAGCCCTACGTGCAATATTATTCGGCCCCTTTACTTTCAGTGCAGCAAACTCAGTCCAGAAGTTCAGTGAGGATCTTTGAATGATCCAATGTTGTCCTAAATGACTGATGATGATAAATAGAATGCACCTGTGTGTAATCAAGTCTCCGTATAAATGCACCTGCTCTTTGATAGTCTCAGGGTTCTGTTTAAAGCACAGAGAGAACCATGAAGACAAAGGAACACACCAGGCAGGTCCGAGATACTGTTGTGGAGAAGTTTAAAGCCGGATTTGGATACAAAAAGATTTCCCAAGCTTTAAACATCTCAAGGAGCACTGTGCAAGCAATTATATTGAAATGGAAGGAGTATCAGACCACTGCAAATCTACCAAGACCCGGCCGTCCCTCCAAACTTTCATCTCAAACAAGGAGAAGACTGATCAGAGATGCAGCCAAGAGGCCCATGATCACTCTGGATGAACTGCAGATAACTACAGCTGAGGTGGGAGAGTCTGTCCATAGGACAACAATCAGTCGTTCACTGCACAAATCTGGCCTTTATGGAAGAGTGGCAAGAAAAAAGCCATTTCTCAAAGATATCCATAACAAGTCTCGTTTAAAGTTTGCCACAAGCCACCTGGGAGACACACCAAACATGTGGAAGAAGGTGCTCTGGTCAGATGAAACCAAAATTGAACTTTTTGGCCACAATGCAAAACGATATGTTTGGCGTAAAAGCAACACAGCTCATCACCCTGAACACACCATCCCCACTGTCAAACGTGGTGGCAGCATCATGGTTTGGGCCTGCTTTTCTTCAGCAGGGACAGGGAAGATGGATGGAGCCAAATACAGGACCATTCTGGAAGAAAACCTGTTGGAGTCTGCAAAAGACCTGAGACTGGGACGGAGATTTATCTTCCAACAGGACAATGATCCAAAACATAAAGCCAAATCGTATCCAGGTGTTAGAATGGCCAAGTCAAAGTCCAGACCTGAATCCAATCGAGAATCTGTGGAAAGAGCTGAAGACTGCTGTTCACAAACGCTCTCCATCCAACCTCACTGAGCTCGAGCTGTTTTGCAAGGAAGAATGGGCAAGAATTCCAGTCTCTCGATGTGCAAAACTGAAAGAGACATACCCCAAGCGACTTGCAGCTGTAATTGCAGCAAAAGGTGGCGCTACAAAGTATTGGCGCAAGGGGGCTAAATAATATTGCACGCCCCACTTTTCAGTTTTTTATTTGTTAAAAAAGTTTAAATTATCCAATAAATTTCGTTCCACTTCACGATTGTGTCCCACTTGTTGTTGATTCTTGACAAAAAATTAATTTTTTATATCTTTATGTTTGAAACCTGAAATGTGGCAAAATGTTGAAAGGTTCAAGGGGGCTGAATACTTTCGCAAGGCACTGTATAATTGGGATTGGGAACAGTTCTTGTGACTCTGCGATGGATGAATTAGATGGCCATTAGTTAGTTTAGAGCTTGCAAAGGTAAATCTGTGAGCATGTATGTTTTACTGAAGCGTATAGCGGAGACATATATTGTATTGAACCGTATCACATTCATAATCTCCTGTATCGAGGCTCTGAAAGACACCCAGCTCTAATGTCAGGTCTGACACAAATACATACCCTGACGGTGCCAAAGTCTTTCATTCTGCCATCGAGTTAGTTTATACTTTGAAGAATTGTGAAGATCAGGATGGTGACCAGGAAAAAAAAACAATTCCAACAACATGAAGATAAACTTTATTGATCTCACAATGGAGAAATAGATTATTTTTACGTATCGTGAATGTGGTCTTAGAAATGACATGCTTCAGGAATCACAACAGCAGAAACTGAATATAAGGATTAAATGAATGTGTAACAGGTGTGTTAGGGCACTTGACTTGTGTTTCTTTGCCCTCTGGTGGTGCCATTGTGTAATTACAAGTATCTGAGAAGTCAAACTGAAAATGGTGTACTTGCTGTTTTGTTCCTTATCAAGCCTGAGAAGTCTGTTTTAATCATTTAAATCTGTTTCCAACACATCCAGGAAGCAACATACTTTTAGGATTTTCACTCAAATTAAATATTTTGGTATTTCAGTCACTTTGTGCACCGCTGTTGCTGTCCCTCTACATGTTTGACAATTATTTACCTTTGGCAAGATGAGGCTCATGATGAGGCTCATGATGAGGCTCATGATGAGGCTCATGATGAGGCTCATGATGAGGCTCATGATGACGGTTAATGATGGGCATGTGTCGAGCATGGTGACCGTGACCAAGTTGAGGTCATGATGCAGTGATTTCACAGCAGTACTCAGGTTGCTTGTTAACTATCTGTCTTGGCTCCTGCAGGGCCCACAGTGGTACCACCTCAGTACTATGGCGTCCCCTGGGGAGTGTACCCAGCAAACCTCTTTCAGCAACAGGCCGCCTCCACTGCCAACCACAACGCCAACCAACAGCCGTCCAATCAGGGACCAGCCACCGGACAGCCACAGGTAACGCGCAAACACCCAGGACTTATTGTTCTCTATACCCATCTACTGTATACTGGGGCACAGACAATTTCACAGGTCCGTCTTTAAAGCTGGACGACCTATTGTTTTCATAATTTATGGTTTTAAGTCTTTCCCAAAGGAAAGTCTTTCAAAAGTAAAATGTTGCGAACAAATCAGACCACACCATGCTGTGTTCATCTTTTTAGTCAACATGTCAAAGTGAGATTGTAAGAGGAGTCCTTTGAGTCACTGTTTCACTCTTTGGGCTGAGATCTGAGTCAGGGTGCTCCTCTTTTTCACTTTTCTGATTGAAAAGGTTGATTTAAAGATCCATCCATCCATTTTCTACCCCTTAATCCATTTCTGGGTCAGGGGGTGGCCAGAGATGCCACCCAGTCCACATAGCACCAGCCCCTCACTGATCCTCCTGCAGGTGGTGAGTCCACAGGAGGATGGCCGCTCTATGGCATAGCCTTGATCTTTCAGCGGGGGCTTCAGGCAAAGTGGGGTTTAGTGTCTTGCCCAAGGACACAACAACGGCAGTCATCAGTGGGAGTCATGATTTATTTGATTTAAAGACGTGACCATTTATTTCCATCCCTTTTTTACACATGCAGTATTCTCTAATAATATGGCAACATCTGTATCGATTTAAAATATTAAGGAGCTGCAGTACATCTGTTTATCTGGACTGATCCTGGCTTTTCTTTCAGGTGATGCGCACAGGGGCCAACCAGCGGCCCCTGACTCCAGGCCAGGGCCAGCAGAGTCAGCAGGAGTCATTAGCTGCAGCCAACTCGGCCCTGGCATACGCCAGCATGTCAGGTGAGTGCAGTTTGACTTACAGCTGTACAACTTCTGCAAACCACACATACATACACGGTGTAAAAAAGAGATTGGCTAAACATTTCTTTTGAGGACAAGGAAAGAACAAATAGAAACATGTTTGGTTTACCTCCGGAGCATCAATGGCCAAGTTCACTTCTTGGTTCTTATCCTGAAGTTTTGCTTTATTGTAAATGTCCGATTGCTCAAAGATGGAACCATTAATGTGTTCACCTGCAGTTGTGGCATTTTCCCTGAATGGTGTTAAAACATGTTTTGCTCTGAATAAGAACTTTAAAGGAGCCTTATGTAAAAATCTGGCCAAACGTGGTACTGCAGTCACAGTCTATATTTTGTAGTCGTCTCCCACTCTCCCTGACTCAGGTTGTCAGATACACACAACACAAGGAATTATTTTATCAGTTGTTTGTTCGTCTCCATTCACATTGCCATGATAGCCGTGCTAATGTTGAATGAATGTTTATCTTTTTTATTTGGACATTTGAGATGAGAAAAAACCCAAAATAAAAGCAATATAATTATACATAAATTATGCAAAATAAATAAGCAATTGATGTCCAAAATAGGAGTGGGAAGAAGGGATGTTGGAACATATTTCTTCAGCCACATGTTATTTTACCACTGAGATTAGCGAGGCGCGGGGAGTTCTGGCAACCCGGATCTCTGAGTTTCTGCGGAGGGTGGGACCTCGAAATGAAAAAAATACCGACTTGTACGAGTCGTAAAACTAATTTTAATTTTCAAATATCTCGGCTGATCTACTGTTATCAGTTAAAGATGTATTCAAAAAGAGCATGATTTAATAATGCGTTTTGAAATATTGGGGCCATTTAATGATGACTTGACTTTAAAGCTTTTAAACAAATACTGTCTTGAAAATACCAGTTTGTTTTCAGAACAATTCAGAAAATTAATCATGGCTTTTTCCTGCAGGTTATCAGGTGTTGGCCCCGACTGCGTATTATGACCAGACTGGGGCCCTTGTCATGGGACCAGGGGCCAGGACGGGCCTGGGGGGTCCGATGCGACTGGTCCAGACCCCCCTCCTCATCAACCCCGCTGCAGCAGCCCAGGCCGGTGAGTCACCTGTAGGACCTGCATACTCTCAGTCCAACTCTCCCAGCGTTTGTCCTTGTTGAAAATGGACCTGAAGTAGTTTTTATGTCCCTCTACGCTAACACTAGGAACTACTGGTACCATTGACGACTTGACCACCTCAAGACTATACGTCTTTCTCCAGCCTTTTTGAAAACAAAAAGTGAATTCTTTAAGTTAATTTATTGAAGAATAATTTCACTTAACTAGAGTCCTCAGAAGAAGAAAGAACTCTGCCCAGGGCAGGTGGATCAGTTGGCATGCTTTTTTTGCACTCAAAGCAAGATCAGGACGTGATATGCTGCGCCTGGTTTAACGACTGGCTCAGAGGCTGTTGCTGTGAACTAACCCTAGCCGTGGCTTTTGACTGTTTGTTTTCATGTGATCGTCATATTTTTATGTGCACTGCAATTGTTTTAATTTCCACATTGCAACACTTTAGCAAAACCTTTGGAGTGCAGTGACCACTTCCTTCTCCACCTGCAGTAGTTCATTTACCTGAGACAAAGTAGCAGATCTCTTTTTAGGTAGCATGGTGTCCTTTTGTCCTTGGTCAAATCAGAATCCTTGTAATGCCATTTGAGTAACAGGAAGTCAAAAATTAGGAAATTGCTTTGGCTCTCGGTGCAAACAAGTTAAATCTTAGATGTGTAGATATGACTGAAGCAGGCGAGTGAGAGGTAGAATTTCATAGGTCAATTCCTCAGTCCACCCAGTCCCTTTCTAAATGCCTTTCCACAGAAACTATTCCTCGACGTAGATTTGGAATGTCTATTTTCCATCTTGGCTCTTGGTACTTTAAGACTCCCCCAAAATATTAGCATGCATTTTGGAATGTACACCTTTTATAATACACATGTGACATCTACCATCAATACTGGGAAAAGCAGGGTGCCCATATTTTTTGCACTTGGTGTGAAAAATGTGAAGATATTCCCCTGATGTAAAAGCCTAGTGTGAAAGGCTGATGCTTCTCTCAGTGATGAGTCCAGGGGCTGCTTCTCATATCTGAAGAAGGACAGAGACCAAATGTCCACTTGAAACATATACATTCATTTTTAGAATTTGTCCAGTCACCTATGTTTATTGCAACTGTTGGCCTTTTTTAAAACACAAACAATAAAAAATTAGGAAACTTTATTTTTATTTATGTGTTCATTAAAACCGGGGTGGTCAACCTTTTGTAAATAATTAAATAACTCATGGCGTCTCAACAAAGAGTCTCGTAAAAGTAAAATGTTGCGAACAAATCATACAAACATGGTGAAAAAGCTGATCTTAAGATGGGACAGAGGCCAAAAAACAGATGCATGTGAAAGCTAGTGAAAGAACTGTTTTAGAGCCTGGCGCGAGTGACATGGCTTGTATCACATGGTTACACAACAGCATTGTATCACACAGTATCAGCGCCGTTCAAGATAAATTGTTGGAGCAAGATTACAATTCTAGGTATTTGACAGTAGCCTGGTTGGCTTTTCTGTAATGTTATTCATCACATGCATCTTGGTATGAGCCAGGTGGGTTTTTGGTGGTAAATGAATAAAGCGTCAGTAAAAAGCGCAATAATCATTTACATAATAACTACTTTTATTTACTGTATTATGGGTATTAGTTTGTACGACGACTCAAATCTTAAGTCACTTTCAAGGAGAGCCTTTTCCTGTAGTCATAATTAAAACTGAATGTCCACGTTGCCTCTGCTCTCCAGCTGCCGTGTCTGCGTCGAACTCCGGTAACAACATGTCGGGCCCCTCCGCAAATGGCTTATACCGCTCCATGCCTCAGCCCCAGCCCCAGCCCCCCCAACAGGCGGGGGGTCCCAGCAGCGGCCTGCAATCTTCCTCTTTCTACGGCTCCGCTTCTGTGGCCAACACGTCTCAGAGTAGCTCCCTGTTCTCCCACACCTCAGCCCCACCACACAGCTCCTCTCTGGGCTTCAGCAGCACGCCGGGCTCCCTGGGCGTGGGGCTGGCCTCTGCGCTTGGGGGATTTGGATCCTCGGGTCAGTGCAATATTGTTATTTATTGTTATCAAATGGGACATGCAAAATTCACCTTTTCAGTTTTTGACAGTGTTATTGTGAGTTTTCCTTGTTTTTCGAGCACTTCATGCATGTTTGAGTCATTTCTATTCTTGCACCCAAGACACCATTGCTCCCCCTGGCTCCTCTGACCACCGCATCTTAAGATCCTTAGAGATAATTGCCTATCATAGCTGTATGGATAAAAGCGGTGTGTTCCATATAAATGTTATCATTTTGTGTGCAGTGTCCAGCTCCAGTAGCAGCAGCGTGTCCCGGAGAGACTCTCTGCTGGCCTCCTCTGACCCATATAAGCGCGGGGGCAGCAGTCTGACACCCATTGGACAGCCCTTCTACAACAGCCTCGGCTACTCGTCATCCCCCAGTCCCATCGGACTGACACCCGGACACTCCCCACTGACCCCTCCACCCTCACTGCCCTCTTCACACGGCTCCTCCTCCAGCCTACACCTTGGTATGCCACCTGAAAAACACAAGACCGCCAGTTTAAAGCACGTACAATACACACATCTTATCTTTGTTGAGCTTTGCACCAATATTGGCCCCACTCCCAAATACGGACCTGGAGTTAATTTTAGCTCTAAAAATCTTTAGGTAAATAATTGTAGACTACCATTATTACAAATTCAGCATAAAAGCTGGTTTCACCCAAAGTTTCACTTTTCCAGACTGGTCCTATTATAGCTTATATAGGCTTATACTGTATATCTTCTGAACAATATTCTATTTTCCCTTGAGGAAACTCAGTTACATAACCAAACTTTGTGGTTATGTTCACACTGTAATAATGGCAGAAGGTTTCTCTAACAGGATTTAATGAGCAGTGGGCAACGTTTACGTATGTAATGAGAATTTGCTTTGCCTCAAGATTTCCAAAAATAAAATGAAAAGTTATGTTTATTTTTAAAGTTTCAGCCTACATTGATAGTAGTCGATAAATCAAAGAATACATAAGGAGCGTTTTACAAAGCACAAGAAATTGGTGGATTAACAAACGGGTCAAACTAAATTGCTATCATACATACATTATAACCAAATGTTTAGAAAATGTAATAACACGAGCTGTGTTTGAAAAGAGTCTTCTTGCTTCTCATGCCTGCAGGAGGCCTGACCAACGGCAGTGGACGCTACATCTCTGCTGCCCCCGGTGCTGAGGCAAAATATCGCAGTGGGGGAGGTACGTCCAGTCTCTTCAACTCAACCAGCCAGCTTTTCCCCCCTTCCAGGCCGCGCTACAGCCGCTCTGACGTCATGCCCTCTGGACGCAGTCGCCTCCTGGAGGACTTTAGAAACAACCGCTTCCCCAACCTGCAGCTCAGGGACCTGCCCGGCCACATGGTGGAGTTCTCCCAGGACCAGCACGGATCCAGGTGAGCCCAGTGCCTACGATTGGTTACGCTGGTTTGGGCTGAGGCCTGAGGAAAGAACTGATTTTCTGTGTAGTTATGGGTGACAACAGACCTCCATCTGGGGGGCAAAGAAGATTTGTCAAAGAAAATTCTCACCTGGAATAAGAATAAGAGCGGGTGCTTTTAGCCAACAATAACCAGAGTGAACTCTTTCTATAGCCGTTCATCCATCGTGATTACTCATATGGGACCAGAGTTCATGCATAGAAAAGTTTAGACTCTCATGCATAAGTCCATTCCAACAGTAATCTATCTTTGTATCTGACCTACTGTTTACTGAAGTGTCCCGTGACCCCCCACTTTTGGAACCACTGCTCTAGCGATGCTTAAAACACTTGTTCTCAGACTTCTCTTTCAGATTTGACTTGATGAGTTCAAAACCTATGTAAACTGGCAGCTCTTCCACTTTGTAAGACCTGTCCCGCTTATAAAATGTAAATCAATATTAGTCACAAATGTCTCCAGGTGGAAATTTGACATGAATTAGTTAATTTTAAGACAAAGACATTCAGTTGTGCAGTCTACGTGATCCAGCGGTCCTCACTCGGATGTGTCTCCCCTAAGGTTCATCCAGCAGAAGTTGGAACGGGCCACTCCGTCAGAAAGACAGATGGTGTTTGGGGAGATTTTACAAGCCGCATATCAACTCATGACAGATGTCTTTGGGAACTACGTTATTCAAAAGTTCTTTGAGGTACAGTACAAGGACCGCCCACACTCTACAGAGTCGCTACATCGTCAAGTGGGAGCATGACACACTTTTTTCTGCTATGCATCATAATCTAAGATTATTAAGGGCGGCAGTAGCTCAGTTGGTAGAGCGTTGGCCTTTGAGCCAGAAGGTCGTGGGTTCAAGCCCCGCTCAAGACTTTCACCATCGACTCCCACTGACTACTGTCGTTGTGTCCTTGGCAAGACACTTAACCTCTGGGAACACCAGCCACAGTGGGGCGGCTGCGGCTGTAAAGTGCCAAACTGCTGTTGTGTCCTTAGGCAAGACACTTCACCCCCATTGCCTAGAATGAGTCTGTGTGTGTGTATGAATGGTTGGTGGTGGTCGGAGGGGCCGATGGCGCATACTGGTTGCCTCGCTTCTGTCAGTGTGCCCCAGGGCAGCTGTGGCTACATTAGTAGTTTATCACCACTGTGTATGGAGTGAATGAATAATGACACATGTGAAGCGTCTTTGAGTGTCCAAAAAAGCGCTATATAAAATCGATGCATTATTATTATTATTAAGATACCTGTGGTCCTTGATGATATCTTGGTACATTTGAAATCTCTATATTGACCTCTTCCACTTTACACTTCAGTGAAACGCAGTAGTATCAAAGGTCCTGCAGGCTTATCTCAGACCCCAAATCAAGTTGGGGATACTAGTTGTAATCAAGAATGGTACTGCTGAAACCTCGGCATATCGCAGATTTGTAAAAGGAAATGGGTGACTAAAGCAGATGAGCCAGGGGGAGTCATTTTATCTGGGGTGTAGAGTGTATAGTGCATTAAATCACTCTAACATTCATGAATCACTCTAAAAACTGCCTCTAACAATTTGTTTGAATATGAAATATGCCTCAGAAATAAGGATGAGAGCGGTAGTATAAATCTGAAACCCCCTAGTTGAGCTTTTGTTACTGGCCCTGGACTTGATCCTTCATTATCAGAGGATTTTGCATACAAAATAAATATTTGTGTAACAGTTTGGCAGCTCGGAGCAGAAACATGCCCTGGCCACTCGTATCCGTGGACACGTGCTCCCTCTGGCCTTACAGATGTACGGTTGCAGAGTGATCCAGAAAGCCCTGGAGTCCATCTCGTCTGAGCAGCAGGTAATAGTAAGTGTCTTACCCTTTCCTTCACTTGTCTATTGTGTACGTACAAGTGTACAGCACGTGTGAGTGACTGTGTTCCCTCAGAGTGACATTGTGCGGGAGCTGGACGGACACGTGCTAAAGTGTGTGAAGGACCAGAACGGGAACCATGTGGTACAGAAGTGCATAGAGTGTGTGCAGCCCCAGGCCCTGCAGTTCATCATCGATGCCTTCCAAGGACAGGTGAGTGACTGAAGTAATCTCTCCTCCATCCACTCAAGTCGCTCCTCGCATTATCTCCGACTCTCTAAAGCACTCTCACATCAGCTCTGTCCTGAAATCCCTCCTCAGGCCCCCACTGAGATTTACCTCAATTTGAACTTATCTTCAGCGCGTTTATAGTCGCGCAGGTTGTGTCCAAGAATAGTTTTTCATTGAGATAAGCCTGACAATTTACAACAGCAGTGAAATATGTACGTATAATGGGCATAATTGTGTTACGCTCTACGGCTTATCGCGGCGAAGGAGACTGGTAAAAGAGGATGGAGTTTACAGAGATGTTGACTTCCAGCAGCACTTGGCACCCGCCCACACAGAAAAAAGTACCAAAGTCTGGTTTAATGAACATTATTGCCCAATTACTGTGCTTGATTGACCAGAAAACTCGCTTGACTTTACCCGATGAAAAAATTAATGAAGCATTGGCAAAATAAAGATGGGAGACATGAGAGCGAACAATCCAGAAGAGACCAGGACACTTGTGAAGTCCAAGTGTCCAGGGGCCGTATTCCTAAAGATTCTGAGAGTCCTCTCAGAGAGCTCTTATCTTAACCTAAAAACTCCTAGCTAGGAGTCTTAGCTTAAAAGTTATTCCAGAACACTCTTAGAGAACTCTGAGCAAGGAATTGACAACAACTTTTATCTTAGTGAGGAGGCGTGGCCGACCCCGTTGCTAGGTATGAGTCATCATTTCAGACGCTGTGATTGGTTGATCCTAAAAGTTAGAACAAACATATTTTTGATGATAATAGGCAAATAAGGGCCCTAAAATGGACAAACTCAATCATGGAATCTAATCTTAGGAACACTGTGTTATTGTAAATAATAACCAAAAGCTATAAAGTCAGATATATCAATGGTACATAAATACTGTGAATAGTAAAGTTAGACTTATACACCATCATCAGAGCTTGCTCAGCACCAATTTATCACACATAATATGTATATATCATGAGGACTTATAATTTTATATATATATATATATATACATATAATTTAAATATTACTCTATATATAATATACATGATAAAGAAAATTATTATTATAAATATTATATGGATAAATGATGATAATGATAACGTTAGGATTAGTAAAGGCTGTGATATGTATAGACTTATAAGGAATTAAGGAAACAATATTAATATAAACATATTATACATACACTGTACAAATCAAGTACAAGGGAGCTTAAAAGTCTTATCCTCTCCCACTCCTTTTTGAGCTGGATTGTTGTTAATAAAACAAAACTGTATATTTGTACTTCTATTCTGTTGTTGTTTTGTTTTGTTTTGTCCTTTTTTTTTCTTGTTTGCCATGGCTCAAAATAAAGTATTCATTCATTCGTACTGAATGTGTGACAATTTAGGACCACTTTTTCCTCTCTTTCAACTTTTACCATTTCTACTTACTTTTGTGTAACAAAGGTAAAATGGATGAGGTGTTATTGCTGACCAGCCAATAAGAAGCTGGTCACATGATTGACTTTTAAATATACCACAAACATGATTCCTGCTTGAATCTGTAGCGTTTCACTGATTCACTGTCATCCAGTGTATAGAATATTTCTCCTGTCTCCACCGTCCACCATTTTGTGCTCTTAGGGAACTTTTAAGTCGCTAAAAGTCCTCCTCTCAACTCTTAAGGGATCTCCCCTTAAGAGCACTCTTAAGAGCTGGGATTCTTTAGGAATAGCTTTTATCTTAACTAGGAGCTACTCCTCACTTTTAGGGGAAATTCTAAGAGTTGGTCAAGATTCTAAGAAAATTCTTAGAATTTGGCCACTAGGAGCAACTTTTAGCAGTAAGAATCTTTAGGAATACGGCCCCTGGTCTTCACACATCAGCTATGCCACGCAGCATTAAGGGAAGAATTCAAATAAAAATGGCCCAAACCAAGTACCCAGAACATTTGCATGATTGTAGTTTTCAGCAGCCCACATTTCTATCCAAAATTAAAAAAAAATATTGATTTCATATAATATTCTTGTCTTGTGAGATTTTGAATTCTCTTTTGAATCAAGCCGTCAGTCATAATAATCAAAATTCAAACAAAGGCCTTGCATATGTCACTTTGCATGTGTCGATGTCATATATTTAGCATTTGAGGTTGTATTACAGAAATAGATCATTAGAATAGTGTTCCAGACATGGTTCCAGAGTCAAATGCTGTTCTACTTAATTCTACTTCTTACACCTATTCGGCTTCAAGGAGAGAATCGAGAGAATGGAGAGAAAGGAGAGATCTGTGGCATGTTTTAATTCACAAATGATGACCATAGACGCCCCTTCCACCATTATGAAGACGGAATAAAAAACAAACAAAATATTTTGTTCTCTATGAATAACTGATAGAAGTGTCTTGTATCTTGTAAGAACATGGTTAATAATAATTTAGTATCTTTTAAAAATTAGAATAATGATTGATCTCATATTCTCATTTATTACTAGGGTTTGGGTTAAAGAATAATTGTTGTTGAATTATTTTGAAAACACCTCAAGCATCAACTTTATTATTTTGCTTTGATAAAAAAAAAAAAAAAAAAAAACTTATATTGAGAACCAATTGGGTCCAGATTTTTACCAGAACACATTATGTCTGACCTTTTTAATTTCGTTCTCACTGATGTTAGCAAGGCCTAATGTTAGCAAGACCCATAAAGCGTTGCATAATTGTGTTTTGATGAGGTAAACTCTTCCCATACATATTGTTGAGTTTTTTTGAGCCTCCTCATCTAGTCGCTTAATGTTTTCACCTTGTCAGTATACATGTGGAAAATATGAGTCATTCACTACTCAAATCTGGCCTTTGCGGATGAGGAGTAAATAGAAAGTCAGTTTTGTGTCAAATAAAGCCACAAGAAGCAAAGCGGGGGATGCAACGGCTCGCATCTAACACTGCTCATCACCCTCTGCACTCTCCCTACTGTCAAATATGGGGGGGGGGGGGCAGCATCGTGTTATGGGCTGGCTTTCTTCAGCGGGGACAGAGTAGAGTGACTGTTGATGGAAAGGTAGATGGAGACGATCAAAAAAAGCTGCTCAAGTCAAACACTCGGGGCAACGATGAATGCTTACCTACAATCAGTGCATTTTCTATAAGTCCAGACCTAAATTCAAGTGAAAACCATGACAAACTATTCTGTTAAGCCACTGTATATTGTAATTGTTTTTGTTTATTCTCCCAAATCGTGCAGTTGTAATGTGTGCTTGTGTGTTGTGTGCAGGTGTTTGTGCTGTCCACCCACCCTTACGGCTGCAGAGTGATCCAGAGGATTCTGGAGCACTGCACCCAGGAGCAGACGCTGCCCATCCTGGACGAGCTGCACCAACACTCTGAGCAGCTGGGACAGGTGAGCCGCGACCCCCCCACTGTCAAAGTCTTTGGGTCATAGAAATACCGTAGGATTATAAATAAAGGAGCAAGGAGCCAGTTGTGCATCTGCCTCTTAGAATTATTGGAATTGTCTTTCAGTAAATGTTCCCATCTTTAAAATTGCTCATAAATCAAAATGTTAAACTTTTGCATGAAAAAGGTAAAAAATATAGTCATGTTTAACATTCCATGTTCTGTTTCTTATTTAACTTCCAGAAACAGTAGGCCTGCAAACAGGAATTTACTGATTCTAGATAGTCTATTAATACAATTTGTTTAAAAATGATAATTAACTTTCCTATAATCCTGCAAAACGCACTAACCTGGAGTGCAAAGGAGCACCTTGTTTAGGATAGTAATGGGCCTGGTTGGAGCCTACCCACGCAGAATATTAGTATATCATTCAAAAGTTAATTTGTTTCTGTAACTTAACTTAAAATGTGAGACCTAGAGATGATGTAGACTCATTAATGCAACGTTGCAAATGCCAAGCCTTTGTTTGTCATAATTCTGATGATTATGGCGGCTGTGGGTCCGATCCCACCTCGACACCTTCTCCACCGACTCTCACTGATGTCTGCTGTTGTTGTGTTCTTGGACAAGACACTTAACCCCAAGGGGGAGAAACTTGATGGATGGTTTTATATTTACAAGCTGTGAGCCAATTATCAGCATTATAACAAATAAAGGCTGGGTGTATCTTACTTATGTTATATATTCATTTCACATAAGTTGAATTACAGAAGTGAAGAAGTTTGGTTTTTATCACTTTCACATTCATGTATATTTGGCCTCAGTCACTTCTTTAGACCAGCTTTCTCAGATAGAAAGTAATAAAGAGAGCCACTCTCAGCCCCAAAGAGTCAAATAGTGACTCACAGGGCAAGTATACAAAATATAACATGTTTTGTTAGAAGATGGAGGCAGCTTGTTGTGATCAGATTTTAAATTAAACGGTTTCTTTCTGTTGGGAGAAACAAAAACGCAAAAGTTATGTATCCAACCTTTTTAAATGAGATTATTCAAATTAGTCTTGAATTCTGCTGTTCTCTCATCTTTAATTCAAGTTCACTTAAATAGTGTAGACTTTTGTTGTGTATAGTCTGTTTTGCCTGCTTCACTCATATGTGCTCATTAGAAAAACATGCATGGAGTGTCCACTGTGTTAGGGCTGCACGATTAAACGACTCAAAAATCTCGCTTTGACAAGTCTAAATGGTTGAAGTTATGTGAAAATGAGCAACATCGAGGCGCAGCAGATAAAAGCCTGACCTAAAATGGACGCATAAGATACACTTGTTTATTGGACAGTTCATGCAGTGGTTTGTCCAGTGAACAATACTTTCTTTTCTTTTTTTTTTTACTAGAAATTAAGTCATAATTGCTAATGGTTATTTTCCCAAAGTCGTGCAGTCCTACCCTGTGCAAATGTTCCTGTGTTGTTGATGTGCTTAGCCTGTCATCACACCTGCCCGCTTCACTTATCCCATCAGAAATATCAAGGCGTTTCATTGGAGATGGCCCCCAAATCATATTATTCAGTGTCCCGTGACGCACTGTTCAAGGTCAGGACATCTTGCCTCTGCAGGCTCCTCACCACAGCTCCTCCTTCTGTCAAACTCCTCCTGCTGCTGCTGCTTCTAACAACACTTTCCTGGAGATGTATGATTTCTTTATGAGGCCTGTCACAACAAGCACTTTATACACCTATTGCATTGTTCCTTATTAGAAAGTCTACTTGGAACTGCATATGTAGAAGAAGAAAAGTTTCCCATAGACTTAACTGACTGGATATGACATCAATTCTAATTCTACAGTACAGTGATTCTACAATTACTGCTCCAAAGTTTGGGAATTCGCTTTGGCAAATTCAAGATACACCTTTTGAAAGCGTCCCACGGCTTCAGCTTCTCAGCAGGCACGTGGAGAAGGGACATTAAAAGTGGCCAGACGGTTTTTAAAGCAACGACAAACAGTCTGGTTTATTTTAAAACAAGACCATAACCAGATTTAAAAGTGACATGAGACTTTTAAAGGTCAAATTGAAAACATGATGAATCGTATTTTTTGCTGGTCTTTGCGACAGGCCTCACACCAGCGTCCTGCTTCATTTACACCTTCCCCTCCTTGTCTTTCTCATCTTTGACCTCCTCCTTTCCTCTGGTGGTTTCTGCATGGTTTCTGTGTTTTCTAGTTGTTTTCTAATGACCATGTAAAGACAATGTTGAAGGAGATGTTTTGGGCGCACTAAATAAATGTGTTAAGCTCTCAGATGGATGCACAAAAAAACCCGCATATAGTACATTTTATCAACGCTGCTCAGTATGGGCGCGAGTCTGGGTGGGAGTCTGGGTGGGAGTCTGGGTGGGAGTCTGGGTGGGAGTCTGGGTGGGAGTCTGGGTGGGAGTCTGGGTGGGAGTCTGGGTGGGAGTCTGGGTGGGGGTCTGGGTGGGAGCAAAGGTTTTCGGGACATACTCGGACAGACATACTCGGACAGACATACTCGGACAGACATACTCGGACAGACATACTCGGACAGACATACTCGGACAGACATACTCGGACAGACATACTCGGACAGACATACTCGGACAGACATACTCGGACAGACATACTCGGACAGACATACTCGGACAGACATACTCGGACAGACATACTCGGACAGACATACTCGGACAGACAGACTCGGACTTGTGACAGACTCTCGCAGTCACAAGTATTATACCGCTCAACAACAAATTACAAGGAGCAAAATTCCTCCATGAAAACATTTAGAACAATCCAATTAATATTCAGCATCATATAAGGTAGCCAATACAACTGAATTCACTGTGAGCATTGTAAAACTCCAGGGTTGAATGACCGTTGCCAAATGTTTAACGTTTATAGCCCCTAAAGTAATATAATAAGATCCTTACTGCCTGGATTAACACAGCCTCGATGCTCAGAAAGTGCAGTAAGAACTTTAGATTGGAGCAGATGTTGGTGCTAATTCTGCCTCTAGATGGAAATGTAAGCAAATTCTAGTTTTATCTAATATATATTCAACTTAAATAATTTTATATTTTCTATACATATTAGACCCAGTGGCTCTAAGAGTGGTCATTCTTGGTGCCTTTACTCTAGGACCAGCTGTTTTTGTAGGTTATCTGGTGCGGGGGTCACGCTGATGAGGTCAAATATATATTATGATAAGGTCAAATATACTTTTTTCACATTAAAAATTGTATCTAAGTGTAGCAAAATGGGGGGGATAAGTTATGGGCGAAACACTTCTCAGCACTGACTCTTTGAATGCTGGACAATACAGGGTTAATCTCAAGCTGGCAGGAATCACACAACAAAAATGTAATACAAATCCTATATGTAGTATTTTTTGTGCATTCATCAGGTCTCTTCAGGCTAATAGTGAAGGGGCAAAGACGCTACTAGCTCTAGCTGTCTGACCTTCTGCAGTGAAACATCCACAAGGGGGCGCCACTCATTCATTGACTGCATGTTGTGTCACTGGAGATGAGGCCTTTTTCATCCCAGCGCATCAGTGTAGCTGCAAAGTCTTCTCCTCTGCTAACTTTTGACAAATTTATTTAGGGACTGAAGGAGGTGTAATTGTGTATCAATAAGTTACTGAAATTTGTTTTTATGTCAATCCAAATGTATTTACATTTATTCATATTCTGAGATCTGGGCTCTCACTCATACATGTAGATCTGTTATAGATCTGTTGTATATACAAACATATAATTGCGGCTCTTTGAGCCCTATTCTCTGCAGATATGACTTGGAAATTAGGCAAGCAACATGAGTTTTCACTCAAATGTCGTTTTTTCCTCCAAAAGGAACAAACATGAATTTTGGTTTAATCGTACCATAACTGAAAGAATTTTCTCAAAAAAAAATCATTGTAGATTCGGCCCTGACCAAAGGGCGTGCCTTAATTAATCAATTATTTATGACTTGAAACTTGTTATGACTTATTTTTAGATTGCAATCTGAATGAATAATCAATGTCAATGTACTGATTATTAAAAACTAAAAAGTTAAATGGTTTTTTGTTGTGTTTGTTAATAATTGTCAAGTGTGACTAGAGCCCAAATCCCAGTGCCTTCATGTATTTTTGGACACCCCCCATGTCTTTGAATTTTTTTTTTACTAAAACCAACACTGCACTCCTTTAAATATGCTCAACAGAAGTTGGATACTAGATGTTACCAGAGGAGATTTTGCACTTCCACCACTGCAACAGTGCAAATTAGCGCTTCCTGTCCCATTCATTCTCTATGAGGAGTTCGTTTCAAGTTTAAGTACTATGGAAAGATCTTGTAGCTGACAGTCTAGCTGCACATTATGACTCAAAGGTTGCATGCTTATTTGCTTTCCTGAACTATAGCTACAGATGAATTAGAATGAAGCATGTGTGATAAACTTTGAAGTATTTTCAAAGCCTGAGAAGGACTGGACAGGGAAGCGAGCGTGCCTTTCTGAAGCTGGCTGCACAGTGGTGTTCGGAGTCCGCCTAGTGCATGAAAACTCCTCTAAAGCGCTCGAGCCACCACCGCCAGCGCTCACATCTGCTTTTCCACACTGTAGGACCAGTACGGCAACTACGTGATCCAGCATGTGTTGGAGCACGGCCGGCCAGAGGACAAGAGCAAGATCGTGGGTGAGGTGCGCGGGAAGGTGCTGCTGCTGAGCCAACACAAGTTTGCAAGGTCAGCCTAAAAAACCAGTATACTAACAAATATGCATTTTAAAAACCCAAACTGGAAAAGGCAACAAAAATGAAGCCTTTGTTGACTTTACTGTGAAAACTGTAATGCTGTGCATGGGGGAATATGTTCTTATCAAATCTGTCAGAGTTTGAATGTGTGCTCTTCTGTTGGGAACCTCCCACGGTCCCTTCTTATACTGAGAGCACTGATTCCGGCTGCATGATCGGTTTTTAGACGTACAGATGAGGTCACAAGTTCACTTTCTGGTATATAGAAAATTGTGGCTGAAAGTTATTCTTGCTATTTATTCCAAGTAAAAGTTTGTCAGGTGGATCAATGAATTTTATTGTAATGTTTAATATTTAGTAGGAATGCCTCTAATCTGTTTTTAACTTTGGAAGCCTTCCAAAGCATTTGACAGTGAATTGGAGGAAGTGATGTAACGGAGTCGGCTTTGAGGGCCTTCTTACAATCTCCAGGTTCTTCAGCTCTGAGATCAGGGCTGTGATGGACACTACACCTAAACCTTGTTGAGATCAGGGCTGTGACTCTTACACCTGGATCTTGTGTCCTTGAGTCATCCTTGTGCAGGTTCAGAAATGCGCTTGCCTTCTTTTGTTCATCCAAAACACCCATCTGCGAACAAGCTTCAACTTCCTCTTCGTTTTGTTGGTTCAAAATAACTTTTTCACGATGCCGTTGATTGTATGCAGTGCACCAGTCCCTCCCGCTGATCAACAACCTGACGTGATGCTGCCCCCCATGCTTCATGATTCAGACATCAGGATGGGTCAAATGCAGAGGACAATAAAGTGCACATATTCCATTTAAATTTGCATTGTAAAGGTTTGGGTGCACCAAGGACTTGAAAGCCTTCAAACCCGTGCCAGCTTTGTGAATAATACGATGCTGCAACTTCTGAATCAGTGTTTTTCCCAGTGGGGGCGGGTCCCGGCTCAAAAATGGCCAAAATGACGTGCGCTGACATGCTTGCAATACCACCCCGGGCCGATGGGGGTGGACCCGGAATAAGAACTAACCAATGCTAACATATGGCATCTTCTTACCTCGAAAACGTCTTTACAGGATGGTCCAAAAGTTGGCTCTTGGCCCAAAGCTCCGTTCCACATGTGTGTCAATGCTGAGGGGAGTGCATTATTTTGGACCACTCAAGTTTAGTCGCTGTGAAATGTTGAAGTCACTCGTTTAAATGAATGGGGCTCGTGCCGCTGACGCATGCGCAGAGGCGTTTTTTCACATTTTCCAACTCCGAAGTTAGAACTGCGGAGATAGGCGTGACTACATCTGTTAATATTTACAGTCTACTATGGTTTTCCCCTTTGTATTGTCATTGCGCCCAAAGTTTCCTAGAGAAGATCGGAGTCTATTCGGCATACGATTGTTGTTTATGAATTGATGCATGGCTGTAGATGTTTGTTATGGATGTGACATGAGTGTGTTGTTGTGTGCCCCCAGTAATGTGGTGGAGAAGTGTGTAATCCATTCGTCGCGAGCAGAGAGAGCCCTGCTGATAGATGAGGTGTGCTGTCAGAAGGATGGGCCCCACAGCGCCCTCTACAGCATGATGAAGGACCAGTACGCCAACTATGTGGTGCAGAGGATGATCGACATGGCGGAGCCGGCACAGCGCAAAATCATCATGCACAAGGTACAGGACACGTGTGCAAAATGTGGCAATGCACAAGATAATTACGTTTGACAACACAGAACAACCGTAGACACTTACAGATGAAGCTTGAAAATTAGAATAACAGTCAAAAGTCCATTTACCTACTGTACTTACCGTTCATTTTCTTACCGTAATTCAACTGCCAATATGAACGTAATATATGACGGACTCATTGCACGCAAAGGTAAATACATTAAGTCGTTATTTGTTATGTTGATGAATTTGCTCACAGCTAGTAAAAAAAACAAATGCAATATCTCCTGTCCCATAACCATTTAGAGACCTCTCTGTGTTTATTGTATTTCTTATGTTCAAACTGTTTGATTCTCTGATCTGTGTTGGCAAATGTCAATCTTCGTCCTTCGAGATGATAGCTACACAAAAATACATTGAGTTGAATTGATTTTGGAATAAACTGTAATCCATTATTGTAACAAAAAGGCTTGAAATATGTTACTTTATAAGATTATATATTTGTTTCATATTTTAAGTTGAATTACAGAAATATGTTTTAACATTCATACATTTAGGATCATAAGTTACTGTTATTGACACAAAGTGATTGTTTTGCATTATTCAAATTACAATTTTGGTTAATCTGATTTGATAGAATGAAAAGTTAAAATTAAACCGCCGAATGACAAAATGTATTTTGCTTTATATTTTTCTCTTTGCCATGAAGGTTTTGTATTTAGAACACATTTTCGCATGCTTTTGATCGTAGTGTTGATAAAGATTTTAGGTAGTATTCTTATCATCAAAAATGTATTTTCAATTTTTTGCAATCAGACATACAAATCTGTGTGGGTTTGTCTGTCTGATTGTCCAGAGCAGAAGGAAGAAAAGAGTCAATTTCTTTGTTTACACACTGTTCCACTTAATGGTACTCTCTTTACAACAGTGCACCCCACAGTGTACCCCACAGTGCACCCCACAGTGCACTCTTCCAGTGATGGACAGTGTTATAACCGGAGTCTGTACAACAGTTTTTATCTGCATTTACAATCAGGTGCCTTCTATCCTAAATTTGACTTCAAGTAGAACTATGGCTGCCGGACGGACCACTTTAGTTGCTACAGTATGAAAGAATTTAATGTCTGCCCCCTTTAGTTTGATACTGTCTGTGTCTAATCTGCTTTTTCGGGTAAAAGCCAAGCACTATGCGTGTTTTCAGCACTAACTCCATCCACTCTAATCAAAATCATATCATTTTAATTATATTTTATATTTGGAGTGATGTTGGCCAGATTAGGTTTGTCATTAACATCATATTTTCTCATCCCTGTCAGATCCGACCGCACATCGCCACATTGCGCAAGTACACCTACGGCAAGCACATCCTGGCCAAGCTGGAGAAGTACTACATGAAGAGTGGCTCAGAGCTGGGGCCCATCGGGGGGCCCGCCAACGGCCTCATGTGAACCCACACTTACACAGCCCCTGTGCCACCTCTGTACACACATTACACCACACACTAAATGCTGTGGCTTTCTCTGGTTAAAGCACATAGTAATTGACTGGTTTTTTCATAATAATGTATTTTTTTTGTTTTTAAACAAACATACCTGACAGTGTAAATTATCTGTAAAAAGTTGGTGAAAATTCGTACAATTTTAACACCAGCAAGTGGCTTTCGGTAAAATCATTGCTTTTATTTTCTATGGAGGTGTTCAAAATGGCTACCGTATATTTCTATATGTGACTTTTAGTGCAAAGCAAGGCCACGCCAAAGCAACTGAAAAGTTGGCACTATGTATAAAAATAGTCCGCAAATTTTCTAGCCTGATTTTTAAGAACGGTGCTTCGAACTAACGCTAACGGTAGCTTTGTCTTGTGTCCTTTTTTGTGCACAAGAGCAGGCTGGCTAGCTAGGTTTAAATTTTTCTCTGTGTTTGTGTCAGTACTTCCCATATTTTATTAAAACAGAAAAAACATGAACTAAATCAGGACCATATATTTAAAATTTGGATTACAGTCATGTGTGCGGGATGGTAATATTTATTGTGCTGTAAAATCTGCTTTAGCATCAGCTTTGAGTCAGAACCGCACCATACTCTGATCTAAAGTATTCATTTTAGAGCAATGTGGGAAATACTGCCACTAACACAAAGCTAACAGTGCGATAGCTAGCCTTCTCTTGTCTGCAGAGCCTATTGTTAGCTTTGGGAGCAGCTAGTTTTTTTCTACTAAAACCCAATGTAAAAAATATGTATACCCGTGTGAATTTTATTGCAAGACAAAGCTTCCGTAAGCGACGCCTCATTTTCCATTGTAGTTTTGTACAGTTGCATCACAACCACAAGGGGGCAGGTTTAGGCTGTTTTCTGCGCATGCTGTGAGGAGACGTTTTCAAGGAGTTTCGTAGGAATGACGTGAGATTTCCTCCGCTTTTTTGTATCGCATTTTGTCCGATCTTGTAGTTTTTTGCGAGTAGAAAATGAAATCCAAATAATCATGCGTGTCGTAGCTTTTAGTGTCGTAAACGCTTCTTTACGTAAAACGTTGCTTATTGGGGGAAGATTTCTTTCTTTTTTCCAGGGAAGATGATGGTAGAGCCCACTGCCTGAAGCTCGGAGAAGTAAAAAAATATATATTAAGAGAATGTGAATGTGAAGTTAGGCTCAATTTTTTGTGGTTTTAACTTTTTTTTTATTGTACAAGAAAGTGCGAAGTTGGAGGCAGGTGGGGCCATCACACAATGGCTGTTTAATTTTTTAATCAGGGGCTTTGTTTTTCTTGATAATTGTAGATTCCATGTAGTATATGTGCAGTTAATATTACGTGTAATTATAATAATAGTTGAATTGAGGAAACTAGTCGTGGTGTGTTTTGACAGGCCTTGCTTATATATTTGAGACTTTGTAGTGACGCTTTGAATCTGTTTCTGTACAGTTGTACATTTGTAAACGATGTTGCTGTAAATTGTCTTTTATTACACTTTTTCTCAGAGGCTAAATTTGTGCATTTCAACGTGTATATTCACCACTCCATTTTGAATATAATGTAAACAATTTATTTCATCACATTTTTTTATTCTTATTTCAAAGGATTGCTGCATCTGGCATGGTTTTTTTTTTTTTTAACAACTTTTATTTTGAAAGGCCGGCCTCTCGCTCTTTGTACTATCTCCTGTTTAATAATCTTTACAAACGTGACGTAAATTTTCTCTTCAATTGATGCTCTGCTCCATGAATTCTTCAGAGGGAACAACAATATAATATTTTTGTACAGATCAAATCATGCGCTGTCCTTTTTTGAGAGCAGCTGCTGAAAACCTTGTAAAAGCATAAAAGGCGTTGTAAAATATTGTGCATTTATAAATATGAAGATATGAGCTTGTCACGCTGTCAATGGTGTCAGGTGGCCTTATGTACATTTAAAGATGTTAGATGAAGAAGCGGCTCATTTTTCAAAGCAGAATTGTGATTATGTACAATTAAACTGTTCTCTAACATTTGAACGTGACTTTTTTTATTTATGACATTTTATATTGTAATGTTTTGCTATAATTGCATATTATCATAGCCAATGCAAAAGTATGGGAGTGAACAATTAAATGTAAACTGATTAGTAGGAGAGTGCTTCATCCTTGAATTGATTTAAAGCCATACAGTGGAACATACCATGCACTTCTAACAAATGGTGGACATGGAAACATAAATTGTGCATCTGTATAGGGATTTTCTAATTATAAACGGGGGTTTCCATGTAAAAAAATAATAAAAAATAAATAAATAAATAAAATACACGGAAATCATGTTATATCTATGCTTGGAATGTACCTTAGTATGATATATATAAAAAAATGTTTTACAGATGTCTTACTGATAACTTGAATTATTGCACTGGGTTGGCTTTCTCCACAGATATGAGTCATAAACTACCCTAATGCAGTCACAAGAAAAGTAAATTCCCAGAAAAAACAACATTTATGGACTCCAGACAAAAGCGACCTTCCACCAGAAAAGTTGCCATGCATCTTTTACGCAGCATTTAAATTAATAATGTAAATGATTTGATTTTATACCGAGTAAACCATTTAAAAATGGCAAGAACGGCTTTGTGTTAAGGGGGCGGAGCTTGAGCTGACGCATCCCACCTGCGTGCGTCAGGAGAGCGCGCTCACCTGCTCACGAGGAGGGAGGAAGAGAAGCGCGAGGAGGACATCAACACGAGCCGCGCGCGAGCCAAAGTCCAGCCTTAGCTCTGGGCATTAGTTCATTCATATTATTGTGAATATGGCGCTCCACGTCAGGCTCACAGCGCTCCTCTGCCTTTCCCTGGCCCTGTGTGCTGCTGCTGCCGCCGCGGTGAGAGCCACGACACACGGAATAACACATTCGCTTCACATTCCAGAGTCTACAATACTGGCTTTGCTTCTCTTCCTGTTTTGAGCCACGTTCAAAAGTGAAGCTGCCAAAAAAATCTACTTCCTTATGCTTTATAATCAAACTTGTATTAGACTGGACACGTTTCTAAACATGTGTGTGACAAATCTTATGGTACAAAGATCAATTATAAATAAATGATGAAGGAAAGCCTGTTTCTTTAGTTTTTTTTTCTTCATATAAATCGATTTGGATGCAGTCAGTCGCCCTGATTTACATGCTTCAAGTTGAGAAAGGAAATACAGTTTGGGGTTGGACCATATTATAATACATCCATGGTTTAGAATGGTCTATATGGCGTTCTATGGTTAGGATTTTGGTGGTTTCATATATTTGAAAAGCATTGCTGAATATGTTGTCAAAAATCTCAACCTTTTCTCTCATCTGGAAACGGATCAGCATCCCCTCAACGTGATGGACATCTTTGGTCAGGAGCTCTGTGGTCCAGCCGACTGCATGCCCACTGGAAAGAGAATTATTCTGAATGACAAAGAAGACACTCATGATGTTTAATGATGTCTTTGGTAGTTGAACATTTTATTATGTACCCGAGATAGACATTTTTCACTTGGATGTTATTAAATGAGGCCCATTGTCGCTCATGTCAAAATCTTACTTTTATCTGCTTTCTTTGATTGGCTTGACGTGTACAATTCTGAACATTTAGATTTCGTTTAAAGTAACATCCACTCAAAATGTGAACTAAACATGGCTAATTACCCCCAACCCCACTCATCCCTCTCCACCAAAATAAACAACTTTTGTGAACTTGTAGCAGACAGATGCAGCTTTAAACAAACTCTGAATATGTCTAGAGAAAGGATTTTCAGCACAGCTGACATCAGGACCGAGCACTGAGGCGAATGTCACAGCTTTCTCTTGCATTGGAATGGAGCAAGAGGGATGCAGCAGTTGCAGGAGTGCACACTGGTTATGAATGAAGTCGCTGCTTTCAGTCGAAATGCAATCAAGGAAAAATCTATCTTTCTGGATTTTTTTGGATTGTAACTTCATCCAATTATTATGTTATTGTTTTGCTGCACCCTTAAATACATATTTAGTGAAGTATTTAGCTGATTTTCAAGCTGTTTTAATTTTGTTTGTGTGGCTTGCTGTGTGTATCTGCAGACCGCCCTGCCTCCTGAGGACATGGAGGCATCTGGAGATGACCTGGAGATGGACGGCTCAGGAGGAGGCCCAATGGAAGGTATTACCACTGATAGGACAATACTTCATATTCAATTTGGAAGACTTAACATTTTTAATGTCAAGATCATATTGATGTATGTTTTATTGAGTTCAGTATTCTCTTGATATTGTTCAACATTAGTCATTCATCAATCCTGTTGAAGGCTTTCTGGTAATTAACCCAGTCTTGATTACCAGAAAGCAGACAGAAATGATACCACACACATGGAGTCAAGGACTCAAGGAAGGTGTCCAAGGACTAGTGAGCTTGAGAGAAACATTTCATGAGGAAACATTCAGACACCATGAATACATCATGGGGAATCACAGAAACATAATGGAAATGGCTGATCTCGAGAAGTCCTTCCAAAGGCTAGAAAGGGCGGCTTTCAGGACAGCAGAGGCACTCATCATGGCTGCACAGGAGCAGGCCCTGAGCACCAGAGCGATAGAGGCCCAGATACAGTGGGGCAAAAAAGTATTTATTCAGCCACCAATTGTGCAAGTTCTCCCACTTAAAATAATGACAGAGGTCTGTAATTTTCATCATAGGTACACTTATGATGAAAATTACAGACCTGTCATTATTTTAAGTGGGAGAACTTGCACAATTGGTGGCTGACTAAATACTTTTTTGCCCCACTGTATATCACACCAAACGAGACCCAAGATGTAGCTTGTGCAAAGAGGCACCTGAGATGGTCCAACACATAACTGCAGGGTGTAAGATGCTGAAAGGGAAAGCCTACTCTGAACCAAGTGACTGCCATAGAGTACAGGAACATCTGTGTGGAGTAAGAACAGTGCCAACAATTCTACAGTTGCTCCGCACTGCGCAAAGCTGTTTGCTAAAGACATTTCATCACTGCATGCTTCTGTTTTATTTCTTTCATAAACAAAAAGGGCATTTTATCATTTCAGTAATATTGGATGAAAAGCCAACAGTCTTGGGCAAATGTACTGAAGACACAGAACTGAAGAACCAAAAATACAGAGGACTGGATACTGAGTCGGTAAGGCCTTCAGGAATGTTGTGTAGTGACTTTTTATGATAATTTAGGTAAATGACATGATCTGTGAATGATTTGTAGATTGAGACACAAAATTAAGTATAGTCATATTTAGAAAACCCAATTATTAGCCCTACCAACCAAGTAAAGCTGTAACAATTTAATAGATGAGTCAAATCTAACTATTTTAGTAATCATTATTTTATCAGCACATCTACTTTAACACGGTGTGATGAGGTTTTATGACTCAGATAATTCTATAATGCCTCAACATGAAATGGAAAAAATGGGTTTACAAATGATTTTTAATCAAACATCACAATGATGTTGTCCAGGGTCATCCCCTGAGCTTTGTTCTGGTAACTAATGTCTTTAAAATCCCATATTCACTGAGCTGTTGGGATCTAAACAACAAATCAATTTTCGGACACAATATTATTCTCCATCTCAAAAGGATTCAGTTCGACTTTAAGCTTTCCTCATTTAATTTCCCAAGAGGATGGATGCTTGTTGTGTATCTGTTATTCTGTACAAACGGCATCAGCAGCAGAAGTGCAAGACACAGCAGACACACACAGGGATTTGGGGTAAAAAATCATTTATCTTCTGAAGCATGAACTCAAACTGAATTGTAGTCTGTATCCTGTTTGTGCCCTGTCCGTGCCCTGTCTGTGCCCTGTCCGTGCCCTGTCCGTGTCCTGTCCGTGTCCTGTCCGTGCCCTGTCCGTGCCCTGTCCGTGCCCTGTCCGTGCCCTGTCCGTGTCCTGTCCGTGCCCTGTCCGTGTCCTGTCTGTGCCCTGTCTGTGCCCTGTCCGTGTCCTGTCTGTGCCCTGTCCGTGCCCTGTCTGTGCCCTGTCCGTGCCCTGTCCGTGTCCTGTCCGTGCCCTGTCCGTGTCCTGTCTGTGCCCTGTCCGTGTCCTGTCCGTGCCCTGTCCGTGTCCTGTCTGTGCCCTGTCCGTGTCCTGTCCGTGTCCTGTCTGTGCCCTGTCCGTGTCCTGTCTGTGCCCTGTCCGTGCCCTGTCCGTGTCCTGTCTGTGCCCTGTCCGTGTCCTGTCCGTGTCCTGTCTGTGCCCTGTCCGTGTCCTGTCTGTGCCCTGTCCGTGTCCTGTCCGTGTCCTGTCTGTGCCCTGTCTGTGCCCTGTCCCGTGCCCTGTCCGTGTCCTGTCTGTGCCCTGTCCGTGCCCTGTCCGTGTCCTGTCTGTGCCCTGTCCGTGTCCTGTCTGTGCCCTGTCCGTGTCCTGTCCGTGCCCTGTCCGTGCCCTGTCTGTGTCCTGTCTGTGTCCCGTCTGTGCCCTGTCCGTGTCCTGTCTGTGCCCTGTCCGTGTCCTGTCCGTGCCCTGTCCGTGTCCTGTCCGTGTCCTGTCTGTGCCCTGTCCGTGTCCTGTCCGTGCCCTGTCCGTGCCCTGTCCGTGCCCTGTCTGTGTCCCGTCTGTGCCCCGTCTGTGCCCTGTCTGTGCCCTGTCTGTGTCCTGTTATCCCAAAAAAAAACTCTGAATGTGTGTGTTTACAGGAAAATGGTCCCTGGGACAGAGAGTCCATCATCGTCCAAGATTCCAAGAGCTTCATGGAGAGCAAAGAAGTCCTTGCAGGTGACTTCTGTTCACACAGACTTCAGTTATTCTCACACACAAACATTACGCAAAGCTGATATTGTGTGCTTTAAAGTGCGTTGTGTACATGTGAGATTCGATCTAAATGTATCTATTTCGACCACCAGATGTGTTTTTCCATTAATTCTTATATTTTCTTCATCCCTTTCAAATGTTTGCCATATACTTTCAACTCAGGGATTGAAAGTACATATGGCAGAAGAAGATCCTCCTATATACCTTTTAAAATGAGAAACTTTTATTCGTTCCTCTGTTGGGTAAATTTAGATGTCATAGATGCGCACATTGCATTATTTAACCCTTGTAAAATTAACCCGCCACAGTGATTATAAAAATAAATACAAAATTATGCTGAATTTTGACCAGCCCTTTTTAAAGCCTAATTTTGGGTGAATAGGTTCTACTCTTAATCCCTGTGACGGATCACTTCAACCCAAGGGTAGCAAAATGGTTAAGATAATAGATGATAGAATTGTATCTCTCTGATGCTGCTGCTCCAGCAGACTGCTCCATACAAGTCATAGGTCTTCAGGAGTGGCCCTTGCACTGACACTGAGCCTCCTCATGAAGAGGGCGTCTTAACAGTCCTCTCTGTGTCACAGACGTTAACGGGTGTAGGCAGGAACCGCCTCAAAAAGTTACTCCCAGAACTCGACTGTCAAGATTATCAAGAGCCAAAATGAACCCAAATGAAGCATCCTGTTAGTTGTGTATTAATATTGTGTCGTCGGCCTGTCTTCAGTGGTGATCGGTGGAGGAGTGGGAGGTCTGGTGCTTGCCGTGATGCTGGCTGGATTCCTCATATCCAAATGGCAGAAGAAGGACTCTCCAGCCTACAGTCCGGCCCTGCCGACCGAGCCGCAGTACCACAGAAACGAGAGGGGGGCTCTCCGGGGGGAGGAGGTGGTGCTCGTATGACTCCCATACTCTCCCCCCGTACAGCCACAACGACCTGCTCCACTGCTGTACATTAAGTAGAGGACCAAATGCCAGACTTTGCCATAATTTATATTGAAGAAGAGTTTAAAAACTGGACAAATGCATTCAGTGTCTGTTTAATGTCTCTAAAAAAAAAAAGTTTAATTGAAGGAGACTTTTGTCATAAATTGATCTTCCAATTTATGATTGACTTTATCGTTGTAGCCGTGCTTTTGCCTGAACACATTTGCCACTTATCAAATTTGCTGCTCAGGGTAGAGATCCAGCCTCACTCATGTTTGAAAATAAATCTATGCTGTTATTGTGGTTCAGGGTTCTCAGGTAAGCACTGTTTTAAGGTCTAATGTTTCTCACCAGATGCTGAAGCACATGTGTGTACAATCTTATCTTAAAACTTGTTAAACTAAATCTGTTCCAATCACAAATGCATATTTCAAGGAACGTTGATTGAAATGCCAATGATATTTTGCCTTTTAAGACAAGACTCTAGTATGATGCTTGTATCATTCTTTTTATTGTTACCATTAAATTATTTACAATGATATATCACTGTAATAAGCATTTGTGTTGTAAAATTATTTCATAATTATTAAATTATATATTTTCATTATTTTTTGTGATTATACTTTATTAACTGTCTGAATTTTCTAGTGATGAAAAGAGCATCAAGTCACTGCCAATGAAAGAGTGGACTTGAGATGGGAATGGGAAAATTATACAATGTCACATGTTAGGCCACTTATTAGGCTTTATGAAAAGTGCTTCAATGGGTAAAACACATCGCGTCCCGTTATTATAGATCCATGATAGCATCTTACCAAGATTGCGTTTTTAGGGGGTAGCGCATCTGTACTAATCTTTGATGAGTCAAAATTCACACTCACTTCACTTAAACTATTAAACATCACTGCTGCCCAGTTACACCCAGACTGCTGCTGACCCACACCAGACACAGACTACCAGGCTTTTCTGAGGAACAAAAGTGAGCTTTTCCACTTTCCCTGGTCACCTTGGTCCCTATGGGTGTGGCCCACGTTACTCGCACACAGACAGTATAAGGAACCAGAAAATGAAAAATGTCTGAAGCCATTGAGAGTGACTGCATTGATAAACAAAAGTGCTACAAAGGATGTGTTTTAAATCAAAGAAAGCCACCTGCAGCCACAGGGAATGACACAGGACTTAGAGGAGAGAGGAGGTCCGGTCCAAGAGCCAGACCCCCACTGCCACAGTGGACCACCACTCCAAGTGCAGAGGGCTCCTCCAGAGGAAACACTGGGGATAATAAAACAATAAAAAGTAAAACAAAATTGAAATGTGAGACTAAAAGGAAATTAATCATATTAAATACAAATACAATGTGTGTAATGGATAGATTATATAAAATACAATAATAAATAGAAACAAATAATTAAAAACTAAAAAGGTGTGTCTTGAGCCTGCTTTAAAAAAAATGGCTTCAACCATTGCGATTGGCCATTGCTCGTTATTAAAATGTATCCAATTATTTTGTAACTAAATACATAAGCAAATATATGTTAAGGGAACCAAAAGGCTGACACATGTGCAGACCATAGATGCAGTCAAACAGTCCTCCACTGTCTCCGCCTTCACCCTGTTTCTGCGTGAATCCGCTGTTCGTGCGGCTCCAGTCCGCTCCGTGAAGCTCAGAGGTCTGCTCGCCCTGATCCACTGCTTCTCTCTGGTTCCTTCTGGTTCCCTCTGGGCCTGTGTTCTCCATGTTCCTCCCGTCAGACGCACAGGACATGCATCATCTTAAACCGTTCCGGAACAGAGGCTTCACCAGCCGCTGCTGCGGCTGTTGTCATGTCCGCACGGGCACCATCATCCTGGGGACGTGGTACATGGTAAGGACACAGAGTAGCCACATTAGCAGCTAAGATAAGCTAATGTGGCTACTAGCTTAGCTTAGCGGCTAATGTTGCTAAAAACACAGCTGGCTGACGCCTGAGCTTGGGCTTAGTGTCACAAGTGCCTTTTGGTTCAGATATATTGTGTTTTTGTACCGAGGCTGATTTAGATGGTTAACTGTGTTCTGTGTTCATTATAGTTTGTAAATATCTAACATTCACGGTATCCTTAACAGCTAACCTAGCTGTTAGCTGTTAGCGAGAGACTGTTTTCGCTCAGTTCTCTGCTGATCAGTTTCTTTTCTGTTTTGCGACACAGAGAGTATTTATATCACCGTCCAGATCCATTGTGATGTATAATCCTGCTGAAGAACCTATGTTTGATCCATGCTACGAACTAAGAGCTGGACTATACTTGTTCATATGTTTCTTTTCATTAGAAGACTATTGTTTGTACTTATCAAACACTATGCTCTACCAATCTAATTCTGGATTGGATTGGTAGAGGATCCGCTTAGCTATGGATCCTGTACTTGCATGTGAGTCCTTAATAAAGTCTAAATAAAAAATAATTCGAATAGAAATGGACCATTCCCCTCTTTTACATCAACAACTCCGAGCCTGACCAAAATGACAGATTTGGAGAGCAGATTATGCAGAGATAATCTTATGATATGCTTGAATGCAAAGTGTCTGTCCATATTGGAATTCATGAACACTTTTTTATTAGAGAGAACTTTCTCTTCTCAATGAGGACTTGATCCAGCGCACGCTCTGGTCTTTAGCACTGATGCCACTGTGTAAATTCATACTTCAACGGATTATTGTGGCTATCTACATTTATTATTTGTTTATTTGGATTGGACAGTGCATTCATGAACAGTGCTGCAAATGCACCATATCGTAGCCATATACTAAACTGGCTTTTAACCATAATCACTTTTACAATCTGCAGAGTGCCAAATTAAATCAATAAACTAGTACTATGGGAAAGAATAAAATCAAAGAGAACTCTAAATCTAAGCATTTTTTGTTTTAATTTGTTTTTTATTGCACACTGCTTCATCTACTTCTCTGCTCAGTGAGATACATTGTCAGATTGCTTTAGAATCATGACTAGATGCTGGGAACTGATACTGTAATGTAAATGTAGGTTTCCACAGAAGTATGCAAGCACCGCAATCACATGGAACATTTCAAAAGGTGTCACCAGTGTTTCCCCTTCTATTACAAGGCAGCTCTAGAGTTGTTCAATTGCAAAACGTATTCCATTCTGTTTAAACCAATGGGGGCGGGTCCCGGCTCAAAAGTGGCCAAAATGACGTGCGCTGACATGCTGCAATACCACCCGGGGCCGATGGGGGTGGACCCGGAATAAGAATTAGCCAATGCTAACATATAGCATTGGCAGACCTCTCGAACGTCTTTATAGGATGGTCCAAAAGTTGGCTCTTGGCCCAAAACTCCCTTCCACATGTGTGTCAATGCTGAGGAGAGTGAATTTTTTTGGACCACTCTAGTTTACTTGCTGTGAATTGTTGAAGTCTCTCGTTCAAATTAATAGAGCTTGCGCCAGCTGACGCATGCGCGGATGCGTTTTTTCACAATTTTCTTGTGGGCGGGACCACTCGCGGCCATTTTGGATAGCTCCAGTAGAGTAAATTTTTTGGCCCATTAGGTAGAACGGCGGAGAGAGGCGTGACTCTGTCCGTTAATATATACAGTCTAAGGTTTTTTCACAATTTTCTTGTGGGCGGGACCACTCATGGCCATTTTGGATAGCTCCAGTAGAGCACATTTTTTTGTCTATGGTTAAACCAAATTCAAGCTTTTCAAAGAAAAATATTTTTGCAGAAAATGTTATCCCTTAAAAAAACCATTGAAATGTAATGACAAAGTATATTCATCCATTTTTGTTCCCACTTTGGGCTTGTTGCACCACTGCCCAAGGTGCAATTTTCAACATTGTAAAAGTTGCTTGTAAAGCTGCTCTTGTCTCTGTATCATGGGTGTGCCTGCTGAGCTGTGTGTGTGGTTTCTGTTTCAGGTGGTGAACCTGTTGATGGACATCCTGCTGACGGTAGCAGTGAGCCACCCTGGACATGTGCCCACCATCGACCTGCAGTATGAGGTCATTGACCACTACTTTGCCTCCGACCGCATGTCAGGTGAGAAGGTCTTCATAATGTTAGCCCTTTATAAACATGCTTTATGGATCTGCTGCTCCTCAGGAGGCCAAGTATTTCCTTTGGTGGTACTGGGTAAACTCCTCTCTGGTTTATGAGTTTGTGCTCTGTGTGTCCTCAGAAAACGCTTGCGTGGGCTTTGCAATCTCCCTGCTCATGCTCACCATCAGTGCCATGCTGGTGTACGGAGCCATCACTGTAAGTCTCACTTCAACAAAACACCCATAACTGAGGGCAGAGGAAAAGTGAACACAACGTTATAGTCTCTTTTCTTCCTCGAGCTGTATGATGATTGACAGCAGTATTGGGTTTGTGTTTAAGTGCACAATTTTCATGCTGTTTGTCTTCACCTTACAGGACTCAGCACTCTTATCTGAGTGGAGCGGAAAAACGCAAAAAATGGGAACTAAGTAGTTTCCTGTCGAATGTTTTATCCTATATACATACGTTATATATGATAACGTATGTTGAGCGATGGCAATTCAACATCAAGGAAATAATATTAATAATATTTAAATAATTAAATTAAACATTAAGGATAATGACTTCTGTGCCGTCAACAAACTGACAACGTCTTTCCCCAATCTGTGATGGGTCTCCAAATCCATGCAAACATTTCGGCCAGAGTTTCCCTGCTGTAGTGCCGGTCACCATTATTTCAGCACACACAGCAGCATGGGTATTCCCTGGAAAGCAGATTAGCCCAACTGAAGGATCACTATATTACATTTGAATTAACAGTAAAGTAGCTGGATAAAATTAAAAGTATGGAGTCTAATAAATACTATTTAAGAGTAGCTATCGGTCAGCTTTGTTAAAAAAAGCCACTTTTTTGACTTTATTATTGGTGACCTGGAGCCTCATCACTTAACAGCCCCAGCTCCAGAGAGCTGATATGATTGAACTAAAGTGTTCATAGATCTTATATTAGTGAAATCCTTAGTGTTACCTCCAGTCTTAGACATGCTTTGTACATTCCTATCCCTGTCCGAGTCTCCTGTCGAGCCTGGTGGTATCTGATGTGTTTGTGTGTGTGTCTGTCTCTGCAGCACCGTGCCGGATGGCTCATCCCATTCTTCTGTTACCAGCTCTTTGACTTTGCCCTGAGCTGTCTGGTGGCCATCAGCTCCCTTACCTACCTGCCCCGTATCAAGGACTACCTGGACCAGCTGGTTAGACTTCTTAATAATAATAATAATAATAATATTACAATATTACAGTTATTCCTGTATACATGGTCATGGGGGTGCGGTGCTAATAAGCGTTTTGCTTCAGCCCACTCCTTTTGTGCAGTATTAATACTGTTCAAATAAATAAATAAATCAATCGAGATATTCCTCTCAAAACTGTGACACGGCATCTATACACCCTATGTTTTATTTTATTTTTATTTTCAATAGTGCATTTTTACTGACCAAAGCGCTTCATAATGTTCAAAGATACAGATATTGTTTCATTCTCTCCACACGGTGATAACACAAGTTCAAACTCCACTCAGAAAGGCCCTGTTCTGAGCGGGATTCAAACCCAGGACCTTCTTGCTTCCTATCCACTCAGCCACCATGTCGCCCATGTGTGTATAGATGACCAAATATTCTGGTCAGAAGAGGGGTAATGGCAATGGCAATATTCGGGTTTTTAATATTCATAGTTTGAGCATATTCAGGTCAAGTCCAGGCGCCGGTTCTGAATATGTTGTTATTGGCTGCGTCTAAACCTGGTCATAGATCATTTTTGTGGTTTGAAAGTTGGGTACCCCAGTGTTGATAATGGTTATTGCCCCTTCCCAAACTTGGATTGGTGTAACTGTGGCTTTTAGAATCTCTTTTCTTTCTGTGTGGTGTTGCAGCCTGACTTCCCCTACAAGGACAACCTGCTGTCTATGGACTCCAGCTGTCTGCTCCTGTTTGTGCTGGTCTTCTTCGCCTTCCTCATCCTTCTCAAGGTACTGCAGTGCTTTAAACAGGCTGGTCACTATCGCCTGCTATTTAGTGAAAAACTTTGACGCCTATAGATCGGTATCTACAATATTTAATCCTTAACTGAGAGTTTACAGGGCAAGAGAAACCTGTACCATGGTTTTCATGTTGCTGTATGTCCAAATCATTACAATTATTACATACTAGTGAATGGTTAGGTCAGGGGTGTGTGAGGGGTTGTATGTGGTTTGAATGTGATTTTTTATTTTTAATTTTAGTTTTGTAGCTGTGAGGCTTCGAATTTTTTTTTAAAAGCACAATTTATGATAAGATAAGATAGGCTATATTTTGGTCTTTCTCTTACTTTGCTGTTCAGTTAATAATATCCATCACATTTATCCTGTGTGTACGCAGGCCTACCTGATTAACTGTGTGTGGAACTGCTACAAATACATTAACAACAGGAACATGCCGGAGATCGCTGTGTTCCCGGCCTTCGACACCCCTCCCCAGGTACTCCTCCACACCACACTGGACACACACTATTTCAACATGTGGGCTATTGTGAAAAGTGAAGGGGATAATCCGATAAGGCAATCCATTGTGCGTCAATCACCAATGAGACGTTCATTGGTGATTGACATGTGTTCAATATCACTCGAGCACAAATCATCAAATGTAGTGATCCGACTATGATCCTGACCATAACGCTGTCTTTATTTTCTCCCAGTACATTCTGCCAACTTACGAGATGGCGGTGAAGATGCCCGAGAAGGAGCCCCCCCCTCCGTATATGCCCGCCTAGGTGTCTCGTCCATTTCACACAGCAGCATTCCCAGCACACACCTGAGCCCTGTGCCCCCCCACACACTCATCTGTCCACTTGTCCCGACAGAAGAGGCGAAGGAAAGAGAGGGAAGGGGTCCGTGCACTCTCATGTACACCTTAGACGACTACCGAAGGCTTGCCAGGTGCACTCGTCTCTATTATTTATATGAAAGAATTGATTTTGACAAAAGTATATTATTTTTAAAGGTGCACCGTGTAATTTTCAACAGCTGGGTAGAATTGTCTCTTCTCCATGTTATTGTTATGGTTAAGTGTTGAGGTGACACTGCACTTTCGGGTCCAGGTGAAAGACGGCAGTGCGAATGCCAGGTTTTTATGATATTTGGACTCCAGAGGCCCAAGTGACGAATGGGTCAAATGCACCTTTCCCTTTTTATCACACCTGTAATGGTACCCTCAACTAAAAAGTCATTATCATATTGTTATTCTTCAAAAGGTCTTTAGTCACAACTAGGAAGTACAATTGTATTTAGAAAAAAAAAAATACAGTCAATGTTTGATAAAAATAGTGAAATCATTAGCAACATTTGAACCTGTCATAAGCACTTTTATAACAAGTTAGCAACGCAAAACAAAACAACGGTTAGCTTAGTGTTAGCTCAAATCAGGCCACTTTGTTGCCACTTCACTCGTCTCATCCTGTTTATACAAACATTTGATTTAAATAATTGGGGAAAAAACAAAGTGAAAGTTGAGCTGCTCATTAAGAAATGATGTTACTCCTAAAAGCACTGCACTTAAATACTTTAACAACAAGATTTTAATGAACAAAGGATTGACTTTAAAACAGGACTTTAGTGGGTCTAGAGCCGGGCTAAACCAGGCATTGAAGAATTAAGAAAGGTCCTGGGTTCCAATCCACCTTCAAGGCAGGGTCTTTCTGTGTCGAGTTTGTATGTTGTCCCTGTGTCTGAGTAGGTTTCCTCCGGGTGCTCCGGTTTTCCCTACCACTAAAAACATGTATAATATTGAGTGTGTATTTCTGAGTGTGACTGTGGAACGACAGATGGAAATTATCCCAAGGAACAATCTCGAGTATTTACAGCACTGCTGTTCATTAATACACACTTCGGCGGCACGGTGGCTGAGTGGATAGCACTCTCGCCTCTCAGCAAGAAGGTCCTGGGTTCGAATCCCGGTTGGACCAGGGCCTTTCTGAGTGGAGTTTGCATGTTCTCCCCGTGTCTGCGTAGGTTTCCTCCGGGTGCTCCGGTTTCCCCTACCACTAAAAATATGTACAATAGGTCTGGCATGTGCCTCCTGTTCTGGCGACCCCACTCCCAAAAATAACAATTGTAAACCGCTTTGAGACTCCGATGTGCAGTGAAAAGGCGGTCTATAAATAAATAAAGATTACTTACTTCCCCAAACAAATAAACAAATGCATAAATAAGACAATAAAAAGCATGGCCTAAATAAGAGCCGTAAATTAATAGCTTTAGTGTTTTACAAATCAATTTATTGCAACAGAGAATGCTCAAAAAATAAAGCAAACAGTTCCTAAAGCTTTATAGACGGGATCATTTAGTCAAAATGATTTATTAAATAACAATGTGAGAACTTAATGAAAGGGTTCTTAATATAAATTTAAATCCCATGGAAATTATGCTCAGAATCAAAGTGGAATTCTGTTGACACTCGTGTGGAAACTCCTCCAGATGAGTTTGGATGAGGCGCAGTAATGTGTTGACCTCTACTTTCCTGTTTACACTCACTATAAACTGGACGGATGTTTGTCCCAGACCTGAACCAGCATCAGTCAGCTCCAGGACAGTCTGCGGTGCCACGTGCCTCAGGTCACTGTGTCAGCAGGCCCTGTGCGATGAAGGCAGTGATGTTAAGGACTGAACCAGACCTTCAACCAGAGCATGTTATGTGTATCAAATCTTTGCAAAGTGGAAAGCTTTTTTATTATAGTTATTTGATAAGAAGTCTTAGATCTTATCAGTCTCAATCTCTCACCGTAGTCACACCAGGTTTTATGTTGTGTGTCTGAGGAGTAAGGTCATTTTGTGGCACTTTCACTTCCAAACTATAATGTATCATTCAGCTTTAGAGATCTGTTGATAAATTCAAAGCATGTTCTGGCTTTGCAAAAGTGGGCTAAATCAAATTGATGTCACATGACACAGACGATCTTGTCTCATAACATTGGCTTTAGACCAGGGCTAGGACTGAGGGATTTTGGTCAAATATCACATTTTCTGATACACCTTATTAGATAAAATTTGTGATGTATGTTCAATAGTAGTAATAATAACAGAATACAGAATGAGTTTGATATATTGCGACAATAACATTGACACTATTTGCTAGTGGCAGCGTCAACAAAAGACAATAATTTCAGTTGATGCCACTAATAAAATAATTAAATAAAACAGAATAAAACCATATATATCCAGAGAACATATGCATAAATATTGGCCCTCAAATTTAATTTAGTTCTTGCCCTCTCCTACCAAGGTAATATTTAGAAGTGTAGTGGAAGTGAGGATGAGGGTCACTTTTTTAATGTAGCGATTCTTTCCGTAATGTTAAAATGCCTCCAGAACCGCAAGACTCTGAAGATGCACTTCCAAACGGTGTGCCAAATATGTTGTCAAAATATTAGCTAATTCCTCAGTTTTCAATTCTAATATTGCTTATGATAACTCATCAGATTTACTACTGCTTAATAAACTAAGCAGGGCATAAGAAATCTATGTAAAAATGTAAAGAAGCTGGTACGGCTTAATTACCTGACATGCTTTCTTAGTATACTGCCGAAAAATGTCAGGTAATTAAGCAGTACTACAGTATTTACCTATTTTGTCTTATGTATTAAAAGTACCTTCTAATCCTGAGCAGGATATCGACCTCTACCACAGATCTAAAAAGCTTCTTGGCTAACTGCTTTTCTCTTTTTCTATTTGTGCAATTACATTTTCACTATCTCGCTGCCCTATTTCAGTCTGAACGTGGACAAATTGCACGTCAGTTCAAAACCTTAAAGTCAAATAGGATGTGAAATTAAGGCACTCCTCTTTCCGGATGCAGTCGCTTTGTTTGCCTTTGTCACAGAGCCTTTCCCGCCTTGGATCGCTAACTCCTCTCTCATTTGGCCTTTTGTTTACCGTAGCATAGACCGTATATTAGGAGTGGACTGACCGAGTGCTGACGTCACCCATAGTGTTTGCAGAATACAGAATACGCTGATTTGAACATAAGAAATCCTTTTTTAATATGGGATTTTGTCCTGATGGTGTTGGCTCTGCGCTGTAACAGGGGCAGACGTGTTGCTAATATGGTTGCTAAGGCGAGCTGACGTCTGAAGGCATCTGATTGTAAATCCAGATATGAGCCATACAAGGATGGACCAAAGACAAAATCAATATATAAATGCCAAGATCATAGAGAGCGCTGATAAAAAGGTTTCAAAGGCCAAAATGGTGAGTCAAACGGTTACTGAGGGAGATTTTACTTTTCCATTGGAGCCAGAGCAAGTTGGAGAAAAATGTCATCCATGAGCACTTCCCTATCGGGCTTCATTGAGCTAGGGGCTTAGTGTTGTCTATATACATACATCTATATACAGTCTTTGAGTAGTAGTATAGCTAGTTGATACCGGAGCCCCCACTTTCAGACCTCAGCGGTGACTCCACACCCGAGAGAAACCGCTGCATGCTCCCAGCCATCGCTTTGACTTGTACCTTTTATGTTTGTGGAAATACATTTGAAATCAATAAAAGTTTAAGACCCATTAATGTTGTCTTTTATTATGTGTGGTTTTTGATTAATAATGTCAAAGTCAAATGTGAGCGGCCATACCTGCATGTGAAATCCAGATCATGTCTGACCTCTGAAGCTAAGCAGAGCAGGACCTAGTAAGTAATGTGATGGGAGACCTCTGGGAACACCAGGTGCCACAGTGGGGCGGCTGTAAAGTGACCTTAGACAACAACAACTTATTCTTGCATAGCCCTAAATCACGACAGAAGTAATCTCAGAGGACTTAACAGAACCATTGAAATCACCAACACAGATCAGAGAATCAACAGTTAAGACGCAAAATATAAACATATGTATTGGTCCATAGGGAGGGACCAATGTCCATGAATGTTGATAAATGTCATACATGTTGTAGGATGTTAAAGTGTCCTGGAACATCACCACAGTCACTCAACACTAGTTGGACACTAACTGTCCATCAGACCCTCCTGCATCGGCAAGGAAAAACTCACAAAAACCCAGTGAGAAACCTCGGGGAGACCCACATTTGAGAAAGGGATCCGCTAGACACATAGGCAAGACACTTCACCCACATTAGAAAGAGTCTGATGTGTGTGTGAGTGGTTGATGGTGGTCAGAGGGGCTGATGGCACAGACTGGTTGCCTCGCTTCTGTCAATGTGCCCCAGGGCAGCTGTGGCTACAGCATTAATTTATCACCACTGTGTATGGAGTGAAATAATAATGACGTTAAGTGTCTAAAAAGCACTATATAAAACCAATGCATTATTAAAGCAGAGGACAATATTTAAGACTTATAAGGTCTTTTTGATAAGACGAGTAAAGAAGCTAGTATTCCTTAATGTTTTGGGGGTATATATCCCCTTTCATCAGAGGTGACCTGTGTCTTATCAGCTGTTGTTACTGTCAGACTGACCACGCTCCACTGTGGTCTCTGGAGAAGTGAGGGCCAAGGTGAAGGCCCCCTAATCGCTGTTGATGGTCGGGGCACACCGCTTCCTGATTTCAATCCCCTCTCGTATCCATCTGCCTTATGCCTCATGCACCAATCATTCGTGCACACACCAGATACATTCTAAATGTGGCTGAAGTGTGTTCACCCAGAGGTCTCCCATCACAGTAATACTCAGGCCTTGCTCTGATTAGTTTCATAAGACATAGTGCATTTTTAACATTTAGCAGTAATGTTTATGTGTTTTAAACTTGTAAGGGTATATGATTTTATTATTATGAAAAATAAATAGACAATCTGTTCATCGTATGATATGAAATGCAATCATTTCTTTCTGTCCCATTACTGAAGAAAGACCATTTGAAATATTCAAGTTATTTCCCTGCATAACCAGAAGAGGGCAGCAACACCACTGCACTGAATACTTTTTATCTACTTCAGTTGTAGTAGTTTAATTAAGTAGAGACAGGTCATTATCTAATGATACATCCAACCTTTGTACGGCCCAAAATTACAACAGCAGTCTGTCTTTACAGGATTGAGGTCTAACAGTTTATCAAAGCAGTCTTTGGTCAAGTAAGATCCCCCACAATTAAAAATAGATCGGTCCCATAACAGGTTAAAGCTGTGGTACCTATTTTTGTCCCATAAATAATCCATGTTTTTGTTCCAACAGAAAGAGTCTTGTAAAAAAAAAAAAAATGCTGTGAAAAAGGGTGGTCCTCTTAAGATAAAAGCTGATCTAGAGATATGACAGAGGCTAAAACTGCATGAATGTGAAAACTACTGATAGAACCCACTGTTGCGAGAGGGGAACTTTGTTAGATGGATTTTTTTTTTGTGAATGTTAAAGGTCCCATATTAATCTTTTTGACATTTATGCTTTATGGATCTCTTACTCTTCAGAAGAAAAATGACAGAGGCTTAGGTGGTAGCCGGTTGTTTCAGTTGTCTCAGAGTTCTTTTCAGACAGAATGAAGACAGGGCAAGCATTTTATATGACAATATGCTTCAGAGCTAAGACGCCAACCCACAGATGTTAGCGAGTCCAACGGCGGACTAGGTCACGGCTAGTCCACAAATTAATATTCTGTCTTGAATTTGTCCCATGTCCATTTTGTGAAGGCCAGTTCTCATAACTTTAAACATAATTACAGTGGCCTTCAAACTCATAAGAGAGCAGTCTTTCTCTTTTATTCTCGAGAGGCATTAAAACGACTCGATTCACTTTGTGACGTGGCGACACTTTGTGACGTGGCGACACTTTGTGACGTGGCGACACTTAGTGATGCAGATTGAGCTGCAGAATCTCGCCACCAGGAGCTGATTGACAGGGGGAGAAATCAAAACGGCGACTCAGAGTGCTCAGCCTCTCCCAGTGTTCCGTGTCTACCACATCAAGCTCTGCGGTTTTTCTGCTATTGTTAGCAACTAAAAGTGATGTAACTTAATGCCTTTCTTAGGGTAGAAACTAAGTAATGCAACTAATTACAATAGTTTTTTTTTTTTTTTTTTTTTATAAATGACTAGTAATTTGTAACTAGACAATATTCAAAGTAACTTACCCTTTCAAAGTAATGTAACACTGGTTACATTCAGATAGTGACCATTTTGAGTTATGAAACACTTTTTGTTTCTTGTAAACTACTTTTATTTGTGTACTTGGTTACATTCCACCACTATACATGAATTGTTTGTCTTTGGCTGCGCTCTCCTCTGATTGGCCAGAGGATGCCATGAAGGTCCACCCTGAGCCTCATATATGAAGTCTCTAGACCTGCAGATCTGAGACCAGACCTGAGACCAGACCCAGGAACACACTGCAAAAACCATTCTCCAGGCAAGTTGAAACGACCTTGCATTTCAGAAATATTATCTTTTACTCAAGCCAATTGGACTTGGGAAAATACTTTTCATACACCAAGTAATCTAGTTTTTTCTTGCTGAAGGACCAGGGATGCTCCAGGACAGTCATCCTTGTTTATCCTACAAACAGTCTGTGACTGTCTTTGAAAATGACTTGTTCCGTTATCTATGCCCTAGGAGTGTTTGTCTGTTAGTGCATCATAACAAGTTATGGGAGGATTTGGACAAAACATTCAGAAAGATTTGTAATGGCCAGTGAACTACTGATTACAGTTTGGAGGTGATCTGGATCACCATGCACCCTGCAGCCTTTTGTTTAAGGAATGGAAATGCTTTCCTAGTTTTCTAACCTGTTTTGGTAGTCCTTTGAGATGACTGCTGTACAAAAATACATTTAATTAAGTGAAAGAAATCTTTCATTCCACTTGACTTGAAGGATCTAGTCTAATCTACAAAAAGGTTCACAGTTAGTTCCTAATACAAGTCATTTGAATGCACTTAGATATTGTTCCAGTGCCAGAGCAGGAAAGACCTTGGACCATGGCGCGTGTCCTTGTGGGGCTGCTGTACTTCTGCTCCCTGTTGATCTGCGACGCCTGGGCCACTTACACCCTGATGGACACAGTGGAGACGCACAACATAGCCACGCAAAGCTACGCACAGAGCCGCAACAACGGACGCCCCCCACACCGGACCCTCAACCCGGCCAGTGAGTGATATTGGACCCCTTTAACTCCCCTCTAACCCCCATAACTAGCCCTGTCCCCCAGAGCAGTCTAAGCTTGGTCAAGTGCAGTTGTTTGTGTTGTTTAGCTTTAGTGCAACCTGCAGTGTGTAGTTTGGAGTGTGACAAGACATGCAATAACTTTGGCTAAAATCAGCAGGTCAGTGCTATTAGTATTAGTTAAAAAAACAAACACATGAATAAAGTGAAATAATGTCATAAAACAAACAGATGTATTGATGAGTATATTGAGCTACACTCCCATCTCGTGGTTTAGATCTAAATATAACGTGGCATGATCTAATTGACCCTTGTGCTGTCCTTGGGTCAAATTGACCTGCCATAGTGATTCAAAAATACCTTAAATTATTATTTTTGGAGCAAAATGTTGATGTCTTTTCCTAATTTTACCGGCCCTGGCTGATTTAGACCCTAGCTTGTTATCAACCCAAAGGAGCCATAGATCAGAGCGGTCCAAAACTTCCCAAAACTAATTTAGAGGAAGCATTTTTGTCTTAAACGACACAAAACAGATGTCAATAACATCATTCTGAGGATTCATCAAAGTGTAGCATACTTGAAAACAGAGCGTTTAGAACAGAAACGACAAGGAATGTGCTGGTGCCAGAAGTAAGCTTTAAAAAAATCCTAGATGATGAAGTTTGCTGTGGGTAAACACGTACCTTATCTCTACAGTAAAGAGACATGTCCTGATTTGTATCATTGTCTGAATATTGCCATATTTTTACTTAAGGTCCATTATTTGTACCAACATGATTATTTTCTCAATATTGAAAGTAAGAAATTGTCAGATGCTTTGATACCCCTTTTTCCAAGTCAAAAGTTTGCATACATAAAGATGATGCAGTTGCCTGTAAGTACGGAGGACACTATTAAATAATACATTCACTTGGAAGTAAATATTAATTTCATTATTAAATCCAGCAATATTCACATGATTAAATGCAGATATACATCATTTTAAAACATAATTAAATAATTACAAGATCAAAACTGAATCAAACTGTGAGAATGCTGCTATTTCCCGTTCACACTGGCACACACACGCACACACACACACACACACACACACACACACACGTACAATAAAGTACATCGTCTACACATTATAACAGCCCGGGACCTGTCTGTCTCATAAGAAAAATATCTATAATGAAACAAATGTGAAAGTGCAAAATGAACACAGTGACAGCACTCTTCAGATCCAAACAAACATCTCCAATCAGCTTTCAAGCACTCTTCAGCGCACCTGTCCTTTCCCATTGCATTATGGGAAATGTAGTGCGCTTCACACATGGTTTAGAATCCATTTGAACCATGGATGTACCTTGTTATCTCTTATGTCTCCCCTCAACATTCTTTTTACACAGTGTAAACTTCTTGTTTCAACTGTATTTTGTGACGACACATGTCTTGGTTAAACGCTTGTTGTCTTTCATAACCACTGATAGTTTGAAGCTGCCAGGTGCTCAAACTCTGCTGTTGCTAACTCCATGTCCATATTTAAGACTTTGTGTGTCCTTATAAAGCAACACAGTATCATATGGAATGGCTAACAGTTGAAAGGAGACAGAATACAGTGCGTTTGAGTGTGACGTGAGTTGGAGACGTATCTAACAGGGAAATGTGAAAAGACTCAAAGAGAAAACTGTCTTCACACTTTACAGTAGGACACTGTGAGTGTGAGTGAGAGCTCTTACAGTGGGGAAACTACATGGCACTTATTGAATAGAAAGTTGTCCCACTTAAAAAAAAGGAGAGGGGTCCTACCTTTCCATCATTGATGCACAACTGGGAGTGACAATAGGTGAAATAATTCAGGACAGTTTTCCCCTTTTATTGTTTGTTTACTAGAAATTCAAAACTTGTTCACATATCAACGGTGTATTGTTTACTACACATTCCAGAAGATATAGACAGAGTCCCTCCAGCGTGTCCTGGGTCTCCTCCTGGTGGGACGTGCCTGGAACACCTCCCCAGGGAGGGAGGAACAAAGATTGACCAGTAAATTGAGAGCTTTGCCTTTCGGCTCAGCTCCCTCTTCACCACGACTCATGAACAAGACCTCGAGATACTTGACCTCCTCCACTTGAGGAAGGACCTCTCCACTATCCATTGATCCTTTGTACAAATACATGTTTTTTATTCTGTCACTTACAGTTGTGGACCTATGATGGAAATAAAGGACCCCTTTCATGTTTTTGTTTAAGTGAGAAAATAAATTACCAGCTCCTGTTACACTCTTGGGGGCCTCATTTTTGGTGTTACCAATCTGGACACCCTTAATTATTGTTAATCAATAATATAATCTTTAAACCACAAACAAACTTGTAGAATAATCAATCACAAACTACACATTCTCCCAATGGAATGTACGGACAAATCTGTTTTTTAGGACCAAAATGGTGCTCTAGTAGCTGCTGTGGTACAGTAGCTGCTGTGGTACAGTAGCTGCTGTGGTACAGTAGCTGCTGTGGTAGCTGCTGTGGTAGCTGCTGGCTAGTCTCGAGGCTAACATCGTCCACACAGAATCTATGTAGCTGTTGTTGCTTTAAACGTTCTTACATGTTATTTCCAGCTTTTCTTTACTTTGGGCAACATTGTGAATTAGAATTTGTTCTAATGTTTTTCCAGGTAAAGTAAAGGCGACATAAATAAACACATTCTTCTGTACTGGAAAAAAATTTGATCTTGGTGAGATAAAGATACATTCTTGATTTGAGTAGCTTTAACTTGACTTTAACTTGACCAATTAGCTCAAATCAAGACATGATATTAGTGTTTGAAGTAAGCACCAAGAGAGAGACCCCAGTTCCACACCGGGTAGTTCCAGGTCTGAAAGTAAACCCGTTCTATGGAGTTTTTAGACCTGCTGCTTAATAATCACTATTTAAGAAATGATTGAACAATGGTTGAAAGCTGGACATAGCACCACTGTCTGTCCCGGGTCAGACTGTCCTGTCCCCATGTACAGTAAATGATGACAACCAGCCGAAGGTTTTCACAAATATATTACAAATATATATATTGTGTGAAGTACGTATAGTAATTTTCACAGTGTTTTTATGAAGTGTTTTAGAATCAATTAACTAGTTTTATTTACACTAAAATATTGTTGTAAAAATATTTTTAGGCAGGTTTCTGATTTATTTTTTCTGTTTTATTTTCTAAATATATTGTGCTTTTTTTTAATGTATGATGCCTTTATTATCCTACGTTCATGAGGTGAAAATATGTTTTAGAGGTGTTTTTATGGACCATGCTAACAAAACCTGTTTGTTAAATAATGAGGGCTTTTCTAAAAGTGTCTCCAGTGTAGTTGAAAGCTAGAATCAAAGTTATGCCACCAAATGTAGAGAAAATGATGTGAGGAATAAAATTCCAACTGGAGATTTGAATGAAAAAGCTTGACCAAATTAGTTTTTAATATCGAGTTTTTACGTCCTTGATATCCTACATCAAAATACTATTTCAATAACGAACTGTACTTATCCTGTACATATTCATAATCATTTGTGACAAATTGTATCCTAAAATATCGATTTTACAACGCTCAAAAGAGTCAATAACATGTCACACTACAACTTTGAATACAATCTGGGTCCTGGGAACCTTTGACCCGAAATGGCGTCCTGCGCAGAAAGATTTTGCGGATCTTGGGCCACTTTTGCCAACATGTTTGTGTGGTGCTAAAGTTCCATGCCTAGGTCTGCAGGACAACTGGGACACCCGGTCGTGTGAATTTGGTCTATTATTTTTTGCAGTATGTGGCTGTGTCCTGTTTAACCCACTAATGTTGTTCTACTGCTCTCCTCTCTGGCGCCTCCAGTGCACAGGAGGGATTTCACGTATAGAGGGGGGTATCTGTCCCACTACCAACCTCCTCCTTCTCCGCTACACCCACCTCCACATCCTGGGATCTCTGCGCCCTACCAACACCAGCCGCACCACAGGCCTGTCGCAGTGCCACCCGTTCACCACCAGTGGCCCCACTCCTTCCCATTATTCAAAGGCCCTCCTGTCCCTGTCCCCCACCTCCACTATCCCCACCACCACCAGCACCAGCAGCAGCCTCAGCAGGGGTTCACAGGGCCTCAGCTGGGGTTCACAGGGCCTCAGCAGGGGTTCACAGGGCCTCAGCTGGGGTTCAAAGGGCCTCAGCAGGGGTTCACAGGGCCTCAGCTGGGGTTCACAGGGCCTCAGCAGGGGTTCACAGGGCCTCAGCTGGGGTTCAAAGGGCCTCAGCAGGGGTTCACAGGGCCTCAGCAGGGGTTCACAGGGCCTCAGCTGGGGTTCAAAGGGCCTCAGCTGGGGTTCAAAGGGCCTCAGCAGGGGTTCAAAGGACCTCAGCAGGGGTTCAAAGGGCCTCAGCAGGGGTTCAAAGGACCATACTATCACAAAGCCAAAGGTCCATGTCCCATCGCCCTCACGCCAACTGTGGTCCAGCCACTTTCCACTGCACCCCCCACCCCAACCACCAGGCCCACAATACCCTTCACCACTTCTCTGACCACTACGACTCTCCCGCCAACAACCACTACTTCCACCACAACAACTCCCATGCCGACCACTACCACCCCCATGCCCACCACTACCACCCCCATGCCGACCACTACCACCCCCATGCCCACCACTACCACCCCCATGCCGACCACTACCACCCCCATGCCCACCACTACCACCCCCATGCCCACCACTACCACCCCCATGCCGACCACTACCACCCCCATGCCCACCACTACCACCCCCATGCCGACCACTACCACCCCCATGCCCACCACTACCACCCCCATGCCCACCACTACCACCCCCATGCCGACCACTACCACCCCCATGCCCACCACTACCACCCCCATGCCCACCACCCCAGCAGAGACCACCAGCATCACCAGCACGGCCCTCGTGACCTCCGCGCCCGTGACTCTACCGGTCAGTACCCAAAGCGGGCTCAGCACCACCAGCAGCCCAGTGGAGACAGGTAGAGCATGCATTACCAGTCAGGTTGGTTCACTCGGTTTTTTATAAAAATACATTTTTCGTCACACTTTAATTTAAATCTTTTACCATAGTATTTAAATTCGACTTAAAGTAAGTAAGTCATCTTTTTTTATATAGCGCATTTCACAGACTAAGGTCACTTCCATTCACTCCACACACGACAGAATGGTGAACGCACTGGTGCATGGAAGCTCCTGACCATCATTACTCATTCATTAAATTCATATCTATTGTACATGTTTTTAGTGCTAGGGAAAACAGGAGCACCCGGAGGAAACCCACAGTGGTAGGGTGCTCCTGTTTTCCCTACATAGAAGTACAGAGATGAGGTGGAACCATGAGAGAACAGTGTCAGGCGCTCTCTCCTGATCACTGGTGGAATGGCCTTACACTGAGGCCATGGTGCAGAGATCCCGCGCTCTGACCCACACACAAACATGTGTAAGGTTTGAGCTGTGGCGGGCTCTGGAAATACACAATATTTGTTATAAAGATAAAACAGGATAACAATCATTTAACGTGAATTATTGTTACAGTTTAGGCTGAGCTCTTGGCCTCATCTGCATGTATTTTATTAAGAACATCTATCTTCTAAGTTCAACAGTGAAAAACAAGACCTATAGTTACCATGAAATTACTTGATTTTAAATAATGAACCTTCATGGAATGGTTTGTCTTGTTTTGTCATTATTTTAGTGCCTCCTGTATTACTGACACAACTTGTGCAGATGATGGGTTTTTGCAGTACATTAACTCTGTCTGTCTCTGTGGACATGTTCTGATTGTCCATGTGTCCTTTAGTCTACTTTTAATGCCAATGAAAACACTTGCATTAAAGTAGAGACATTTTGCTTTATCCGAAGCCATTTCCAGTCTTTATCTTTTCAGTGAGAGTGAGGGTGGTCCTCTCCTCTCCTTCATGCATGTGAAAATAAGTCAAAGAACCAAACTCATTTTATGGGTTATGTTTGTTGTTTGTTGTTTGAAAGTTAAGTACAGATATTTTATTGAAACTTGAAAGATGATGTTATGTACCCACAGGCTCCATGTGTTTAGTGACTGTTCTAATAAAAGGACTAAGAGCTCTTCTCTCATTAGCCTGGGTTTGTTCCTCTGCCCTAACCCTCTCCTGACCCTCACAGAGACAGATTCGGAGTGCAGGAGCCGCCCTCTGGACCTGGTCTTCATTATCGACAGCTCGCGCAGCGTCCGCCCTGGGGAGTTCGAGAAGGTGAAGATCTTCCTGGCTGACATGGTGGACACTCTGGAGGTGGGTGCAGACGGCACTCGTGTAGCTGTGGTCAACTACGCCAGCACTGTCAAGATAGAGTTTCTGCTCAAGGACCACTTTGACAAGCTCAGTCTGAAGAAGGCCATCTCCCGCATTGAGCCGTTAGCTGCAGGGACCATGACAGGCCTGGCCATCAAGTCTGCCATGACCGAAGCCTTCACAGAGGACTCTGGAGCCAGACCCAAAATCAGGAAGATCGCCAAGGTTGCCATCATCGTGACGGATGGAAGGCCCCAAGACAACGTGGAAGAGGTGTCTGCGGCAGCTCGCGGCTCAGGGATCGAGATCTATGCTGTTGGGGTGGATCGTGCAGACATGAACTCACTCAAGCAGATGGCCAGTGTGCCGCTGGAGGAGCACGTCTTCTACGTGGAGACCTACGGAGTCATCGAGAAGCTGACCTCCAAGTTCAGAGAGACACTGTGTGGTAGGAACACTCCACCAACGTTTTGCTAATAACCAGTGTGTTCACATGACATAAGACCGTTCTCACAGACACAGATTCAAACTCTTCTGACAATACCAAGCAGCTTATTCCCATTGTCTCAAAAGTCATCCACACTTTTCAGTTATTTTCTATGGAGAATTATCCATCACAAAAATAAATCAATATTTCTCCTTCACAGGAAGAAACTTCTGTGTGTATTAAACTGAGTAAAGACCAAGTCCCAAGTCATGGACCAATAGTCCAAGTGATCTGCTTTGGATGTCCTGTCAAACTATTACCACACAATTTACTGAGTATATGATTCTTCTGAAAAAGGAAAATGTAGGAAGGATTCCAAAGTAAGTTTTAATCCTTTCTGTCTACAAAAATAGTGACCCTCTTTACTTTGAGAGTGAAATATTGTCATCAAAAAAGATCTGTAAATTATGTCTGTGATATTCCAGCTGTAACTCGTGGTTCTCTCAGTTGTACACAGTAAACAGTGAGTTACATCTGGATCTGAATGTATCATATTGTTCTAAAAATGTTCTGTGTTTCAATATTTATCTATTTTAGTGATGCTGGCTTTCTCCATTCAGAATGAATGAGACAATGGGGAACAAGAGTGGTATTGTTAAAGATACAATTATGAATTATAATTCAAGTCTAATTTGTTTGGCAAAAAAGTTTGCTCCATTTAGGAAAGAAACAACCCCCACATTTGTTCAACACTGGATGCAGGACAAGGTCTTGCCCATAGGCACAAACACAGCCATACTGTTCACAGTCCAGAATTAGTAAGTTGTTATCTGAGGTCTAAGTAGGAACATGAATACACTGAAAAAAACTGGTCAAATATAATGTTGTCAACTAAACTCAACTATAATTTGACTTGTTCCAAGTGAGAATGTCTCTTTAAGCTTTTAACAAGGAATTATCCAGAAACTTCTAAAACAATCTCATTTAAAAGGGCTTTAATTACATGGTCAAAGACGTTTCGTTAGCTTGTCTGCATCAGGTCTGCATCAGGTTTACATCTGGTCTACATCCGGTCTACATCCGGTCTACATCAGGTCTACCTCAGGTCTACATCAGGTCTACCTCAGGTCTACCTCAGGTCTACGTCAGGTCTTACATCAGGTCTTACATCAGGTCTACATCAGGTCTACATCAGGTCTACATCAGGTCTACCTCAGGTCTACATCAGGTCTACCTCAGGTCTACGTCAGGTCTTACATCAGGTCTACATCAGGTCTACCTCAGGTCTACGTCAGGTCTTACATCAGGTCTACATCCGGTCTACCTCAGGTCTACCTCAGGTCTACATCAGGTCTACCTCAGGTCTACATCAGGTCTACCTCAGGTCTACCTCAAGTCTACGTCAGGTCTTACATCAGGTCTACATCCGGTCTACCTCAGGTCTACTTCAAGTCGACTTCAGGTCTTCCTCAGGTCTACCTCAGGTCTACATGCGGTCTACCTCAGGTCTACATGCGGTCTACCTCAGGTCTACCTCAGGTCTACCTCAGGTCTACATGCGGTCTACCTCAGGTCTACCTCAGGTCTACATGCGGTCTACCTCAGGTCTACCTCAGGTCTACTGATGTGAACACACTGCGGCGCTCGGCCCGGGGCTCTGTGCGGCACATGGACGGCACATGGCGTCTGAGAAAACACTAAAGTTTGGATCTTCATTGAACCCAAACTTTTCTCATCCAGAGCTGGGAATGTGCTTAAACTGTGAGAGAAGACACGTTTGTGTGTGAAGCATCACCAGGGACTGCTTTGAGAAGCATGGGAGGCTCTGTGAGTGTCGGCACCGCAGATCTGCTCTGACGGCTTTGTCTCTGACGGCTTATTTCCACCATGGAATGGGAAATGTTCATTATGTCGTTCTTCACATCACAGATCATTATGGACCGTGAGGAATGAGGAGAGAGAATAACAGGAGTTTATGATGTTTTTGGTGGAATTTATTATAGCTTTTGGTGTTCAGGAGGATAAGGATTTTTATGGGCACATTCTGTAGTAATGAGGGAATGGGGCAAATTAGATGAAAAAGAAAAAAACCTCTTGATTCACAAGTTCAAATACACTGTTTTCCTGTGCATTAGTTGTTTTTCATGGACTCATCACAGATGAAGTGGCTCTGATACATAACTTATAGTTTTGCAAACTTTTGTCTTTATCCACTTTTAGTTACCCAGTGATTCTTTGCCTGATCACATGAAAGTTCATGTCTTAAGGCTCCTGCTGCTCCCGTTCTTTCTCCCCTCACTTTTAACATGACCCAAGTGACATGAACTCCTTCAGTTGAGAAAGAACCAAGGCACCTTCCCTCGGCCCAGAACCCTGACAGAGGATCTGGAGGTGCTGATTTTATTCCCTTTAACATCAAAGGATCCAAATTGCAGTTATACTTTCTGCGGTGCCAACATGAACAGACACCTTTGTGTGAAAGTGTTTTTGCTTCTGCATCCCCCACCATCTCCTAATCTATCACAATCTTACCTGTGGTGTCCAACAGACTATGCTCAGAGGTGATAAAGACATGCGGACTGAATACAACGGTGGTCCTTGGAGGTCCAATTTGACAAGATGGAGATATGACAGACGACCATTTGCTTTTTTGGAGGAACTAGGGCAGTGTGATCCTCTTGTCAGTAATTCTAATTCAGCGAATATAACACAGAGACACATAGGGTGAATGAAAACCACCACGCTGAGATCTGACCTCCAAGGACAACAGCGTTTGTGTTGACGGCCCTGTACCAATTTTTGTCGCAGGTAGTGGTGCATTCTTCAGAGAAAACAGTTGCGATACTAATTTTACATACACTTCCTGTATTCTGGTCTTCCTCTGAAACAGGTTAATACTCCATCTTGCTCTGATGCATCTGAGCTCAGGTCCTTGTGATGGCAACCCCAAAACAACTCTGAAACAGATGACAAAAACTGGGTACAGAATATTGAACCCTGTGACCATCCTGACATTTAGCTTACTGCAGTCACTAACACTAACTGTCACTAACAACTTGTCAAACTCAATTCATTACTCAAGCTATCGCAGCGGACACTCCTGACGACGATCAATGCTGTTGATGTTGTCTGAATTTCAGCTCAGATACATTTTGCACATTGATGTAACAAACAGAAGTTATCGCTGAGAAAAGCCATTTTTATGTTCCTGTCACACTTGTTTCTTTGACCACGCTTGAGGCAGCCGTGCTCGAGCTTGCTGCTGTATCCGCTCGCTGTAATTCTAGGTGTGGACCCCTGTGCCATGGGACACGACTGCCAGCACATTTGTGTCAACAGCAACGCCTCCTTTTACTGCAAGTGCCGCATCGGCTTTATCCTCAACACGGACAAGAAAACGTGCTCTCTCAAACGTAAGGACCGCCGCTCGGTTGGATGGCTGCGGCGACATGCAGGCTGTGTGTGACCTAACGCTGGCTAGAGCACTGCTTCACTACATCAAACATGCTCTGTCGCTTTGTAGAGAAACTGTTGGACGGTCACTGGTAATATTGGAGAAATGTAACTGCTGGGAAACTGGCTGGTGCTCAACTGCTTTCACACATGCTCTGACTGAATGTGCTTTGTTTGTGGAGCTGTAAAGCAGCAAACAAACAGAGCCGTCACTACTCACCCTCGTTAACCCGCGTCCTGGAGACTGTTGCATGTCATTCTCAAGTCCTCTTGACCGATAAGCGTGAAACCGACAAAAGCAGTCATCTGGAGACTCTTTGAGATCAAGATAGGTTCAACCTTATAGAAAAGGAACGAGCAGCAAGATTTCTGGCTCTTTAATCCGTCTGAAACCTCTTCTACATAAAAAACTCGTTTTGCAGTTTTGACTTTCTAGTTTATTTTTACCAAACATTGGGTATTTTCAATATATCACATATATAACAGATATGAAATATAAAAACAGGCAAGCAGTTTCTCACTTTGAATGTGTGTGGCTGTGCTTAGCAGCTCTATACCAGGGGAAGAGTGGGAACAGGTTAATAATGAATGGTTATGACTATTTCTAAGTACACAAAATGTATTTAAAACAAATTGGGGAACACTGTATCAGAACACTAATTGTGCATATTACATACGCCCTTTTAGGTGAAATATCATTGGATACATTGAGATATTTAATTGCTAATGAAATTGCACATCATGACTACAGGCTGTGGCCTTCAGACCTGCGCCTGCAGTGATGCCTTATCCACATGAATCCAACTCTTAAAAGCATAACTACTGTATGGTGCCTTGGCTCTACACACACGTTTAGACCTAAACAGGTGTTGCATCACTTTAACATATTGTCAAGTACAACAGAGTCTAAGTCTCCTGAGTTGTGTTCACTCCACAAACAGTTTGAGCTTTAACAAGTTTGTTCAAATCAAATCAAATCAATCCTTCGCATCCAGAGCAGTGTCACAGAAACAATACAGACAAACGACTCACTGGGAAATAGTTTGCAATGCTTCTTGGAGACTGGGAACCATTCATTGTGGCAGATACGTTTTTAATGACGGCAACTAAATCCATATTTCCTTTCCTACTTTAACCATTCTGCGTTAAAAAAAACATGTCTGTTTTGACATGTCTCTATATGTTTTATCCAGTCAAAAGACAGGCACACACTGACACATCGTACGCCTGCTTCCTGGTCCCATAGACTGTAAATACTGGCGCTCAGTGAAGCCAACTGGGAAATGTTGGTGAAGTGTGTTGCCCAAGCTTCTGAGATCAGACAAGATCAGGCTTTCACATGCAGGTGGCACATGTCAGTAGTCTCATAGTTCATTATACAGTCTGGCCGCAGCAGGAAGGGAAGACCTGCAGAACCACCCTCACAGATCAGACTCTTTATCCTCTGTTTCTATTGAACTTAACAGAAACAGAGGATACACACTTTTGAGACAATGGGAAGGGTCCATGCAAAGTGTACTAGCAAGGGACAGGTGGAGCTGCAAGGCTTGTGTATGATTGTCCTGTCTGCCCTCAGAGATGAAGGTGGAGGTGAAAGAAGACCCCTGCAAGTGTGAAGCCCGACTGGCCTTCCAGAAGCAGACCCAGGCCGCACTGCAGCAGCTCACCTCCAAGAATATCCTTTCACCTCTCACCTGAATGCATGTATATCACTGCAACTACCTCGAAAATAGTTGAGGGAATTTTACAACTGTGTAAAATTGACGTCGTGGATGTAGCCCCAACTTTAGCAGAATGTATTTTCCAACATCTAGTGACAGAAGCACATTCTATTCATCTCTTTTCCATTTAAGAAATAATGTTTAATTCTAAAACAGAAAAAGTCCCAGGTAAATACAGATGGATAACATTGGACTCAAGCTAAAATCTGCAAACTCTTTCTACTTTTTTTTTCTATCACAACGACAGTGAGTTAAAACATCTCCTGTTCTCTTGACCCTGTCGCCCAAAGACATACACAATTATAGTGCCATATTTGTGATGATGTGTGCTCTTTAACTGTGGTGTCACTCGCCGATGTGTCTCAGAGGATGGAGAGCCTGGAGAGCCTGGCTGGGAGGGGATAGAAGCGCTCTGCTCCGGGGCCAGTGTTGATGGTCTCAGCCACTGGACCAACACGACCCCTGACCTCCCGTTTGTTTACCCAGGAATGATGCACCAGAACAGGCTTCCTCTGCCGTCACTCTCTGTTCCCAGCGGACCTCCAGCATCTGTGAACGTCAATGCAAGACTGTTCAGGATTTTTTCTCTCGGATACTAATATATAAATCTGTCTTTGCATAATTAGTTTGGACATGTTTTGTACAAAGATATTATTGTATATAAGATTTTGTATTACTTAAAGCTATCATTTATTTATCAATTTTTTTGTTTAGCTGTGTTTATGGTCAATCCGGTCATAAAGCTTAGCAAGACGACTCTGGCATTTCATATTTTAGGAAATCATTTCAGGAAATATATGAATGCACTAGAACGCATCAACACTATAATGTTGAAAATAGGAAAATGTATTCTGCTAAATGTCTGTTTTAAAGCTGGGGTCACTTTGAAATGGCAAAAAAATGAAAACGGTTCCATCACTAGTTTTCACATGTATGTATTGTTTGGCCTCTGTATCTTCATATCAGCATTTTCAGGCAGAAAAGTGAAGCGAAAACCACCCTCTCTGAGCCATATTGCTCTCAGTATGTTAAAGATTCAATGTTTTCTACTAAGAATTTTGTTTACTAATGTTTTTCTTTACAAAGATTCTCTCCATGGGGACAAACTATATATATTTATTAAACCAAAGCCAGTTATTATGCCATAGTCTCTCTCATGTAAGCGCTCTGAGGGACAAACGGCTGGAGTCTCATGTTGCTCACCTGAACTGTCTCTGTGTGGATTTCTTTGTCAGATGTGAAGTGCACAGTAAATATGGAGTCTGGAGTTTGCACATTCTACATCTTTCTCAAGAGCTCATCAAACTCTAATATTCTGAGCCCTTTTACTACCTTTAGACATTAGCTGTAGACTTAGAGATAGAGAAAATGGACGAGCTACAATGACACTATGTCTCTGTTGCGTTTCTGAGATGTCTTGAGATGGGTCGGTAAATAAACATGTTGTAAACCGTCTGTGTGTGAGTGTGTTTACGAGCGCAGGTGTTTAGTTTTCCCACGGTTGTAGCCACGATGGTTCTGGGGACCACCCGGGATCCCTGAACGGGCCAGGGGAAAATGCATAATATCACCACCATTTTGAGAGAATGTACAACTTTTGCTTACCCTTAAACCCGAGGTATTAAGTCATGCAGCTGTCTCTGTTCTGCACAAACAAATGATTTCAACAGCAGGTTTCCAGCTACTGTTATGAAAGGTTTGTGTGAAGTATTAAACTATTTTACTGTGGAAATAATATGACAAAACAATAGATTCTGAGATTGTGACTTTGATATTATCAAACCAAAGTAAATTTGTGATTGATTAAAGCATTCCAAGGATTCCAACACATATACTAAGGTTATAGAGGAAGTTTTAAACTTTCAGATATTTTATAGTACAATTTATTTAAATAAAAACAATAAAATAACATTAAAAAATGTGAGAAAAGTGTGTAAAACACTGGCAAGAGCTCTGGTGTGTGTCGTCTGGTGCACACTGGGGTAGTCTTGCACAGTTTTTCCAATGTGGTTTTACTGCAAATGGCAAATAAATGAATCTGAATGCAAAACACATAATTACACAAACATGGCCAATTGAGGCATTTGGGCTCAAGAAACTTCTCATTTGTCCATTCTAAACCCTCCAACACATCTGTATATAGAAAAATGAAATAAGATGAGACAAAGAAATGTATTTCTTTAAAATAAAACAAACCCAGTGCATTCTGGGACAATGAAACGCGTGTAAAGTAGGATATGTCAGGTGAGCTCCTGTTCCAATCGACCGATAGATCGAGATAAACGTATTGAGCACCCCTGAAGTAGATGACCTGTGTATGACACTGTTATCAGTAACTTAAAAAAACAACACAACTTTGGAGCCTAATCATCCATCCATCTTCTTCCCCGTAATCCATTTCTGGGCCAAAACTTGTGAACTCACACACAACTGCATGCGTATGGACCGGCTCTACCTGGACTGGCTCTACCTGGACTGGCTCTACCTGGACTGGCTCTACCTGGACTGGCTCTACCTGCTGAGGAGGCTGAAATTCTGTACAGTGTGTAACTTACCCTGCTCTCCTGAGCAGGCAGACCTCAGGGACTTTCAGGAATTCCATAATTAATCTGAATAATTCAGTAATTAATCTGTTTTGCACAGACCCACAAAACCTATGATAAGCTTATCAAAAAAACTAAACTCCACGGCCTTGGCCCAGCTTCCTCCTCCTCCTCCTCATTACTGGTATGACATCACTTTTCACTTCAGTATTAATAATTTAACCATTTATTTCTTATTGATTGTGAAAACCATCTTTGTCTGGAAATTGATATTTGATTTAAGTCCTAAAATAAAGTCAATGTTATGTTCAAGAATTGACACCTTCAGATCTCATGAAAGAGAATTAGACTTTTAGTTAATAACTGATGAATGACTTATTTACCAGATCAATAATTGAATAACATGTGGAACACAGCAGCAGTAACATGATGTTGTGCCATAGAGAACCTGGTCTGCATGTTATCATTTGTGTTCACTGACAAAGTAAGTGAGTAAGTAATATGTATATATTTATATAGCACCTGTCACAGACCAGAGTCATAAAGGACTTTGAACCGGTTTTGAACAGGGAATGAAAAATAGATGCAGATTCTGACCAGTCATTTGTTCATCTTCCTCTGTGTCGGTGGTGACGCTCCTAAGCATGACACTGTTGTGCCCTAAAAAACATGGAAAAGTAGTGGGACGGAGGATAATATTGACCCTGTCCTCACATACACATACCAGACGGCAGTGCAGTAGTCAGGCAAATACCCCCCCTACCCCTGCCTCCCCTCTGCCCCCCCTCTGCCCATGATCTCTGACCTTGAAAAGCGGAGCCAACCATTTCTGGGATATAACATGCAAGGATTTGAGTTCTGGCACTTTGTTGTCAAAGATTTTTTCATGTTGATCTTTCCATACCTTTATGGTACAGATACAACAAATGGAGAAGGGGAAATCCCTCTCCATAGAAAGGTTGATTCATTGATTGATTTTATAATTCAACAAGAATGGTAGCTTTACAAATGTACAGTAGCCTGTTTACAACACTTACATACAGGCTACTGCACAGCTTCTTCTCCATCCCTTATTGAAAGGCAAGGCAGGAGGCAGAAAAAGCAGAAAAAATGGCAACACAGGAAATGCTCAAGACCTGAAGCACAACAAGTGGAAGTAGAACTTCAAAAATCTCAGATGGAATGAAATATTATGTCTGATTATTATTATTATTAGATGCCATCAAATGTCACCAAAAAATGCAATTTAGTTTCCACAGACCTGGCAGGCCTGATGGTCAGTGGCGGAGGGATACGGTGAATACTGTAGGTTGAGCCTGTTGTTGAGCCTGCCTTACATTACAGTGTGGACACATGTGACTGGGGCTCTGGTGTGAGGTCTGTCAGCACACACACACATTCCAGCTGCACACATCTCCAGCAGAAATACTACATTTATCTCATTCATAAAGCGCCCACTCAAAAACAGCTATTGAGTCACACACTCATGTTTTTCCACCGTGTGGGGTCACAACCTTCAGAATCCACTTTCTCTGACTGAGCCAAACTACAGTCTACAAAAAGTCTGATTCTTAGTAAATTTAGTTCTTACTTTCTTCTTAACCAGATTGTTGTAAGAAAGCGACGTTATTACCTTACATACCAATGGGAAACTTGATAATTCCTCGGAAGCGTCTCACGACGTCACATATGACGTGACTTATCAGCTGTTCTTTCCAGGTGCAGTCAACCCAGCCGATCTATGTGGTTTACTCATGGATCGGGTTTACTGGGCTGACTGCGCCCTCCAGTGGACGCTGTAGAAGGTACGCACTTCTTCATGAGAGTTGGAACGCGCCCTCGTCTCAACCATGGATCTATGATAATAAGTTATTAACAGTCCAAACTCGTAGTGTATGTGCCGCGTGTCATGATTTCTATTTCTTTGATCCAGCGCTTGTATTTACTGACGCAGTCGATTTCAAATTGTCCTCTTACTGATCTGTACGAGTCTTGTCTCTATAGTTCTTGTTCTCATGTATCCTTTCTGTGTTATTTTTTCTGGTGCCGATTCCCTCTCTCTTTCTCCAATAAATGTTTGTTTACATGATTCGAACGGCATTGCACTAGCATGTCTCAAATTCCAGTGTGGTGCTATGGCTGTGTGTGTTGTGTGTTCATGGCTCTTACATAGATTGTCTGGATTGACAAGTCTTCCAAAGCTGGGTGCAACATGTGCCCAACTGCTCTGTCTGTTGACACAAACAAATTGCTCTAGATTATAGTTATAGTGTTCTCTGATCAGTTATGTACTTAACCACGCCCATTAGACGCACTGAGCTATGATTGGCCGCTGCACCCTGGCACTTCCGTGTTTACATCTTAGCACGGATGTGCGGTACCAAAACCAAGGGGTTTCCCGCAGTCTGCAGCTCTGTAGCCCATGGAGCAGGACCAGCCCGACACAACCCTCCGAAGTGCACACTCACACTTCCACAGACATGACTTCCACCGCGCTGAACACCTCTACTCCCTCTTTATAAGCCACTGTGTTCACCACAGGTACGAGCAGCTACACAACAGGCCAGCTCTGCACCTCCTTCCAAGCACTCCCTCAGTTTAGATCAGAGGTCACCAACTTGTTCAAAGCAAAGGGCGACCTAAAGGTCACACATGGTTCGAGGACTTCTATGTGGTTGCATTGAAATAAATGTCTCATTGTGCGCACAGGTCAAAAAAGGGGATTATAAAGAGTCATTGTATTAGGCTTGGACTTCTGATCCATGCATTTGTCTCCAGTAGGTTAGAGTTAGACAACTGTAACAACCTGCTCTCTGGTCTCTCCAATATCTTCAAAAGGCTGCAGCTTGTCTAGACCAAGGAAGTATGAGCACATTAGTCCAGTTCTCAGGTTTCTGCTCTGGCTTCTTGTGGCTCAGAAAAATTCAATTAAATGTATTCTTGTACTTGATGAAGAAAAAGTGTTTATGTATATATATTTTGTTATTTGCAGGAATTGTAGCGCAAGTGATTTGGCCACAGCGTATAACAACCGCGGGCAGATCCGGTACCTGCGTGTGGACTTCACAGAGGCTGTGCAGGACTACAGCTGTGCCATCCAGGCTCATGGACACTTTGAAGTCCCCTACTACAACCGAGGACTCGTTCACTACAGGCTGGGTAAATGTTCTACATAGTTTCAAAGTGAACATCACTTCTGTTGTTTTAAATTGTGCAGAGATGGATAAGATGATACTGGATAATACTGCTGTATTGTTATATAAATACTGCAAGGCCACTCTCCTCCCTCTCCCGTTGTTTGAATAAACGTAATGTTTTTCTACCCTGTCTCCATCCTTTCCTGTGGAGTAAATGCTTTAGATTTGTTTTAGCTCCTAAATCACTGATCAAAGGGATTTTGTGGAATTCAGTAGATTTAAAGCTGTGATTTTCAAACTGTCAATAAGCTCTTAACATTCCCAAAACACATCTTTTACTCCCTTTACATAGCTTTTAAAACACTGGGAGAATAAATAAGGGTTTATAGCACTGTATATACTGTAGATAAAGCTGATGTTCATGTGTGTTGGTTTTTCAGGTTTGTATGAGGAAGCCAAGAAGGACTTTGAGCAGACTCTGAAGCTGAACCCAGAATTTGAAGAAGCCAAAGTGAGTCTGCGGCAGACGTTGTTAGACCAGCAGCACAAAGATCAAAGAGGTTACTGATGGCATCAGTCTCAAACTGCATGAGCCGGACAACAGGATACCAACAAGCTGACTACTAAAGACGTGTTTGGCGTGTACCTCCAGGGTTTCTCACCCAAACCACAAAGCAATGAATATTTGTACATCCCACAAATACATCAGTACTTTCAAGTCACTCATGTTCACAGGAATGCAGCCCCAAAGCATCTGGTCCTTGGATGTCCAGAAAAACTCATTTTCTTTCAATGACATTTGACCATGAACATCACATGCCCCAGTGGTGCTGAACACCATGGTGTATTAAACAGTATTTACCTCCTAAACTGAAATAAAGTGGCTACTTGTTTTTCATGAACTGCTTTTAGGCTGTGGGGAAAAAACAATTTTGCTCTTAGAAAATTAACAATGGCCTCTTGCTCTTTGGCTGAGCAAGAGGCAATACATGGATTGTTCAAGGACACACTTGAGCCATTTAAGTTTGACTGCACTAAAGTCTTGATTTGAGAAGGTTCTGGATGCTCATTTATCCAAATGAGACAAGTTTGCTCACTTTGACAAGGGTTTTAGTCCCACATTTACATGTTAAGTAAATGCACTCCCTAATTTACTTCAGGGTTCTTTAACTTGTGGCCAGGCTTGCACAGTGTACATTTCTAGAAAACTGGTCAGTCTGACGTTACAGGCTTTGAGTAACTGGCACAACCTAAGATGTTTTGGCCTATCACTTCAGTAACATTGACAATTGTAATTTAAAACTTTAAGGCCAACAGAAACTAGAATATATGTGATTTGTTAAATCTTAAAGTGGAGAATAGAATTCTCACAATGAAACTTTAGGCCTAGTTAACTTAAACTTTTACTTCAATCAACTGAGCTTTAAGGAAAGTTCCTCTACAGTGGTTTCTAGAGGATTCTGACAAACTGACCTTTTAAGCACCAAGTGTAACATGAGTTCACTAAGACACAAGTGTTAAAATGCAAGATCTTTATTAAGAAAAGTTTTTCAACAGGATGACACTAGATGAGACTGGTGAACCGCTCGTCCCTGAAACACAAAACACTTTGATTATCGTGCTCCAGGTTTCATTTGCTCGTTTTCCTTTGTTTAAAGATTAGAAACTTCTCCAAATTAATAATCAGTTTACTTACCCCTCCTCTGGCCTTTTGCCCTGCTGCCAGGATGAGAGCCTGACCTAGGATGAGTGCATTGACCTCTGCAAGAACCATCTTTGGTCGTGTTAGAGTCACAAACCACGGTGTCGCAATGAATTTGGATCTGGGGAAAAGCACAGCACATTTTACAGTATGCCTAGGCTTAGAATTACACTTAAGACATCCTGACACTTACCTGCTCTTGGAGGACCTGGTCGTTTCTGGTGAAGGTGAACATCTTGAAGGAGAAGCGCTTTACATGAGCGGGGATTGTCACTCTTCCATCTTTATGCACTGGGAGAAGCTCGGTCAGGTAGCGGTCTTCTGGATTCTCACAGCTGTGGGAATGAGATCATGGTTAAAAGGCATTTGCAAACTTAGCTACAAAAACTTTAATTATTTTCAATCAGCAGAATGACCTTCAGTGAATATTTAATTGTCCACATCTCATTAAGAGACCCTTTTTACACCTTATATTGATACATATTTAAGTTGGTGCACATGATTGCCCACCCCTGCTCCAGACTGGGGAGTGTCCATGGTGAGCAGGAACAGCCCCACATGGTACTTGCAATCATGCCACCAAAAGTTAAGATCATTCCATTTAAGCAACAGGCCTATGAGAGCAGCTCACGTGTCCACGATGATGTCCCAGCGGGGGAGAGCGTGGCGGTCAGCACCACTGGAGGCCCAGCAGTTTTCTAGCACCAGCTCCAGCCGGGGATCAGATGATGAGTCCAGAGACACCTCCATAAACACCGGCTCCTGCAGGACTTTCAGTATTGGAAAGTCTTCAGGCTGGAAGAATGAAGTGTACGAACGGTCTGAGAGAGCAGAGGTCAGAAGGATTAGTTTGTATAATTGCAAAATTAACAGATACAAAACCAATTCAGTATATGCGTTCAAGAACTGGACACATCACAAATGCAGCATATCCAAAGCAGTTTTGCTCCTCATCTACATTTTACAGACAAGATACAAATGACTTTCATGTTCAGTTTTTACCTTTAGCCAGCCTCAGGTTGACCTGCAGCTGTCCTTTTCCCACTTCAGCAGCTGGAGCACTGCCTGGAGCGTGGCTGAACAGGGTGCTCAGGGCTCCATCCACTCTGTACAAGCAGGACACCTTTTGTCTGTGGACCGAAAGACCAGTGTGACAAGGCATCCATTTTAATTTCCTCCTGGATCATTTAAGTGTGTGTTAGGGCGTACTTATACTCTGGGTCAATGGGGCTAGTGCGGGACACTCTTCCTCCCCATCCCTGGTAGACTGGCTCAGAGTTGTAGTCCAGGCTGATTTCATTCTCATACACCATGTAGTTATCCAAAAACTGTCAATTTTATATTCAGTTAGCCATGCAAACAAATGTGATTAAGCAAGTCATGTAAATAATCTGACCTACAGAATAGTCTAGAACAACAATCATTGTGTACAATTTCCTCAGCTCTTTTCATCCTTATCAATAGTTAAGTGCACAGGCAACAGCTCTAGTCAAAGCTCTTGAGACAGTGATACTAACAGTCCTTGAGGTCCCACAGGAGTCCACGGTGAAGGAGAAAAGGGCCCAACGCTCGGTTGTTTTCACAGGTCTACAGCTGCGGTCCTTCAGCCTCAGTCTGCTGGGCTGCAGGTTAGGGACAGACTCCAGCTTCACCGCCACAGCGTTCATGGTGCCGTTAGAGAAGCACTCTGGAGGGTAGAGGTGTTAGGGAGGGCTCAGTAATGAACAAGTGCACAATGGTCTTACGTGTGGATGTCAGGGGGAAGTGGCAGGCCAGGAACAAGTCACCCACAGGCCACTGGTATTTGGGGTCCCACAGCAGGATGTCCAGCCGTGCCCTTACAGAATCTGACTCCAGCACCTAATGGGCAGATAAGTGAGCTCAAAAACTGTTCCAACGTCATTAAACAGCTTTTCCTTAATCAGACTAGTTTATTGTGGGTGAAATTAGACACTGCAATCTTAAGCCAAGTGGTTTAGATGTATTACTGTACGAGAGCCTGGCTCGTCATTCATTAATCTTTTGACCAGCTATAACTCTTAAAGATTTGGACTAGTGTAACGGACCAAAGATGTCCAGCTCTAAACTGCAATAAATTGAAAGTTAATGCCAATGAAGTAAAGGGTTTGGTAAAGTCCTGATGTTTTTATTTAGGGATTTACAATAATTGTAACACATTTAAATCAAGTACATGAATGATCTAATTAGTTTGACTTGTTCAAATGCCATTGTGAAAGTAGCTGAAGTGTAAAGCTGTACCTCCAGAGCAGTGTCCTGGGCCAGGAATGGCACCACAAAGCTAAAGTGCGTAGAGTGCTCTGTGAAGCGATAAGCTGCAGCACGCTCTGCGGTCAGGCGGTTGTAGCCCACCAATGTCTCAAACGTCTGGGAGTTGGAGCCCTGGTTTCCATACGTCACAGTGATGTGAAAGTTCTCCTGGTCACAGCTGCCTGACACCTTTGGCAGAACTGGACACAACAGGTCACACTTAGAACTTTATTTAAAGTCAATTACAGATGCATTAGGCTTCCTCAAAAGAGACCTATTCCAAATGGGAACAAGTTATTGGCCTTCAGGCTAGATTTAGATGTTCCAAGTAAGGTACCTTGGTCAACTATATTTCTTACTGCCTCAACTGTAGTTAAGCTTTAACTAGTTTAATCTTTAAGCATTTCCAGCCAAAAACATTAGTCCTACAGCAAAAAGCTTGGGCAGAGCAAGTCATTGAGTCTTTAAAACCCAAGGAAATTAGGAGAATTTAACTTTACAATAAGACCAGAAATGAGCTCAAATTGTGCAAATCTAGAAGCTATTTTAATGTTGGTTCTAGACTCACCAACATCCTGTAGAGAGGCCTGCAGCTCTGCACTGGCAGAGAAGGACGAGCGCTCTGGCAGGACTACAAATCCCATGGTGAGGGCCAGGGTGTACCGAGTCACTAGACGCTCTGGGTTCTGAAACAAGGTTATAAAAACTAAAATCACATATTGTAAATTAGTCGAATCAGTTTAGCACATCAACTTTTGATAGAATTACTGTGAAGTTCTCAGGACTGTATTCTGTTAACACCTTTTATTCTACATGACATTTCCAATAAACTAGGCTGGCTTAGAATAATGTGATAGCTGGTCCCCCATCGAGGAGCAGGTATGATACAAGTTTAATCTTTACTCACATGGGTCTGGACCACATCCTCACTGAAGCCCAGGCTGATGCTGAAGGTACGTGTGCTGTCAGGGTGGTCCTTCTGCTGTACATTGAAGCCCCTTTGCACACACTGCTCCACAGACAGGGTCCCAGTAGAGAAGGTGATGTTCTTCAGTTCCACATCCTGCAGGAAGGTGCCAATCTTTACAGAAAAGAGCCTCCCCTCGGCATCGCTCTCTGAGACAGCAAGACAGTGGGGACAAGGAAATCAGAATAACTTTGTGAGGACAGCATGTGCATCATTATACCCTTTAATATAAAAAAAAAAAAAACACATTTAGGGGCACCACTTTTTAAATAGAAAGCTTTTAGCATGCAGTGAATGCAAACCTATAATTGCACTAGTGCAGAGTGAGCTTTTAGCCCAGATGTGTCAAGGCAACATTTCAGCATTATGGTGAAACTTCAGGACCTGCTAAAAATGCCACCCTTATGCTCCCATGGTGTGACTGAAACTCACGGTCAATGGTTTGTGGGGGCCGGGCCATCAGGGGGGTGGTGATGGGGAACAGGACCTTGTAGTGAGTCTCCTCTGCGCTGCGCTCGGACCTCCACAACACTTCCAGCATGGGCTCAACACTGAAGCTCACGTGGTACTGGTTCTCTGGAGCGTGGCTCTGTCAATGCAAACAGTTCTCGCTGCAGACTTTTGCCCATTTTAAATTAATGCATATGTCATATTTACACACATCATTTACCAAAGTTAAACCCTGAAGTTGTGACCTTTCTCAGCCAATGATGCACAAGTTAACTAACCAAGTAGTCAATTTGTGTTGATTAAACTAGTTTAGCCATTGATACAACATTCCTTAGACAGGAGGAAACGAGCCTGACCTTGTAGTAACCATCAGGAGCGCCCACAGGGATCTCCATGATTATGTGGAAGTCCCGGGTCGCGAGTGTGTAGCCGCGGGCGGACATCTGGCCCTTGTCCAGCCTCTGACCGCTAATGCCCATGTGCAGCTCATGGATCTTTGAGCCGCTGTCCACAACAGGGGTGAGTGTGCGTGGGACATGCCAGGAGATGAGCTGCTCTGTGAACAGCACGCCACCTTTGGAACAGGAGAGACATTCACAATCACAGCAGGAGCCCGAGATACAAAGTCCTAAGTGTAGGTACTCACCAATGGGACAAGCCGCTGACATGTCCAGGATATTGAGGCCTGCGGGTGAATTGTAGTACACACTGACACGCAGCATCTCCATGGGGATTCCTGCCACCTACACACAAGTTAACACATCTTTATGCCATTGTTTGTGTTACACAAGCGCAGATTCAAAATTGATTTTAATAGGCAGACATCTTGGGTGGCCAAGGAAAGCAATTTAATCTGAATGCAAATGACTAGAACTTTAAATAGATTTGGTTCCTCTGCCCCCATGTTCCCCTTCACACTACATGGTTATTCTTAAGTGGTCAACATTAAACTTGGTTACAGCCCATCAGGTCAGTGCAACAATGACTAAAAGGGTTGAACACTTATGTTTTATACCATGTAGATTCAAGTTTGGTTAATTTACCAAAGGGCCTTTCATTGACACTCACCTCTTCAGAGTAAGTTTCTGGTTTGTGGTAGGGGCTGCGGACCACGATGCGGTTGGCAGTGCTCATTGCTCCATAGCCAGCCTGCTCTGCCTCCTTTTGCACCATGGGCACAGGCTCAGGAGTGTAGAACGTCAGCTTCCAAATGCTTCCCAGTGAAGAGCCCTATCACACAGGTTTAGACAGGGCATACATCTACAACCAGTTGCATTTAAGCACGAATTATATTTTATTCCAAAAAGGTAAGCCTACTTTTCAGACTTAGTGAAACTTAAAATCACCCCCCAGAACAGCCTCAGCAGCTGTGGCTATTCCTTCCACCCCAGTATCAGAGTTGTGAAAGTGTCGTGGTTATGGCTCGATTAGGTTATCATGAATCAGTCTGGCATGCTACTCACTTATAAGTCCTAGTAGATTTAGAAAGTAGTTTGTTGGCAAATAACTGCAGGAAAGTTCAGTGGTTGAAATTCCCAAATATACAGTGATTAATCAGATTAAATTATGCATTCAATAAGGCTAATGTGTTAGCTCTCAAGTTAAATCAGATAATTAGTCATGAATGGAATGAAATAAAGTAGCCAAACACGCCAGCTATCACCCAGTACTACAGTTAACAAAATGTCATAAGTCTAGCGTTTTAGTGGAAAAATGCATACCCCAGGAATGATGTTCTGCTGAGGGTTGTTTTTCTCAGGTACTGCGCTTGAACCCTTGGGATCAGACTGGTCGTGCACAGGCATGTGGTGGGACACCTGAGGACAAAGGCAAACATGAGCTGACATCACTTCCATCAGAATAAGATTCAATATTGGAACGAGTACAAAAGCATACGCTTTGAAACATTACTTCAAAAGCAGAAGTGTGCCTTTAGTTTTTTTAATGTAATACTTTTGCCAGTTAGCAGCTTTAGAGCCTTTACATTTGAATCCAAGCTACACACATTACTGCTCCCGTTTTGGGACACGACATCTTCCAGTCTAGAGCAGAACATTACCTCCATGTAGTTGCGGTCACAGAGAACCTCCCTCTGAGCCCAGCGGGAGAAGCTGCAGGTTTGCTGCACGTCATGGGAAGTTACATCAGGAGATGTAGGATTGAACATCTGTAGCTTTAGACCTATGTCAAATGTGGAGTCCTCCTGAAATACACCGAAGTTGTTAGTGTCAAAGTGAAGCATGTAGTCAATCTGAAACCTCTGGAAGAGCTACTTTAAAAACTAAGAAAATGCCATGATTAAATAAAACTCATGGCATGGAATCAAACTGTACAAGCCGAGTCAAAACTTAAAGTTCTTATATGCAAGAGTTTGCAAATTAAAGTTTATAGGAAGAGCTTTTCTGGGTGGATCATGACTATTTGTCCCAATTGTCACTCAATTCTCATGACATGAAGCTGCCGTACACTAAAGGCCAGGTTGGGCTTTACACCGATTCTTCAGTCGCAAACTTTCTACTCTACAGGAAGTAACTTGCAATGGAATGCAACCTGTAAAAAGTTCTATTGTCTGACAATAGTGCAAAAAGTACAAATCTTAAAGCGCAGTGATTCAAACTGACTTTTACTTTGGCTCATGGACACATTTAAGCGGTCCCTCTTTGCACATGTGCATTCTCAAAATGTGGCGAGGCTGGTTCCTTCCTAAAATACAGGAACATCCTCCTATACACACTGAAGCGGGTGTAGTTTAAAAAAGAACAATTGATCAAGTTTGAGTCACAGCATGTTATAGTTCTTGAAAGAATTATAATGAATGAGGCAAAAATTTAATATCTGGTTGCAATAGGACCTAGCATAAACTCAGCCCAGAAAAAGGTTTTGTAAAAATGACAAATGTTTGGGCATCAGTTTTACACAAGTCCAGTGGGCTGGGATAGCACCAGGTAAGGCTGGTCTGAGGTTTGTACAGCATAAAGCAAGCTAAATATAGAGAGTTCACTTCCATATTTTTTAAAGGCAGATGAAACTCACCGTATTGTGGGCGTAGCAGCCCAGCAGTGATGAGTAGATGCGTGTGTTCCCCCAGGGGTCAGACTCCATGCTATAGCCACACCGAGCAGCCAGGGCCGGGGTCAGAAGCACTCTCCTACTGCCATCTGTCCAAACAGCACAATTACAAGGTGTGCAACGGTACAGCCGGGAGTCATTCGCTTCATTACAGATAAACCAGTTAACTGGACAGAATTGGTCTCAGGAAGAATATAAATAAAATTATACCAATTTAAAAGCTTGTTAAAAAATTTTGACATTAATCGCATTCTGACAACTACGAAAATGTTATACTTTGAAGAGATTGAGCCATCGCAGTTACACATTTCTAGTGTAAAAAAATTACTCACTGACTGCCTCCACCTCGAGCTGGTTGCCCACGGCCAGAGCTTTATCCAGCGACAGGCGCATTAGATTCCCCAAGCACTCGGACCTCAGACCGCTGCCTGCAGTAGACAGTTTAAAATGAGCACATTTTTATGCACTCAGGCAAATGTGAGAATAACTTGTGGCTTACTTGTTTGTGAACTGAGCTTCGTGTTTGGCCTTGCCTGACACACAAGGATCACTGCGGCCAGCAACGTACACGACAAACTGAAACAGACATAGCGGGTGAGGCAGGAAGAAGATTCTCTAGTTCATGGGATGGGGGAGATTATAATTGAGTCAGCTACTTTAGCCACAGCTGCCCTGAGGCACACACAGAAACACTCCAAACCACCATCTAAAATCTTTAATGTAAAATCTACTTAGTCTGAAAAAGATTGATATATCCAAAAGGAGAGCAGAGAACGAGTTACATGGGATTAAATTAAAGTGATGGAGTTCAAAATGTGCAGGAAAGACAAGAAATGTTACTTCCGGGTGGATCAGCTAGACTATTGGTCCTTCTAATTGTCAATCATTCTGGTGATAGTCTAATAAGACCAGAAAGTTTTGCTCAAAAGGAAAGTACTAAACCAAGCAAGACAGAAACACTCGCCCAAGACATTAGAATACTGAAATAAAACAAAACACACGATAATTAAAAAGAGGGAATGGACTTACATATAGTTAGGAACCTTCATCTTGGAGCCAAATGCAGAACCTCGATAAGGCCGGAGGAGAGAAGGAGCCACACTAATGAGAAGAGCGCGTGGGGCTGTTTTTAAAGCGCTCTGCAGCTGTGCTTAATGAGGCCACACCCCACACACCTGAGACTGATGAGGGTTTGACGGGAGTGTGAGAAGCTAGAGGGCGAGCCCGGATGGGACTGTGGCGGCCATCTTTTGTGTGGCTCAAAAGTTCTTTCTTATTTAAAAACGCAAGAACCAAATCCAAAAATAAATTAAACATTTGAGGTCTAAATATAATACCAGATGTATAAATGTAAAACAAGTATGGGTGTAAATATAATACAAAATGTAGATATGTAAAAGAAAAAGTATGGGTGCAATGAAATAAAAGACAAATATTTAACAAATGCTTGAATTTAGTAGTTTTATCCCATGTAACTAGAAAATACAATTTATTAAAACCTAAAATATTAAACAGATACACAATTTATCACTTTTTGAATGCGGACAATTTTGACTGAGATAACGGTAAGGCAAGTTTTCATTTCAACAGTTTTCACTAACAGTTTGAGTTCTTATTCATTTTCTCCCAAATATGGCTCACACTATGCAATCTATGACTGGGAGGGTAATGGTAAGGGCTTGCCAGTTATTGTAACAATTGCAAATTGCACTGGCGGAGGATGTCCACGGGATGGCGGTGTTCTACTGTTTGTTTTTTTAATGCAGCTTAACATCCCCAGGGTTGGCAGATCTTCCCTGACCCTTCGTCCGTTTACAGGATTTAACGTAAAACACATACAATCTGGGAAAGTCATCAGAACTGTACAATCCACATGATGTAAGATTAGTGTGATCGCTGTTCACTCGTATCACTTGCCTCCCCAACTGAACCAGGGCAAGAAGAGAAACCACTGTTAAAACTAATTCAGAAGTGGGCTTTTCATTGCAGGAAAAAAATAAATAAATTGTGCACTGTAACTTTTAAAATAGATAAATGCAATAATTTACCATAGCATGTCTGGACGTATTACATATAGATAGATGGAAAGATAGATTGATAGATACACAAGGGGAAATTCAGTTAAAAAACATGAATAATAAAATATAATCCAAACATCTAACCCGGGATTAAACCCTCCTCTGGTAGCAGCTTGCGTTCGGTTTATGATGAGGTCCTTTCTAACAGGTTGGGCCACTTTTGCACTTTATTTATTTACCCCCATAGGGTATTTAATACTCTGCATTTACCCCATCCTGGCACTAAGGCTTACGTCAGGAGCAGTGGTCACCGTAGTACAGCGCGCAGGAACCCATCTCCAGATGTTGTTGCTCGGCTTGGTCAGAACCAGATGTTACCTATTGTGCATGTTTTTTGTGGCAGGTGAAACCAGAGCACCCGGAGGAAACCTACGCAGGCACAGGGAGAACATGCAAACTCCACTCAAAAAGGCCCTGTTCTGACTGGGATTTGAACCCAGGACTTTTTTTGCTGAGAAGCGGTAGTGCTATCCACTCAGCCACCGTGCCGCCAGCTGAATGTACTGGGGCAGAATGGTCGCTTTGGCAACATGGGATACAGGTGTCCTCAAACAGGCTGACCAGGTGGAGGTGGAGCTCTGGAAGGATCGGTCATGATGAGTCCTGATTTCCCTGACCAGATGCCAGAAGAGCAGTGGTAGATCTCCCTCAGAGCCTCTGCTACGATAGTGTTGGGGCCCATCTGCAGTGTGTACCTGGTGACAAAGATCTTAAAACAAACAGCCTTTCCTTGGGTGGATTTACACAGCGTCTGCTTGGTTCAGACTATTTTCCCTGCCCCTGAATGCTGTATTCATTTTTCCAAAAATTGGATGTTCTCCAGTGGATTTGTGCACGGCCTGCTGTTACGGGCCATCTTCTCTAATTTGTTAAATCCTGAACACTGCACGGGAGTAAAATTGATAGATAGAAAATGCAAACAAAAAATGATTGTAAAAAACAAAACTGCTTTTTCCGAGCTACTGAGAACATTCCATCTCATTCAATTACGAGCTTTTCATAGTGTCATCTTATTCAGTTTTAAGTTCTCAAACTCAGACTAAAACACTCACTGAAACTACACCTCTCCCCAATGACTTAATTTCTAAACTACTTTTGTCCTGGTAACTTACGCAAGGCTTCCCGGAAATATGTATTATAATGTATTGAAATTGTTTGTTAAAGCCTATTCCTTTGTGTAAAAAACCCAAAAAACAATTGTATAATCACTACAATTTTTTTGTGTGCCCATATCTTGTTTTGAGCTTCAGAGCAGAAATAAATCTCTATCGTTTCAGTTTATGTCAGGCAATCCTATTATTTCTTATTGTCTTATGCATGGACTCATTTCAAAGCAGCTTAAAACCTCCGGGCTTAAAACCAAGACGGATGACGGCCGCTTTCCCAAACATGATTCATCGGATCTGTCAAAACATTTCTGTCCCGGCCTCGCGTTGACAATATCCTGTGCATCTGTGCTCCTTCTGGCAGCTTCCCTCACAAAGGAATTTGGCTAAAATACTTAGAGCTTTTTTTTCTTTGCCTCTGTCATCTTTATTTTGGGCGAATCTGTGCCTCGGAGTCTGATGATGGTGTTGTGGCCATGTGTCATCCCGCTCAGTCTATCCTGGACCTCTGTCTTATTGTCAAAGGCAATCAATCTTTGTGTTGTGGTCCGACAAACTCCTGCCGCACAGGACTTGATGAACGATGAGGACAAAGGAAGTCTGAAATGCATCATTGAAAGGGAATAGCTGAAAGAAAAACAACACTATTCTGTCCTATTCTTATGCTACCACCAAAGAGAGGGGTGGACTTATGGCCTGTACATGACAACAAGACAAAATGACTCGTTTCCACTTTTCCACATATTGAAGGAAATTTGAATCGCAAATGTATTTATATGAATTCTGTTATATAAGTTTGTGATGTCATAGTGGTACAATGACATTACACTATTACAGAACTGAGACAAGAACCTTTACAGAAGGGGCGGTTTACATGTTGTTAGCGTGACTGGATTTAAAAACAACTTCAGGTCTGTGACTGATGCAGAACAAGGGTGTAACATGGTTAAAAGCTCAGAAAGGTTGATTTGCATCAGATTTGCGGATCTCCTTTAAGTTTATTCTGTCTGGATAAATGAAGTTTTCCACTACACACTAAAACAAGTATGACAGTAACCCTGCAGTACATGCTTCTAATCTGAGAAACTTCTGAAGAGCACTCTTCGCAGAGACAGAAGTTGGAGACTACAGACCAAAGCCTGCCTGAAGCATCAGAGCAGTCCACATTTCTCTTTTTGTATGATACAGAAAACATTCTGAGTGGGTGGTGCAGGGCCTATGTTTTATTTAGTGAAAAAGTTTAAATAAAAAAAGTCCAGAGGGCTGTGACAAACTCAACTCACAACTTTAGTTCAGTCGTGGAGGAAAAAGGGCTGTGAGGTGTAAGTCTGCAAAAGCTTCCAAAAGCCTCCCATATAGTATGTAGTCGCATAGTGTGTATTTAAACTATACAACCACATGGTCTGAGTAGTTTAATCCTTACCTTTCTAATGCATCAGTCACACATGAAGGTCACTCAAAGCACGTTTACAATTTGGTGTGTTTTCTAGTGACAGCAGTGGGACTGGTGCACCAGACCAACAAACATTCCATTTGTACATGTTTTGAGGGGTGGGAGGGGAACATGCCAACTCCCTGTGGAAAGCACTGGTCTGTCTGGGGATCAGGACCGAGGATCTTCTTGCTGTGAAGCAGGAGCACTAACCACTGCACAAACCACTCATGATCCAAATCCGACACATCTGATTATCGAGCATTGGGCTCAATGATGTAATCTATTTTAAATACAATGAAGGTTCTCCATACTCGATATCTAATGATGATTTCAGGTTGCTACAAATTCATGTTTTGGGGACATGCACATTTGTAATGCCAATTGTTAAAATGTAAACACATGTTTTGTTCCACACAAACCTCTTCTCTCTCATTCTGCCTGTGTTCGTGAGTTGACCCACGCTCTTTCACACTCTATAAATTATTTTCTCTCCGTTGGTGACAGCTAACAAGCCTGACCTGTGCACCGCATGCACACAGAAATAACAGAACATGACCCTCGACCAGCAAGGAAACGCTGCGGCTTTTTATTGTTACACATGACTCATATGCATTGTCAGTATAAGGAAAGGCATCATGAGGAGATGTGTGGTACATGTGCAGCTAACGCAGAAGACCAGGAGACATGTTCTCTGTGCTCTCTCTCTCCTGTCATACTCAGTCATATACTGTACCTGAGCTCATCAAGCTATCCGCCTCAGCTGCACAATCACACACTTGATCCTCTGAATCCTTTCACGGCTGCATTCCAACAGACCCTCTCAGTCACTGCATCAAGCTGTTCTTCATGCAGCAACCCTCCTCCTTCCTGTCGCTGCCTCGTCAGTAGAGAATCAACATGTTATCAGCATGCTCAGCTTCCTTTGCCACTATGGTTCAGGCCCCGGAGGTTTCAGGCCCCGAAGGGTTCAGGGTCTGGAGGGTTCAGGCCCCAGAGGGTTTGCAAGATCTATTAAACACCCAAACCAAAAAGTGTAGGAGGGTACAATCACCTGCCAGGTCTAATTGTCTACTCATACAGCAAAAATATCTTCATACAAACATGTCAAGATCATTCTTTGTTTTGAGTCTTTCCAGATTGAAAGACACATACACGTTATACAAAAGTTATACAAAGACACAAAGTTAGAGCATTTGGATAAAACATTGCATAAAGTAAAAGACCTGGACACTACTTCTGCTGTTTCAGGAGCAAACAACTCTTTTTGACCCACACAAGTTTTGTTGACTACAATGACAACCTTTGTTTCCTCAAATGTGCACAATGTGAACTTTAGTTACTTTATTTATAACTATATGACGATGTTTAACCATTCAAATGAGTTACAAAAAGAATATATTACTGAACTATATTACAGGAGTACTCCCAACACTGCCGTACATGTATCAGAAGCTCGTCCGCCGCCATGCGTCTTGAGGCGTCTCTGTCTCTTCTCTTCTCACACACGCACCTGTCACGTCACTGCGTGGGCTCAGCTGTCAGGCGCCTGCTGTTGTCGCCTGGGACGCACGGCGGCGCTCGCTCCCTCTTCACTCTCTCTCTCCGCATTGCTTCGTAATAACAGTGGATCCTCTCCTCTCATAGCTCCAGTCAGTCAGTGGCCGGTGCGTGCGCCGTGTTTATACGCCTCCTCTGCTGTCAATGCGGGCATGACACACTGGCACTTCTAGAGGGGGGATCTCCTACTATCTACAGTCGGCTATCGCGAAGCCAAGCCAGCTCTCAATACAGAAGACCACAGGGATAAGAAGCTCTTTTTGAAAGCATTTTATTTGTAAAGATTCCCGATGGCAGGGGCACAGCCTGGAGTCCACGCGCTGCAGCTCAAACCAGTGTCCGTCCCCGAGTGCCTGAAGCGCGGCAACAAATTTATGAAATGGGACGATGTGAGTATAAAACTATACGCTTCTACGTCTTGTGCTTTTAAATCCTTGTAGTTGAACACCACTGCATGCAGACACCCCCTTTCCCCACTGCATTACAGGAGCTATAGGCAGCGCTCATTCAGAGGTTGCTTTTACGCATCGCCAATAGCGCCACATCCATGCGCTTTGTTTATACCCGCGCGCGCGTGTGAGAGCTCATTCGTTCCAATTGAAATTGTTATTGTGAAGCATGTTATGTCCTTGTTCTGTATCAGAAAATATTTATGCGCACATCTTGGCTCAGCGTGGGGGAGATGGTTTTCGTACCACGTCCGCTCCTCTCAGTTGAAATTGATTTATATCGATTCCACACGAAAGATTGCCTTTAACTGCGAGCTATATGACCGCAGTGCACCTTACCCCGCGCATTTACTATGATGACACATCCTTGACACGCTGCACTCCAGGCAGCAGGCTGTTGCTCTGCTGAGTGCGTTGCTTTTGAAAGAAAACCTATGGGACGGAAAGATTATTAGGTTAATAGATAACTGTGATTCAGATTCAGTTTGTTTGCCACTTGCTGTAAACCACATTTGAATATTCGTACAAAATACCAAAGAGTGCGCAAAAGACAACCAAAACAAACCTTAAGACACAAGCACATTGGAAAACACATTGAAAGAAAAAAAAAAAAAGCAATAAAGTGCAATTTCACCCAATCATAGTGCTCTGTTCAGACTGGTAACAGCTTGTGGGAGAATGCACATTGTGATATTGTGTTATACAATATTGCGAGGACAAAATATTATCCTACATAACTGAAGAATAGTCAACTTGATCATTATTAGAAGCATAAAATAACACTTTTTCCCTTCAAATAATCTATGTTTTTTATTTATCGTCTTCTTTCAAGTTCAGTGGCATTCAGTTCACATTGTTTTTGTCTCCAAAATCATAACGACAGTCAAGCTTTTTCAGATAGAAAAGGGAAAAAGCGAGGGCCACCCTCACTCCGCTCAAATAGTGTGAAATAGTGACTCACAGGGCGCAAAAGATGATGTTCTCTGTGTTGTGGTCTGATTTGTTTGAAAAAGTACTTTTATAATACTCTTTCTGTTAAGTTGAGTTCAATTGTATTGTAAGGGATATGGAAAAAGAACAGCAATAACTTATTTATACAAAACATATTTACCCCAACTTCAACGTGTTTGAAACCCGGAGATGAATCGTCACATTTTACAGAAAGATAATTCATGTTCTTTAGTCAATATTTTGTTATTTTATTCTCAAATTAACTGTTTCAATCTGGAGGGACTTAAACAGGTTGGTAAGTAATCTGGTATTGGTTGGTAAGTAATCTGTCACTACATTAGCATTTAGAATGACATTTATGTCATTTAGGCTCTACATGAAATGTGATTAAGATTCAGCTTGTACATCTGGGCAGAGCGCTGCATGAGAATACAGAAAGGGAAAGGAAAGTAGACATTATGAGATGAAATCAGCCGCGGTCTAGATCCTGGTGGTGGGAGCGAAAGGGTTGAACGGGTCCAGCCGACAAGGCGGTGATGGGGAGGAGGAGGGTTGCTGCACAATTGAAAGCTTGATGCAGGGAAGTTTTCTAAATGCTTCCAGGTGAGAATTGGCCGAGTGAGTCTCCAGCTCAGTGTGATTGACTGATCGTTGTTGCAGTGCAGCATCAGGGGGAGGACTCAGAGCAGTGAGCATGTGCACACAGTCTCTCCAGTCTGAACACACATAAGTTTCACCGGCGGAGATTTACAGTCTATGGTTTTAGCTGACATTCGCTGTCGTTGTGTCCTTGGGCAAGACACTTAACCCTACTCAACCTACCCTGCCATGCATCGTTTCAGCGTAGGTTTCCTCTGGGTGCTCCAGTTTCCCCTACCACTAAAAACATGCACAATAGGTATGAATGTAAATGAGTGAAGGGATGGTGTTTGGTCAGAGGCTTTGATGGACCAGTGTGATCGGTGTCTCGGTTCAGTCATCACTGTGTGGAGAGAATGGAACAATAACTGAACTCTGAACATTGTAAAGCGCTTTGAGTGACATTGGTCTGTAAAATGCACTATATAAATAAACATTAGTTACTTACTTACGCTTTTCACACTAAACACCAACAATAACTACCAAAGTGAAAGCTCATTAAAAACATAAGTTGAGTTTGAACAATACCTGTGAAATATAGTCATTTTGAAGTGTTTAGTCCCGCTGTGATTCCAGTCCACCTCGCTCCGTTAACCTGACCGTCCATTACGCTCTGCCAGGTTTATGTAAGTGGCATTTGGAAAGATAATTTTGTGACATAATCTTTGCGCAGCACAGACAGTAGGAGCGCAGGTGAATGATTGCCCGCAGACGACGACAGTGGGTATGTGTGTGTGGTTCTGGAGGTGATTTTGGACGGTGCAGATGGTAGACGGAATGAACTGCGCTCTGTCAATCAGCGTTTTGGGCCATCTTACCGGGAATGTACCCAACCGCTCTTCTCCTCTGACTGCGCGAAGGCTGAATGATGTTGGAAAAATGTTGGATTAAAGGTTTTCTGTCACTAGCTGCGACAAATAGCGCGGTTTAATATATCCATCCATAGTAAAATATCAAATTGAGGTGTTTTTTCTGATGAATTGCAATTGTGATGCAGTTTTTGAGGTCTTTTCTGGTTAAAAAGTATAATTTTGTTAAGTTTAGAGAAATGTATTTTAGCAAATTAGAGACTTCATAAGTTCTCCACTTTGTGTTGAATCAGTGAAGATGTACATGGTTCTTAAAGGGGAGGCTTACTTCCGGTCCCTCAAAGGACTTCTGCGCCGCTGCGAACATGGTGAATTACAGCAATTCTGCATGTTTGGATTCAAGAGCAATCTCATTCAACCTTGAAAAGCTCCTGTCATCTGTCAACCTTATAAAAGACATTGGAAAGAACCTCATATTCCTTTATCGAAATGAATTGGAAATGAATTGCAAACAATATGTATGAATTTGAACTGAATTTAGCTGTGAACTTGCACCTAGAGAACAATTTTGTATCTGAAGTATTTGGCAGTGTTTGCTGTGTGTGCAGTGAAAATCATGTGTTGCTCCTGCTACTGATATGTATTTATTTACCTGCGAATACTGTTTGTTGCATGTACATGTATAATTGTATGTATAATTATTTCCTTGTTTTATTTCATGATTTTATACATTATCCACTTAAATAGTTTAATGAAAAAAAGTCCTTTATCCTGCATTTGGCAACAGAAGTAAGTTAAAGCCATGATGTTTTAATGGCTGGAATTACCTTTGTGATTTAAATTCTAACTCTAATTGATTTTATTGGTGATTTTGGTGTTTTACTGTATGTGGGCGACAGTAGCTCAGTCGGTAGAGAGTGAGTTTGATTCCCACCATGGGACCTACTCCAACTGCTCCTACTGATGACTGCTGTCGTTGTGTCCTTGGGCAAGACACTTAACCCCACATTGCCCGAAGCCCCCCGCTGAAAGATCAAGGCTGTTTCACAATTGACGGAGCAGCCATCTTCCTGTGGACTCACCCCCTGCAGAAGATCAGCGAGGGACTGGTGCTATGAGCGTTGGGTGGCAGCTCTCATTGTCACCCCCCCCACCCAGAAATGGACAAAGGGCTTGAAAATGAAATGAAATGAAACTGTATGTGGTGATTTGTGCCTTGTGTTATGTGGACCTTGAAGCGCTTTGTGTTTCCCTGTAGGAACGGCGCTCTTCAAAAAACAATTAAATGGATTTAAGTGTCTTACCCAAGGACACAACGACACCAGACATAAGTGGGAGTCGGTGGAGTAGGTCTCATGGTGGGCTTGAACCCGCACGACCTTCAGGCTCAAAGGCCAATTCTCTACCAACTGAACGACTGTCGCCCTCCTTTTACATGCTATCAAAACTTAAATGACGAGCGGGGATAGACATGAAAAGTTACTGCTTAAGTCATTTTCATTTAGAACAGAATTCTGCTCACATCTAAGTCATTTCACTCCCCCTTTGGTGATTGCTAATGAAGTAATATCTCCCCACCTTCTGTCTATCCCCTGAAGCTGTTTTTCTTGGGACTTTACTGCATTTCAAACACACATAAAGAAGAGCTAATGTCCCCTCATTAATCATGAAATGGCAGAGGTACAGATGACAAAGTAGTGCCACTCAAATTGTAATTGGCAGATTTGGTTACAATGCATTAGGACGCTGGACTTTCCAACATGTTGCCCTGAAGCATAAAAGTATCTAATGGATGGATGTGGTTGAGTGTTGCGCGCAGAGAAAGACATTAAACTGATTATGGAGAAAGCTCTTGCTCTCCCAATATCACTGTGGGCTGTAAAATATGATGATACAAATGGGATGAAGTGGTTAGATTTCTTCTTAATGTGTGTGTGTATGTGTGTGTGTGTGTTAACATTTTCTTTACTGCAGATTATTTTTGCGGTCAGTACAATATTAAACCTGTGATCCGTATGAAGAAGATGACAAAGTCTGGGATCGTGTCTTTCAATTCAGACCGAAGACATGTTTTATTGTCGATGGTAGAGACAGCACGAACAAATATGTTACAGACTGCAAGTGATAATATACAGCGGAGGAATGAACACCGTCCAATCAGCATTTGACAAAACATGCTCTGGAAAAGTTCTGGCTTGTGCATATTGTTGAATGATGAGTTGGAACTTTAACCACAGTTGCTTCAAAGTGTCATGAAATCTCTAAATCCCCCCTCTGAATGTGTGACCACCAGGATCGATAAACAGCAACATAACATCATAACTCAATACTTAAAAAACTTCAACTCAGTACTTCAGAAAACTCAGAACTCGGAATACTTCAAAGACTCAGAAAACTCATAAAACATGTTCAGATCTTTCATAAAACTTTTGTAAATCTTCTGTAAAATGCCAAACTTCATCAGTCGATGGTGGTTCTCATATATTGCTCTAAACTTGAAAATCCAATGTCTATCATTATCAGAACCAAAAAACCCTGGATCGCCTGTTTCTCGCACACTGGGCAAAATGGTGAGTCAGAACCACCCGGCATTGAACCCGCCTCACAATGTAGTCTTTTTGCTCACATGTTTCAGGTAAAGAAGGTTATACAACTACACACAACAAGTAGGCAATCAGCGTAACTTACCATCAAAGTTTAGGCTAAATTTTGAAAGTCATAAGTTTGTTTTGACCTATTTTATTTTCCCGGTGGTGAAAACTGACACCGGTCCACACAACACGGAAACCTTTCTCACTGTTGTCCCGGGTCGACAGTCTTTCAGTCTGAAACAGGTCAAAAGCAGCAGCCAAAGTAGTGGGTTTTCATCGTAAAAAATAGTCAATAGTCGTCCTCTTGTGAATCCTGCAGTCTGTAAACTCGGCCCAATGTGTACTATACATTCTGCTGTACTCGCTCCATCTTTTGTCATCCAATCAAGCTTGTGGAAATTGTGCAATCATGTGAACGCAACCCGAGCGATTCCTCTCCAGTCTCTGATAGATTTTACAGGGAGGCCGCCGTTGCCATAGCGAATGTCACAATAGGGAATGCCTCTGATGTGGAAGCTCAGCGTTTCCTCCAGTGTCATCAAGCTAATGGTTGTTAATGTTGTGTTTGTGTTAAAGGATCAGGAATTTAGCTTTTGTCAGATGCTGAAAAGTGAAACTGAGGTGGGAAAAATGTAAATATGAAGTCCATTAACAATTATGTATAAAATTATGTGGAGTTCCAGTCTCTCAGGTCTGGTTCACAGTGAGAGGAGATGGCAGTGAAACAGATGGATCAGTGATGCAATCCCTGTATCCGACTGTGGTGAAGAGAGAGCAGATAAATAAATATTTGATACAAATTGAGACCCTCTGAGTGGCTGGGCGCCTCAGAGAAAGGGGGGATATCAGTGCCATGAAATTAGCTCTGAGTAGAGCTGCTTCTCCTCCGTAGGAAAGGTGTTCCAGGCATTCCCCACAAGGAAAAGGGATAAGTAGATTTACATGTCTGCATTAACAAGGCCCAAGGACCAGCTTGAGCCGGTGTTATCACAGGAATGCAGGTAGAATGTGACATTGCAACATTGTACCCGATGTTTTGTGTGACAAAGGTGCTGCACATAGACAGACTTGTATTACAGATGTCGATCGGAGGCCTGGTTGTCTGCTGCGGCTGATAAGGACATCATTAGTTGGTACATGCAGAGACACTTGCTTATGTTATCTCTTCTCCGTGTGGTGAATGTGCCTCCCTAATGCTCTCATCAGAGCTATTGATTTAGAAGGACAATATGGCTCTGTTCGGCTTGGCTTCTGTTGCAGCAGAAACAGACACAGTCAAACAAGCCTGTGACCAAGGGCATTATTGTCCACTAACAAGATTTTATCATTTTGTTTTACAATACAGCAGCAGCAGTAGTCAATGTGTGGAAGTATGTACAGACACATTTGTTATTATACAAACACACAAGTAATGATTCAGTTCACAGTCCATATTTAAACATTTATGAGAAACTCTCTTATGAATTGTTTGACTACAACCTAAATGTGTTTGGGAATAGGAAATACAGTAACATAAAGAAAGTGGAAGAATTGACTGAAGACAAAGTGGCAACCCAGCCTATGGTTTTGGAGTGACATTTTAATTGTATTTTAATGTATTTTTTGAATAGTAAGTAAAACGTGTTTGCCTCACTCTTAATATTTGTGTTTGTCTTGTCGATGAATAATATTTTCACTTTGAATCTGGAATGGATTCAGCAGACTCCTTGTGCTGTAACTCAGTTGAATTAGTGAATGAAGTAGTTTTTTTTTTACAGTATGCATTAAGTCTTAAGTCTTCCGTGACATTCTATAACATTTATTCTATTATTCAATGTTCTATAATATGATATTCTATAGACATTCAAATCTATGTGTTTAATGATTTAAATCGCCATGTAGCTTTCATTTAAAACCATTCTTCTGTATTAGTGATCAAATATTTGACTTGTCAGCAGCAGTAAACTGTAACTACAGCTAAATGTTAAATGTGATTACAACAGACGGATCCTCAAATGATCAATCCCTCGTTACTTCTGAGCTGCATCCACTGTGGACAAAGAGAAAACAAAACATGAGCTTTTTATAGAAGAGTCCAATTATATCTTGCGTGGCCATGTTAGCCCCAGGGTCATGTGTGCGTCTGTGTGTTGAGTTTTTGAAGCGTTGTCTGTTGGGATCAGGAGCAGATGAAGCCACGACATTGCCTGCAGCTTCTGCTTGTAGCTCACCCAAACATCCAGAGAACGGCTGGAGGGTCACTGCAGTAATGTCAAACACTATAGACATGCACTTAGTGATGAAGGAGAGTGCTTCAGAATGAAGCACTATTTGCAATGATAAATAAATTCTGGACAACCTGCTTTGATTACGTCCCCAAAAAGTCCTCCAAGATGTTCAAATGGAATTTAGAACCCGCTGGAGCACACACAAAGGGCTTTGCTCTCTGTGAAGCTGATGTCCTGTAGTTTTGGCCAAATACATTTAGTGTAAATATATGTAAAAAAGATGAATGAAAAAAAAGATTGAACGTCTGGGGATAGGATCTATTTATCTGTAGCAAGACCAAATTTGGGTTTTAACAATTCACCTTTCACAGCTGAGGCAAATGAGATTTGTAATTTGTAATAAAGCAAAAGTAGTGAGCTCATTTAAACTTGTCCGGGCTCATCTCAGAATGTTTGATTTGACTGTAAATAAGAGAGCTCTACCTGCTGAGAAGGCTCAGCTCTACCTGCTCAGGAGGCTCAGCTCTACCTGCTGAGGAGGCTCAGGTCTCTTGAAGTGCGGGGGGCCCCTGCCCTCTATAACGCTGTGCGGGCATCAGCCTCTGTTGGGGCAGCATCACAGAGAGGGCCAGAGAGAAGCTGGACAAGATCATCAGGAAGTCCAGTTCTGTCCTGGACTGTCCTCTGGACACAGTGCAGCAGACATGGACCCTACATGTCCTGTATCTGTGATCTGTGCAATAATGTGCAATAATGTCAGAATGTGCTGTTGTGGAAATTCTGTACATACCAAGAGTAAAATAATGTAAACAACCCAGAGCTGTAATTCCAAACAAAGTGTGAGTTTATTCATTAGTAAATGTGCACAATTACAATGAATAACAGAACCGATACCAATACCACCGGGCAGCCGTCCGAAATCGACTGCCTCGATTGAGGAAATAACATTAAATAGACCAGAGTAAACAAACACATATCTACTCTAGATATTACATAAATGAAGTCAACATTGATATGTGTCGCTCAAGGCTTCTCTTTACGCGTCCTAACGCTGATACAACTCTGATATATGTAACAATCTGCTTTTGAACTGAACATATTAGCATATTAACATGTGTAGCAGTTCCTGTTACACATTCTCGTTGTACAATCTGACAGCAGCAGGAAGGAAAGACCTGCGAAACCTCTCCTTCACACAGCGAGGGTGAATACTATACTCGCTCGGACGCGGAGAGGACGCTGGCGTGTTTTGGCTGCCGCTTCTCCCACCGGCTATCTTCAATCTACAGCTTCTTTGAAACTTTTACTGCCTGCACCTAGACACACTGCCATTTTTCTCTCAATCCAAAGTGAGATCCGACCTTTTTCCAAACCGGTCTGCCTACTTCTGGAAGTTACAGCTGAGCTGCACGGTGGTCTGGGCCTACACAAACCTGCGCTACCGGGCAGCGAAGCGAAGCTAACTTTACCCAGTGTAAGCCATGCTCACCCGCCTTCAAGTCATGCAGTGTCTGGTCCCTCTACTCACCATCTTCCCTGCTATCATCCTCGTTCACCTGCTGCCCATCACCTGCTCCACCATGGCTCTCCGCTACACCTCCTTCCAGCTCCACCGGCTAACCCACTGCTTGCCGCCTCCCTCTGACATCGCTGCGAGCATCAAACATGCCGGTCTTCTACGCCGCCCCCGCTACATACATCGGGGCTCACGACGAAAGTTCATCTACAACTCCACATCTGAAAATAACATCTCAACAATACAATCTGTCATCCACTCCGCTTCCGCTTTCAGCTCTGCGCGTCATCAGAACGCACGTCAAGTTAACATAGATAACTTACAGCCCATTTCCACCCTGACTCTTTCACAACAAAAGCCCCTCAAACTCTCGCTCCTCAACACAAGATCCTTAAACAACAAAAGCCACATACTAAATGAATTCGTCACGGACACACAACTGGACTTACTCTGCATCACTGAAACATGGCAAAAACCTCTGGACTATTTCTCACTCAACCAAGCCACTCCACAGGGTTTTTCATACATTGACCAACCACGCACTAGTGGCCGCGGAGGTGGTATTGCCGCAATCCATCGGCAATCCCTCAAACTCTAGCCCCTCCCCATTCCAGCCATTCTCTCATTTGAACAACTGTCATTCACACTCCTTGGCCCCTCCCCTCTGGTTATTTCAATAATTTACCGCCCTCCCAAACCAAATCCATCCTTTCTTTCAGAACTATCGGAATTCATCACACATCTTTGTACGGTCTCATCTTCCATTTTACTTCTCAGGGACTTCAACATACACATTGACTCTGCACACAACACAGTTTCCACAGACTTCCTGGACATCTTGCAAAATTTTAATTTCACACAGCACGTCGACTTTCCCACCCACTCCCGTGGACATATTTTGGACCTGATCTGCTCCACTGGCCTACACATTGACTCACTCTCTCATACAGATCTTGCAATATCAGACCACCTGGCCTTATCATTTCACATCAACATCCCAAACCCCCACATTAAGCAAACCCGCACTCTCTCTTCCCGCAACCTAAATTCCCTCTGTTCCACCACCCTCTCAACCCACTTATCCCAAACCCTATCAACATCAGAGTTCACCTTTCCCGCAAACACTCCTGACCTGGTATCTTACTACAACAGCACACTCTCCGCTTGCTTAGACACCCTGGCTCCTATCAAAACCTCATCTGTCACTTTCACCCGTTCTGCACCATGGTACACCACAGAGCTACGCAACCTCAAAAAACAACGCCGTCAACTTGAACGCCTTCACAATAAAACCGGTCTCACTGTTCATCTCCAAGCCCTCAATGACCACACTCTCCTCTACAGATCTGCTCTTTCCACAACCCGCACTGCTTTCTATACTGAAATGATCACCTCTGGCTCCTCCAATCCCCGCACCCTGTTTTCCACAGTCAACCAACTTCTTAAACCACTGGACAATATAACTCAATCCTTTACCACGGAAAAATGCAATATCTTTCTTACTTTTTTCAAATCCAAAATCGACCACATCCACCAGCAGCTCACCAAAACCCCCGCTCCTGTCATACCTGACCCCTCTCCCCGAACTGTAAGCCCCCTCTCCCACCTCTCACCTATCTCAGAACCAGATCTCCAAAAGTTTTTTACAAATATTAAATTCTCCACTTGCCCCCTGGACCCCATCCCTTCGTCTTTCGTCAAATCATGCCTCCCGTCTCTCAGTCCCCTAATTTTAGAAATAATCAACTCCTCTCTAACCTCTGGTACCGTGCCCCCCGCCTTCAAGATGGCAACCATCACACCCATCCTCAAAAAACCAAACCTGGATTGGAACCCCAACAACTTTCGCCCCATCTCCACCCTTCCCTTTCTGTCTAAAATCCTCGAACGATCTGTCGCTGCTCAACTCAACAACCATCTCAACTCCAACTCCCTCTTTGACAAATTTCAATCCGGTTTCCGTTCCCAACATAGCACTGAAACAGCACTGCTCAAAGTCATCAACGACCTCCTCCTCACCTCAGATTCTGGCTCCCTCTCCATCCTGCTACTCCTTGACCTCTCCGCCGCCTTCGACACTATTGACCACTCCATCCTCCTCCACCGTCTCCAGTTCACCACTGGCATTACCGGCTCTGCACTCTCCTGGTTCTCATCCTACCTCTCCAACAGATCTCACTACATCGCCATCAACAACTGCTCATCCCGCTGCATCCCGGTCACCCACGGAGTACCTCAAGGCTCGGTGCTTGGTCCCCTTCTTTTCATTCTTTACATGCTCCCCCTTGGCCACATCATCCACCAGCACGGTTTCAATTTCCACAGCTATGCAGACGACACTCAACTTTACCTCTCAGCCAAATCCATAACCCCTGCCACCATCTCCTCCATCACAAACTGCATATCCGCAATAAAATCCTGGATGTCCACCAATTTCCTCCAACTCAACTGCAAAAAATCAGAAATTATTATTATCGGCCCCAAGTCCCTCCTTCCAATACCCAGCATTTCACACTCTCCATCGACAGCCACACCATCTCACCGTCTGCTCAGATCAGAAACCTCGGAATCATCCTTGATCCCACCCTTTCCTTCAAGCCCCACATCCGCAACATCACCAAAACTGCCTTCTTTCATCTCAAAAACATTGCCCGTCTTCGCCCATATCTGTCCTCCACCGCTGCTGAAACCCTGATCCATGCATTCATATCCTCCAGACTCGACTTCTGCAACAGTCTTTTATATGGCCTTCCTTCATCTGATCTCCAAAAACTGTCCAAAACTCCGCCGCCCACCTCCTCACTCAGACCCGCTCCAGAGAGCACATCACCCCTGTCCTTCAAAAACTCCACTGGCTCCCCGTTAAACAGCGCATCCATTTCAAAATCCTCCTCATCACCTACAAAGCCCTCCATAACCTCGCTCCTCCTTACCTCACTGAACTTCTACAGCCCTACAGTCCCTCCCACCGACTCCGATCTGCAGACTCACATCTCCTCACTCCCACTGTCAAATCTAAGCACCGAACCTTGGGGGACCGAGCTTTCGCCATCTCTGCTCCCACTCTCTGGAACTCCCTCCCCCTCCATCTCAGAAACTCGGACTCTCTAAACTCCTTCAAAAAACAGCTCAAAACTCACCTTTTCCTCCAAGCATTTGACTCTTAGTGTAAACTTTCTACCCTTCTTCCTCACTCTTAGATTTTTAGTTTGTGTGTCTGTCTAAACGTGTGAGTTTATGTCATGAATTTGTGAAGCGTCTTTGAGTTCTTGAAAAGCGCTATATAAAACTGATGTATTATTATTATTAATAACTTACACTCATAACTATTTGGTGTTAATTCAGGTTGCTTCACTAAAATATTTCTATAACAGTGCAATAAGGAACCACATGTGTCCACTGTCCTTTTACTTTTTTCCCAGAGCTGCTAACATGTATATGTGGCTGGTTAGTGCTGGAATGGGAGACCGCTGGGAAGACACTGGTGTGTGTGTATGTGAACCTGTGTGAGTGTGTGTGTGTGTGTGTGTGAGAGAGCGTGTGTGTGCGTCTGCATGTGTGTGTGTTCTTAATAATCTATGTGGTGTGGGGTGGGTCTGTTGGGAGGAGGGGTCATGAGCCAGCAGGATTGTTTTTAACCGAACTGTAAAGAACTTTATGCTGCATCTTCTGTATGAAAAGCGCTTTATAAATAAAATGTGATGGATTTATTGACCAGGTGGGTCTCACTAGGATTGTGCTCTTCATTCTTTATTGAATGAAGGGATAAAATATCTCTTCATCTTTATGTGAAGGAACAGTAAGTAACAGTAAGTAATACACCACATTTTGCTCTGGGTTTCCTTAAGGTGCAGTTTAAATGTGAACACGGTACTTGTCAAAAAGTGCCTTTGTGTCACCATTTGAAACTTGGCTGGGAGATGATTGACTGAGCTTTTCTGTCTGAAAAAGATGAGACACCATAAAAACTAGTGACCTTGATAAATATCACTGCAAACTGTATGCTATAGTTATGCATGCTCTATACGGCCATCTTGGAGTTTGAACTATGCCCGTTCTCAAACCACCTGACTGTTTCCAGGATTGAACCACAAAATCCAGGGTTTCTCCAGAGCCAGGCCCTCGATTAATTGCACCAAATCAATTATTGAAAAAGTTACTAATTTATTCATGTAGAAATAGTGTTTTTAAGCATCCATAGCCTTAAACATCCAGGACCTAGTTTTTTGCCTTTTAGTCTGATATTATTTTATACATACTGAGTGTTGTCTTTTTTTCTTTCAGGATTCAACGACGGTGACACCCGTGACTTTAACAGTTGATCCCAAAGGATACTTCTTGTACTGGACCGACCAGAACAAGGTACGTCTATTTACCAGTGCAACATCAGCCATAGTGCTGAGTAGGATTTATACAGAGATTGGTTCACATCGTGCTGATTAGGTTGTAAAATGATTGCAATTATTGTATTGTTCGGTTGTAAACGATATGAACACTTTAAATACTGTGAATTGTGCGTAAATTGTCTTGGGATGGTATGTTTTTTGCGGAGGAAATTAGTTATTGTCATTACTTACTGTAAATATCAACAAGGTAAAAGCAATTCTCATTATAACAGCGGGATGGAGGTAATCATTTCTCACTTCCAGTTTCAAAGCTGCAGAAACATAGTCGCTCAATTTGATTTGTTTTTGACCTATGTGTTTTAGAAGAGCTGGATGCAATGTGTAAGACAAAATTAAAGCTGGCGTACCCAACTTTTCTTTGTCATAGATATTACATGGTGTTGCTCCCAAAAGAAAAAGAAGTTCAAAGGTCCATTCTACATATGTTATCTATCATATACTGTATTTGTAATATTGTGTTTGACCCTCGTCTGAGTGAGGGTGGTCCTCTATTTTACACTTTTCTGTCTGAAAAATCTGCTGTGACAAAGGCTAAAAATGCTTTGAGAAAACTAGTGGTAGAACCAGCCTGTTTGCGATTAACTTAAGCCTGGACCAGGAAGTGCAGAACTATATTTCATCCCTTATATCTTGAATTCATACAATATTCTCACACACTTATGAGTATTAGACTATGCAAGCCAGAATCTCAAACCAGAAAGTTTATCCACTAAGTTTTGTTTCCTTCAAGTGTCTATCTCAAATACATAGTTGGATATGGAAGGATTGGATTTCTCACGGATTTGGGCCATGTGCGAAAAAACAACAATGTGCTCCGATTGTGTTGCTCCAGCGTCTGCTTTGAGTGCAGGCATTGCGTTTCCGTCACCATGGAAACTACTGAATGTCTTTGGTTCCTGGTATAATTATAGTGGTATGGCTAGGTTAAAAAAATGGTGGGAGTATTTATCTATCTGCAGTATCTATCTATCTATCTGCAGTATCTATCATCTATCTATCTATCTATCTATCTATCTGCAGTATCTATCATCTATCTATCTATCTATCTATCTATCTGCAGTATCTATCATCTATCTATCTATCTATCTGTTTGTTTGTCTGTCTGTCATTTTATTAGAATAGACAAAGTGATTAGGTTTCCAATTTATGTTTTGATCGTCCTTTATAAATGTGTCCAGTGGAGGTCATATTTCAGAGAATAAAGGGACATGAACACAATAGAATTCACTGATGAAAAACATACTAAAGGGCTCAAAGCACTGGATTTTTCAAAATAAGTCAATAACGAAAAATGTCTTACTTAAAAAAAAGCTTGTTGCACACTGACAGAGGGGAAGAAAATGGATGGATGAATGGATGTTTATTTTTTTACATCATAAGCAAATAAAAGATCCAATATGAGGTTTATAATGCTTGAATCTACTATTCTAATATCTTAAATTGAGTCTCAAAACAGTATTTACCAATGGGACAAGCAGTTTTGTCCAAAAGTGCAGTTGCAATCTATTTCTCATTTCATGGGAGGATTTACTCATTTTTTTGCTCCATTCTTGTTTTGAGACTGAACTAAAATATTTCCTTATTCAAGCCAATGTTCACTCTTTTTGGTCAGTGTTTACGCCAGTTTTAAGCATCATTAATGTAGTTTTCCAAAAAAATCTGTGTGTATGTATTTCACATTCTAAAACAATTACAGTAAATTGTCTCATGTCTAATGATCAAAAATAATGCATGATATTTCCTTTTTACAGTAAACGAGAAATATATTCTTTGTTTTGTCTTGAATTAATTGAGAATCATAACAAGACCTTTGTTAGTTCTGCGGTTACTTTACCAGTGAGATTATCTAGACGCGGTGAGTTCTGGCGCCCGGATCACAGACTTTCTGATTGGTAAAACGGTGGAGGTCGGGACATCGAAATGAAAACAATAACAAGATTTAGCGGCTTTAAAACTAATTTAGAAATTCGAAATTCCCTTAACTACTGTGATCAGATAAAGAAGTATTCAAAAAGAGCATGGTTTATTAATGCCTTTTGACAGATTAAGGCCATTTAATGATGACTATTGACATGAAAATCTTACATATTACTACTTTAAGGTAAGGTACACTTGAACACATGTGAATTTTCCTCATAATAATCCTAACTTTGAAAATTAAATTCAGATGTGACACAATAATGCTGTTTTTGAAAGCTCAACAATATTTGGAAAAAAACTTGTATAACTGGATCACAATCAAACATGCCGCGGTGTCATTGAAAGCAGGACTGAGGGCATTCTCTGAACTTATTTACAGAACACAGCTTTCTTCATGACATCATAGAACCACAACCCAAACATAAATACATTGTTCTCCTCACAAGAGACGAGTGACACAGAGCAGGACAAATGACAATCTTGTTTTTTCAATGTTCCAACTATGACCACAGGTGTCGTCGGTCATCACTAGCCACAGGTGTCGTCGGTCATCACCAGCCACAGGTGTCGTTGGTCATCACTAGGCATCATTAGCCACAGGTGTCATAGATAATCACTAGGCACAGGTGTCATACTGTAGGTCATCACTCGGCATCACTAGCCACAGGTGTCATAGATAATCAGCCACAGGTGTCATAGATAATCACTAGCCACAGGTGTCATAGGTCATCACTCGGCATCACTAGCCACAGGTGTCATAGATAATCAGCCACAGGTGTCATTGGTCATCACTAGCCACAGGTGTCATTGATCATCACTAGCCACAGGTGTCATTGGTCATCACTAGCCACAGGTGTCATTGGTCATCACTAGCCACAGGTGTCATTGGTCATCACTAGGCATCACTAGCCACAGGTGTCATAGATCATCACTAGCCACAGGTGTCATTGGTCATCACTAGCCTCAGGTGTCATTGGTCATCACTAGCCACAGGTGTCATTGGTTATCACTAGGCATCACTAGCCACAGGTGTCATAGATCATCACTAGCCACAGGTGTCATTGGTCATCACTAGCCTCAAGTGTCATTGGTCATCACTAGCCACAGGTGTCATTGGTCATCACTAGCCACAGGTGTCATTGGTCATCACTAGCCACAGGTGTCATTGGTCATCACTAGCCACAGGTGTCATAGATCATCACTAGCCACAGGTGTCATTGGTCATCACTAGCCACAGGTGTCATTGGTCATCACTAGCCACAGGTGTCATTGGTCATCACTAGCCACAGGTGTCATTGGTCATCACTAGGCATTACTAGCCACAGGTGTCATAGATCATCACTAGCCACAGGTGTCATTGGTCATCACTAGCCACAGGTGTCATTGGTCATCATAGGCATCACTAGCCACAGGTGTCATAGATCATCACTAGCCACAGGTGTCATTGGCATTCACCTGTGTCCCTCTGTGTGTTTATATCCTGTGCTTTTCCCCACTTGTTGTCTGTCCTTTGTCTCATCACGTTTTCCCTGTCTTTTTTTCGGTTCTTTAGTTTTGTGTTTTGGCAATACCTTAGATTTTTTAAAATAAATTCTCCTTTATTTTCAGTCCAGTCTTAAGCTGCAACAAAGAATCATGTTGTTTAACCTGAATTGTTTTAAAGGGAAAATATCATAGAAACGCTCTGATGGATGTCTGTACAGTACCAGCAGTCATGCCCAGACTAATTGATAGCCCCTATTGATTTTGCGTTTGCCTGATGAGGCGCTTCGACTGCAGCCATATTAGAGCCAGACAGCACTGCTGATCAGGACATTAGCTGTGTACACACATCCAGGAATCATGCACGGGCAGCAGGCTATTTGTGGATATGTACGGCAGCAAGAGATGTAACTAGGGCTTCACAAATCAATAGTTTTATGACCAGAAATGCACCATTATCTTGCACAACAGGACTAAGAAGATTTGCATATAATATAAGACAAGACGCAGTTTCTCTCCTGTATCGTTCAAATCAACAAGTGTGGATCAATAATACTTTTTTAAACCTTTTAAATGGCCATATTGAGCTAAAAGGATTTAATGAAAGAAACCAGTCCGCTTGCTTCTGTAATGATTTATTGATCTGTGATTGTCCTTTAACCTCGACTTAAACAATACTACAAAGTGCAGACACAGCAGAAGATCAGAAGTAGTTTTGTTTTTTAATTTGGTTCGTGGCGAAAGTCAGATTGGCGTTCGTGATGTCTCATAGATAAGAAAAAGGATGGGCAAGTTAATGCACAGGAAAATAAAAACCATTCCCGGGTTGCCTCTTTCTCACTCACTGAGCAACACAGGCTGCCGGGCCAAAACAGCAGCATTTAACCCGCCTCACAATCAAGACTGTGAAGCGTATTCAGTGTGGACACTCTAACTTAGTAATTTAGACCAAAATTAACCCAAACTGTTTTATAGCGGGTCAGGTGAAGGTTATGAAACAGCAGATAAAAACATTGACCAGCTCTTGTGCGCAGGTTCAATGAAGAAGCATGTGTAAGTTTGCCTTTCCAAAAGCACGTCTGGCAGGAGAGTGGCAAAGACAGTGTGTGGCTTTCTTCTTTCCTTTCTCACTGGCTAAATCAGAATCTAAATTATTTTTTAGCCATTGTAAGTCAAACAAGGAACTTTCTTCCGGTAAACGGTGCAGACAAATTATACAATAGTAAATCAAATCAAATGAATGTAACTTGCTTCGCCCCAAAATCACAAAAACTGCCGTATATCGAGGGGCGTCACAGAACCGGCATCTCCCAACGGCGGCTGGGGACAAGTCGTCAGCTCCAGGGAGTCCAGGGTTTCGAGTCCCATACGTGTGTTTATGGAACAGACAAAGGAACAACTGGTGAATAGTAATGCACAGGCTCCATTTAAAACATCAAATCTAACTGGCAATGAAGAAGAATTATGTTCTGCCTGTAGCCCGGGGAGTGACAAGTTAAAAAACAGTTGAAAATAACTATGGTTAAGAGTCTAGTCATTTAATGTGCATTCCAACACATGTGGATGTACTAATGCATTTAAGAGTTCATTATAAACTGTTGTGAATGTACGGTGCATTAAAAATAGATGTAAGAGCAGGCATAAAAAATCATAATAAAATTTGAATGTATAAATACACGCAATATGCATTTAACAGTGCAGGTTGTCAACAAGTGTCCAGAGATAGGATATTAGGAGGTGGCAGAAGAATAAAGTGACAATCATGGTGGGCCGGGGTCTTGTGATGAGTTATGAAGTCAAACTTTAACAACCATGACTCTGCGATCAACTGGGAAATGATTTAAGCACCTCTGTCCAAGATTGTGTGGTCTGTTGCACAGTTGCAAAGGACAATGTTTGACTGGAGAAATTAGAAACAGTTTAATTTGGTGCCAATTTTTACTCTGTTCATGGTTTCATATGGTTAGAATTCACCATTGAAGCATCTTTTGTGGCAATTTTTGCAATAAGTTTCAGATATCGGTGTGGATGCTAAACACAACTCTTTTAAATTATCAACATATCAGGATAATGTCTGTGTGGCTCTTTGGCTTGAGTGTGTGGCGGCCGTGGAACTGTTGTGAATCAGTCAGAACGCTGCAGGAAATAATAAGTTTATGCCACAGAGACACTCTTTTCTCTGGGTTGAGAAATACACAATGCTGTCTGCGATCGCACACATTCAGGACAAAGAGATGACATTACGCAGCGGAAGTTTGAACGTTTTTAGAATGATTGAGTGAATAGCCTGGAAACAATGTGGATTTCATTCTGTATATCTTGGTCATTTTAATAAGGCAGCGATGGCACTAATGTATCCAGCAAATATATGTATTCTGAAAGACTGAGCTCCAAACTAGATGTGTTTATGTGGAGGCAGGGATGGGTTTAATGGTCCTCAAGCTCCCCCTAGAACCGCCAAAGCACCCCCATTACTCCCCTCAAAGTATGTGTCTTTTTGGAAGTATCCAATTTTACTGTTCCACAGAGAAGAAATTAAACTATAGAGATGTTGTGGTCAAAATAAGGGACAGTAGCCTAAATCGATGAATTCCATTTAATGACTGAAATCAATAGCAAGCAGGTTCTGAGCAAAGGTGGATTACTGGATTCAGAATGTGGCAGACTTTCCCAAAAGTGAATTAGAGTGGACCAGTCTAGACTCTCAGGTCTCAGTCCAAAGCCTATCAGAGGTAAATTATAACATGTTTTCTAATGAGAGGGGCGACTGATTTTGGTGGCTTCGATCCCCCTCATGGCACCTGTTCCCACTAATGTTTCGTCGTGTCCCTGGGCAAGACAATTCACCCCACTTTGCCTGAAGCCCCTATTGAAAGACCAAGGCTGTGTCTTTGGTCCCGTAGACCCACAACCTGCAGCAGGATCAGCAAGGGGCTGGTGCTTTGAGGACTGGGTGGCAGCTCTGATTGCCACCCCCCTGACCCAGAAATGGACTGAATGACATATAGACAGCATGTGGTGGTTTGTTAAAAAGAAAAAAAAAGAAATCACATTTTCATTATAATAGGACGGACAAAAAGTTAGTTACCCAGCTTTAATTAGAAAATATATGGACACATGTAACGGATAATTAAATCAAACTTCTTTATGAAGACTGTATAGCTCGCCGATGCTTAAAAGATAATGGGATCTTAATTGATGACAGGCTTTACCAGAGTAAGTTGACCGTGGCCATATTCCCCCTGCTCCTGCTCCTGTGCTGTTGTCAGTCCTGTCAGAAGCCGTGAGCTCAGGTCAGGACAGCTCTGGTGACTCAGGAGCTGTGGGAGACGTGCTGTGCTTTGTCAGTTCGCAGTATTTGAGAAGTCCACTTTTCACAGCGCTGACTTTTCTATGTCACTGATGTTACTACTATATTTCATAATGCTCAGATCGTAGATTTAAAAGGCTTGATCATGATTAAGTATTAGTCATGTTTTGTATGTTTATCATATCTTTTATATGTAGTAATATTAACAGATAAACTTAATCCGCAGCCTCAGTTCTTATTTATATTGGTGAGAGTGGGAGTGGGTGAGGGATTTTGGTGAATTATTATTTTGTTATGAACACACCGGGAATCCCCCCCACTCAGTACAATCTCTGACCTGAATGTCCAAAAGTGCCTCAAGGTATTTCACAGCAGTAAAGATCCATGGCTTTCAACGTTGTGTGCCCGTGTTATTAGATTACAACATGGACCAGACCACTACTGGCCCACTTGGATCCTTATAGTCCAACACTTTTCAAATACACTCAAGTTACCCATGTTGACTTTCCCTCTTCACTTACACAGCCTCATGCTTCTACTACGTCTACGATTTCTCCAGCGAGTGAAACCGTGCACTAGGTAATTAAATCTGAATCTGTCACCCACCACTACTGCTCTTGTATACTTATTATTTATTTAGCCGTTAAAGTCAGCGTTTGTGTAACAACGACTATAACTGTAGGTAATTTAAACAATTCATTGGCACGTGGCTTGCTCCTATGAACATTGGCTTCATCGTTTCAAAAAAATGAGGAAAAACGCCTTAAAACGTGTCATGCTAAATAATTGTCATGCAAGGATTGTGTGAGCTTGTGTGTGAAAATGCTTGGACTCCTGAAAATGAGGGAATTTGAACGAATCACTATAGATGATTTATTTATTGATACGAAACCATGTATTGTCACATATTTCAACGTATATAAATATACAGTACAAATACGGTAAAAATAAGGTACGTACTGTATACAACAAATCAATTCATGAATTCAAATTCATACACATATTGTACAGTGCATACAGTATAGTACAATACAATGTGCATAAAACAAACTATAAGATTTTAGATGATTTGATTGTACATAAGATTTACACATACATAATAATATTTGAGCTGTACATGGGAAAAAACCGCATTTCCTAATCTTGAACTCTGTTTGTACCGTTCGTATGAGCTGAATGAATGAATGTGTGTTAATCCTAAGCCCGAATCAGTTAAAGTGTAGCATGTTATTTATTTTACGACCTACAAAATCTATTATGAGTGTAAGTTTGATCATGATGTGGAGTCGATGATTATTGAAATGATGCATGAATCTGTTTAAATATTATTGTTCTGAAAATGGTTTGATTCTGCAGTGCATATAGATCACATGACCATGTCACATGACAGGTGCTGATGGTAGTTCAACCACACCTGGTACTCTGTGATCATGAACAAGGCCCTACGTGGCCAAAACGCACAGTCCCTGTTCATATAATGTTTTTTATTTACTCTTAATTTAAGAGTGTCTCGGATGTACTCTTTTCTCACACGTTGCCAGTGTTTTTCCACTCCTGATCCTGGTGAGCACCTGATGAGAATGTCTTAAACCTATGTGTTTATTGTATAGTTTGTTTTATGTTTTACTCTCATGCTAACCGGGTCACATGACCAGGATTGTGGCATTTATAACCGGTGTGACATTTGACTACATTTAGCCTTTCTTATTTTTGTTGAATGTAGGTACAATTGTTTGAAATAAATGAATACATAAAATCTAGATACCTTTGGATCAATCTCTACCCCTTTAAAGACATTGTAAAAAAACTAAAAATGCACATAAAATATCTGGAAATTCTTCATCAAAAATGCCTGTTACTACTAAAATTTATTATTACAATGTGTTCTCCAAATGACTAGTGCTACACTCAGGCTCCCAGCTAACCTTTACCGTTATAGTGATTTGAATGTGACCTCAGCACACCAGGGCTCTAGGGCTATAAATATGTGTATTCTATTTTAGTTGCTCACAGGTGGAGTGTTGGAGAGCAGTCGTGGACAATGCTACTTCAGTCCCTCACACTGTAAATGTTACCAGTTCTTCAGCCAACAGGTGCACACCATGTGAGATACGTACAATTAGTGTTCACTCGTCATGTCTGCGCCCCGCCCTGATGTAAACATTGAGCTATGGTTTGAGTCCATCGTCTGAATCATTGTTTCCCAACCGAAGGTCTGCATAAGTGTATACGAGGGGTACTTGGAATGATTCAGACTCCTGAAAACGTCAAAAGACAAGATTTTGAAGGGTCTAGAATTTTGCAAACATTCATGTGAAGTATTTGCAGTATTTGAAACTTAAGGCCATTTTATGATTTTTTTCCAGAAGCATTTTTCTAAAATATTGTGGGAAAACGTCCCTAAACCCTAAAAGTATTCAATATTTTAAATAGTAATGGAATGGACCAGATGCCTGTAGTCTCCAAAAATTAATAAAACATATTTTGGAGCAGACTGATAAAAACAAACCAATGGGATACGTTTACCCCCTTCACCCTCTTCCTGTTTCTCGCGAGTGCACCTGAGTTATCGGATTTTCTAAAACATAAAAGGGCTGAACAGAAAATGCCAATTTTACGTTTACCACCCACTCTCCCTGTTGTGACAAAGAAAAGAAAATGCTGGATGTGTGTTTTGGTGGAGAGGCGAGAGGAGGGGGTGGTTTCCAGTTGGTGCTACGGCTAAGCTAACAACATGACTTACTGCACCTTTAAACTTTAATTTACTCAACTTAAAATATTAAACTATTATTAAAGATGATATGTGACTCAGTACACACACAGTGAGATATATCAAGCCTTCGTTATATTATTTATAAATGGCTTCCTGCTTTTAAAAACCCTAAATAAATCAGAAAATGTCAATATTTGGAAAATGGACGAGACAGGGGCGACAGTAGCTCAGTTGGTAGAGCATTGGCCTTAAGCCCAGAAGGTTGTGGGTTCAATTCCCACCTCTGCACCTTCTCCACCGACTCCCACTGATGACTGCTGTCGTTGTGTCCTTGGGCAAGACACTTAACCCCACTTTGCCCAAAGCCCCCACTGAAAGATCAAGGCTATGCTCACACTCAGAGAGCAGCCGTCCTCCTGTGGACTCACCACCTGCAGAGGGTCAGTGAGGGGCTGGTGCTATGAGACTTGGGTGGCATCTCTGACTGTCACCCCCCTGACCTTGAAATGGATTAAAGGGTAGAAGATGATGGATGGAAAATGGACTGTGAGCCATGGTATGAAGACCGCGACATGCCATGGCTCACAGTCCTCACAAACCTCTGTTTACATGTTCTTATGTCCAAAACTCAATATTTAAACATTGTTTACAGATATTGTTATTGTTGCCAAGCGGAGCTAGCCAACATCGAGCCTGTATGCAAATGCTCCATGCTCACTGCAAACAGACCAGAGACCAGTCTGTACAGTGCTAAACACCACTAACAGGCCAAAGCAACAGAGCAGCACACTTTGGGTTTGTCACATCCGACACTTTCTGCTCTTCTGCACAGTCTTCTCCTTTTTCGTTATACATCTTCATCCATGTATAGTTTTCTAACATTGCATGCATAAGTACATATTCTAAAGATCAATGTCATTGTATTTTATTCATCTAAACAGATATAATCTTGTGAAATAAAGGGTGTGAAATCAGACCACAAACACTCTTCGTATCATTGTATGTATACTTGTAAGAAAGAACCTTGTGAGTCACTATTCGACGCCTTTTAGCTGAGAGCTGATTGGCCGAGCAGGTGGTCCTCTCTTTTTCACTTTTCTGTCTGAAAAAGCTGGCCAAAAATACATACATGTGAAAAGAAGTGATAGCAGAAAACTGTCTTGAAGAAATTAAATATACTGTGACAGGCTGCCAACTTTTTTGGATTTAATAGTCCAAACAAACCAGGCTTTCACTTTGAGTTCCCTGTTGCCGGCGAAGCACGTATACATTGCTGAAATTAAAACCAGCACGACTCCAGTAATTACTCAAATGACACGTGTCGCGGAGTTACACTTTCCGCCCACTGACGCTTTTCAACTGTTCCTTTTTATTCTTCCAACTACGGCGCCATGGCAACACACGATCAAACTCCAGCCTTTCAGACGAGCCTCATTAAACACATTTGCATAAAAAGCCAGTCCAAGTAAGAACATTCAGCATTCCTACACAAATCCAAAGGGAACAGGTGTGCTGTTGTGTTGTTAAAGGGAGGAGCTTAGGGGTTTTTGGTGAATCTTCATTTTGCAGTTTCCAGGCGACAGCACACGACCGGTTGACGTCTTTCTTCCCCCGCACTGATCCTGGAGAAGGTTATGGAGAAACCGATAGCTTTGTTTTATGTTCGGAAAGCAACGGACAAGGGCAGTGAGGATTATTCAGGTTATAGTAGAAGTGGAAGAACTTTAGTAAGTAATGCAGTGAGTATTTTTCTCAAAGTATGTTTTGTCGGTTTACCTCACATTCACTTATATTTACCATGCGCAACGTTTGAAAAAAAAAAAAAAAAAACACTGCTCTAGCAACCGTCAAATATGCAAATACAAAGTGCTCTAAACACAGCGTTCTTAAACTCTTTCTTCTGGCCACCCTGGAAAAGCCATGTTCCAGCTTCTTCCTTCTGGCAGAACATAGATAGATAGATACTTTATTGATCCCCGTAGGAGAAATGCAGGTGTCCAGGAGCAGCAAAAATAAAATTGATCATTTAAAAAAGTTAAAAATAGTAATAATCAGCAACAGCCCTTCAGGTCACAGCAGCAGAGGTGGTGTAGCCTCTGAGTGGAGTAGGACTGCTCACGGAAGAAGAGATGGAGTAGCCTCTGGGTGGAGCAGGACGGGTCACAGCAGCAGAGGTGGAGTAGCCTCTGGGTGGAGCAGGACGGGTCACAAGGTGGAGTAGTCATTTTGTTCCGGCCATTTTTTTTGCTCTGGTCCAAAGTAAAATGCTACAGTAAATGCTTCATTAGCATTTTTATAAAAGTTAGCATTCCTCCAGTGGATTTGACCTGATCCGCTTGGTTCGGACCATGAATCCTCTCTGCTCCGGTCTGGACCAGTGCAAAACCATGAACACTGAACTGCACCAACATCTTGGGTAGAAAAAAGCATTACAAATTTAAATTCAAAAGCACAAAAACAACAACTGTTTCAGAGCTACTTAGTACTTGCAGCCGTTTCCCAGCGCATTAAAACATATTTTGCATTTATGTACTTGTCTTGTGCACAATGGGGACTTTTGCAAATGTATTCCAATGTGTTTTTACTGCAAATTGCAAATAAATGAATCTAAATCTATACAAAGGGAGGGAGGTGAGGGAGTGAATGGCAGGTGGAAGAAGGATCCAGTCAGTCAGGGCTTTGAAATAAAAAGTATTCAGTCTTTTTGTCCAATCGATTTCCTTTCGGAAGTTGACTTACGAATGATCAAAACCAAATTAATAATTTTCAATAGAGCCGCCTGTGTTTGTACATGTATCTTATCTTATCTACTCTCAGTATAATTACAGCTGTGAGGGCCTTAGAGTTATGTTTCAAGTGGATTGGTCACTAAACAGCATCATGAAGTCCAGGTAGCTCTCCAGAGAGGTCAGGGATAAAGTTGTGGAGAAGTTTAAAGCACGGTAAGGTTGTTAGCATCTCACCGAGCACTGTTCAATCCAATATTAGGAAAATGGAAAGAGTTTGGCACAACTGTAAATCTACCAAGACTCTGCTGTCTGCCCAAACTCACAGCTCCCTACAAGGACAACACTGATCACAGATGCAGCCACGAGGCCTGTGGTCACTCTGGTGGAGCTGCAGACGGTCACAGCTAATCTGGGGGAGTCTGCACATATATTTGTCATACAGTACACTAATCTGGCCTTTATGGACAAGGGGTAGATAGAAAGCTAGAGTTTAAATCAATCAAAATGCAAATTCATTGAGTAGTTTTCTCACATTGAAATAGTGTAAAATTTAGTGAAATTAATACCTATTAGGACATTTATTGTGAAATTTGTCCAACCTGATAAGCCAAGAAAATGAACTAGAAAAAAAAAAAAAAATACATCTGTATCTCCCACTTCATCTGCGCCCTTCCTCAGTCTGGTCAAAGTCAAGACCTTGGGTGGACGCACTATTTTTGCAGTGGGCATATGGTGCGGAAAGATGTTTAGAGGAGAAAGACGGTTCGGCACGCCACATAAACTCGCCCACACTCCACAGCTGTAGTTTGAGGTGTGTCAGAATGCAGAATGACCACCTGGACCTGAGCTTCATATTTACCATGATCCCTTTGGCTGTTCATTATGTATTAGTGCAGTTATAATGGGAATAACATTAAATCTGGGGTTCCTAACTTTCAAACCTTGAGCAATGAAACAGTGTAAATGCATCGACTTGTTCCTTGCTGTCAAAACAAGTTGGTTCTTGGTTTTTTTTTCTGTTGGAGCAAACAACGTGCGGTTTGATATTTATATGGATTAGGTAGTTGGATGGAAAGTGTCATTTCGGAAAATAGGAGAAAAAACAAAACCCTGACTTTGGATCTTTTTCATTCAATTTTTGTAAATAGTGCTGTTTTGGATCTTGACCCTGCTGGACGAACATAAACAGACTTTCATACATATTTTAGGATTTAAAAATAAGATTACATTTATTTGTCCCACCGTAGGGAAATTTCAATGTTGCAGCGCACAGACAGGGCAGTTGTAAGAGTACACAGGGAGCACACAAGTAGCTGCTATGTTTCTTAGCTAGCTGTAAATTCTTCAAAATCAAGTGCAAAGTTACAGACATATAGTGCATTTAACTTGTGTATGATTTCATTTATGGTTTAAAACATGAATTCCAAAATGTGAACAAAAAGTTGACAAGATATTAAAAATCTGCACTTGGCTTTGACCTGTTCAGTCGCAGACAGCATTTCTCACCCACACAATTTGTTTTCCCTGAACGCAGCAATTTGGTACTGCGTTCAGTACTGCGAGCAAGTACGCCTCCAGCCGGCCCGTCTTCCTCGCTCAGCACTATTCAGCGGCCCAGCACGTCCTATAAATCTGCATCCAATCGACTCCGAGTGAAACGCCGCCT